GGGTTGACTAGCCTGATGCCTAAGCTAACAGACTTTGTCTTTTAGGGGGGCTACCTAGTAGTCATGTCCATGCATGATTCCCAAATCATGCAGGACACCGGAGGACAGGAATGAGCAGAACTAAGTTGATATTCAAACTGAGGTGTTACAGAGATTTACAGGAGGTTATATACTATAGGTATCTAATGGAATGATCAATCAGCAGGGTCTGAGGCTATGTATGAAGCATATGGATAGTCTATTGGTAAGTAGAAACAGATCACAAATAATGAAACAGAAATGAAGCATAGGTAACAGATCAGTGAGCAGGACGGATATACCAATAACCAAAATACCAGAGTTAGGGGATTACTGAAAGGAGATGAGTGCTGGTTGTGGATTCAGATGAATTGTGGACCAGACCAGATGAGTGGACAGATTGGATGATGAGATGTTGGAGGGGGATAAGATGTGGATAGGATTGGAGATAAGATGTGGATTGGATCTGAGATGAGATAAGGATTGGATCTGAGATCCAGATATGTGGTGAAGGTTCAACTACTCTGCTGGGCTTGCAGAGCTATAGAAAGAAAGAATGGCTCTACCTCTGGGGTGAGAGAAAGCCTACTGGCTCTCTAAATTGTTAGTTGAAGTGTGCCAGGCAATACATTCAATCCTTAGGGGAAGCAAGGAAAGCAAGATCCACAAAGTGACACCAGGTCAACTCTGATGAAGTGTGCTGGGAGCACGCACACAGGAATGTTGAGCACATAAGGGTGCGAAACGTGGGAATAATGCATGTGCTGTGCACAGACGTATATGAAACTGGTGGAAGGCATGATGTCATGAACTGAGGCTGCTGAATGGAGACTGATGATGATAGACTGTTGCTGAGGGACTAGGGCAATGACTCTGATAGATGCTAACTCATGATGATAGATTCTGACTCTCAATGATGACTACTGACATGATGGTGGTTGTTGTATCTCTCATGGTGGTAAGTGTATGAAACCTTCCTAGGCAACAGGTAAGCTGTGCCTAGGCATGCTCCCAGGGCTCAGAAGCAAACAAGGAGCGCTCTAAGTATGTAAATGATGTAACTAAAGGTCCATGATGAAATATAGTGTCATATAATGCTAAATATGGTCTGATAATGAAAATAGATGAAAGGGACTCACTAGGGGACTGGTTAGATGATGGATGGATGCTCCAGGATGCTGCACAACAATGTGTGACCAAGCACAGGAAGAGTGCAGTAAGTGTGTGTGTGGGAATGCATCGCATAGTGTGGGAATGTGTTGCACCTCTGGTGTGTTTTGTGGGAAAGTCATGGATAGTGAGTTGTGCACTATACCGATCATTGTGAGTCAAAATATGGGTGATCTATGCCTGGAGGAATCTCATTCCTTACAGCAGATATGACAGCCTCTTTCTATCATCTTTGCTACATTGCTATCTTATCTTTTGATTTCTATTGCCCTATGCATTGTGACAATCATACCGGTGCTAGGTGCATATGATCACTAGCATGGTTCTTCTCACTCCCAAGAAAGGAGATAAAGTGCTGATCATAAAATCCATATATATTGACTCATCTGCTTTTAGTATGCTCCTTTGACAATAGGCATGCACTCCTCCCATGACCTGTGCTCCCATTTAGCTTTGGTCTGGTCCTAGGAATTTGTCCTCCCATGTCCTATCCATGTCCACCTATCTCTGCTGGTGCATTATTTTTCCCAAATATCATTGCTAAATGAGCTGCAGGTCTTATTACACATTACTCACATCCCACAGCACATGATGTCTTATTACCTATAGACTCATTGTGCACTCACTTACTATGCTACAATTCTTGCATATGCATTCTGGACCTTCACACGCTATGATAAAATGACCACAGTACATATTATTGAGTTAGTTCCCTTCCCCCTGGACTCAGCCCTATAGGAGAGTCGCTCTCGTGTTATTTTTGTAGACCTTGTGCAATCCAATCTATTTGCTCATACTTGACAATCTGGTGCAATTCAACTGCTCTGAAGTTCCATACTGCTAGGACCTTATACTTAGGCTCTTACAAGAACACCTGACCTGCAACCGGTAACTTAGTGCAGTCCTTCTCTCATGCTATCTCTCTTGCACCCAGCCACTCTATCAAGTGCAGTTGATTTCATGCATGTTATATCTACTGCACTGGTATCTGGCATTCATTGCACTCACACGTATCTTCTAGTATTCATCTCATGCTTGTGGTACTAACACCAGTCAATTTTTGCCCATGCTCATGGTCAATTCTCTGACATAGGAATTTGAAGGTATACATATGTCCCGCACTCTAGTTTCTTAGGCCACTATAGATTTTAACTCCTTTGCTCACTTGCTTCCCTTGCATATATTTGAAGGAAGTGCTTCAATAGCAGTCCTCATGGGCCAATCTACTAACTTGCACCTCTTAGGATAAGTAGTGCTAGTTGCTAACAGCCTAGTACCTATTTCTTCTTCACAGCATATTAGTTAATTATATTGTATTGTATTTGTACTCATATTGCTTACTGTTTATTGATACTCTTATATTCTAAACCTGTTATGTTATGTTTGTTAGTTCACTATTATATTGTATTAGGTTTGTATTACTTACTTGTCTATTAGTCTGTACTTGGTAGAATTGAAATGCTCGACTATCTAATAGTTATTAGTTATCTTAAGCTTATGGTCACATGATTACTTAGGACTCACCATGACAAAACCATTAGACTAAAGGGTTTTTACAGTGGCTCAAAAAACTGTCTGCATGTTTTGACATTTTTCACTATCTATGATATTGTGTGAGAACGAACAAATGCCTCAAGGACATGCTTATACCACATTGTAGTATGGCTTCAGGGCTTTCATTTGAGCCCTACACTGTGGGAATTGGTGGAGATATGGTGGAGACATAAGGCATACAAAATCATGACTCATGTGGACAGTTTTTTGAGTGTATATTAAAACTATATAAATCATTATTTATGACACCACAAAAATCATGCCACTATTATATAAATTATGAAGTGGTGTCATTATGTTATTTTATGACTATATCTAACTATATAAACCAGAATATCTCATGTATCACAGTCATAATCACCATGAAAGCCATCTCCTCTGCTCAAAGAGATAATATCCTCTCTCTGTCTTATGCTGGCCTCTCTGCTTGCCAAATTTCCTCTAGAACTGGAGTATCCAAGTCCACTGTGGCCAAGTTTATCAAAGAAAGCCACCCAGACAAGGAAAACTCTTGTGGAGGACATCCATCCAAGCTTACCTCTACTGACAAAAGGGCTATTATCCAACATATCATTACAGGAAAGGCTGATAATGCTGTCCAAGCCACCCATTATATCAATTCCACCATCACTACCCCTGTCTCTTCACAAACTGTGAGGAATGTTCTCAAGGCAGCTCATCTCAAGGCAGTAACAAAGAAGAAAAAGCCTCTTCTCTCCATCAAACATAGGCAGAGAAGACTAGCCTTTGCCTTAGCTCATCAACACTGGACTGTAGAGGACTGGAAGCATGTTATATGGTCAGATGAGACCAAAATCAATAGGATTGGGTCAGATGGGAAGGTATATGTATGGAAAAAGAAGGGAGATGGCCTAACAGACAGAGAGGTTAATGGGATTGTCAAGTTTGGAGGAGGTTCTTTAATGGTATGGGGCTGTATGGGATGGAATGGTGTGGGAATGCTTGCTGAGGTTGAGGGGAAGATGAATGCTGAGCAGTATGTGGACATTTTAAATGACCACTTGCTGCCTAGCTTGGCAGAATTAGGGATTAATGAAGAAGATATCATTTTCCAACAGGATAATGATCCTAAGCACACATCCAGAAGAGCTAAGGAATGGTTTGAAGAACATAACATCAATGTTCTTGACTGGCCAGCACAGTCTCCTGATGTCAATGTCATTGAACATCTCTGGGGAACACTCAAGAAAAAGCTTCAAGCCTATGAAAACCCCCCTAAAGGAGTATGGGAGCTTTGGGAGAGAGTAGCAGTGGAATGGGGGAAGATCACAGCTGAGGATTGCCAGAAATTAATTGAGAGTATGCCTAGAAGGATAGAGGCAGTAATTAAAGCCAAGGGAGGTCATACAAAATACTAGAATACCTGGTTATTATTGTAAAATACTTGAGTCAAAAAACTGTCCACATGAGTCACCATTTTGTGAGCCTTGTATCTCCACCATATCTCCACTGATTCCCACGGTGTAAGGCTCAAATGAAAGCCCTGAAGCCATACTACAATGTGATATAAGCATGTCCTTGAGGCATTTGTTTGTTCTCACACAATATCATAGATAGTGAAAAATGTCAAAACATGTGGACAGTTTTTTGAGCCACTGTACATGACTGCTGTTGACACATCAATGTTTACCAGAGCCTGTCAATGGTTAACACTAAAATGAGTGCTGAAGGGCAGTGTCTGAAGGTGCTACACCTTGCTGTTCCAATCATCAAAATCCATCAAGCACGCACCAGATGCCCTGCCTCCAAGTGCATCTCCCTCATACAAACAAACATATCAGTGTCTACAGTGCCAACAACCAGGTAGTTAGATGGTCCATCTGGCACCAGAAGCACTCTGCATATTATTGACCTGACTGAGAAAAATTGTGACTGTGCCTGCATGTGTGCTTGAACTCTGAATAAATTGAAGTTCTTGTCCTTGCAAAGGCATATACCAGTGGGAGCATCATATGGGTGCACCAAGGCAAGAGGGAAAGTATGTTTCCCAACTGTACACTCAAACAGAAAGAGCAGGTGGCCAAAAATCACTTTTGTCAGAGTCATATGAATGAAAATGCAGTCAACATGTGGTGTGCCAAAAAATTGTGGGCTGCAGTGAAGATAATCAGTATGCTGCCACCAATCGACCATTGATTCATAGTTGACTTTCAAAAAGCGAAATCCTGTTATCTTTAACAATAAATCAGTGTAGTGAATGATAGAGCTAAATGAAACAATTGAACCTTGTCACTTGCTCAGAGGCGAATCCATTTCCCTTGCGGTAGAGGTATATTGATGGCAGGTAGGAAGTCATTCAAAAAATCATTGAGTCTGATGCACAAGTTTGAAAATGCATTGTCACTATGGTAAATGTTCTCGACCAACTCAAAAGTCAGTGGGGGTTGTTTTGACCCAACTTTCACATGGAAAAAACCTGCCAGTGGAATCACTGCATCATCTGCAGCATCAAACTGATCTTGTGTTTGTAAGTGAAGATATTCATTGAAGTCTAATAGATGACAATGAATATCTTCCGTGATGAGTTGCCAATGATTTATGTGCAGGATCTGTAACTAAGTTCAGAGAGTGTTACATTATCATACAATGAAAAAATAACATGACCTGCTCAGCAACATTTTGGAAGTTTGTCCACAGCAAATATGAATCCTTCAATGGTCCATGCATCTTCTTGTTTGGCTTCATGTTATAGTTCCATGTGGCTCCTTTCACTTCAATGTCATCAAACAAATGCACATCCATATGGAGTTTCAGGAAGTTCCAACCCTTATCCTCAATATCCACTGTTTTGTCAATATATTGCTGTGTATATGTCAATGATATGTAACGTTGGAATGCCAGAAACATACCTTTAAGAACCCAGAAAACATTTGAACTACGTTTCTCCCTTCACAAATTGTATCTGATGTGTGAACCTCCAATGATGCATACATGTCAACTTCAATATACAGACATATACACTGAAGAAGCAGGTAACCAAGCATACAGTCCTCCTCTGTCACGACATCATGTGCTGCATATAGTATCATCTAGTTAGTCATTAGTATCATTCAAACAGAATGGACACAAGGCTGCAAACCTTCAAAATGTTCTCAGGTATGGAACTGTCAGTAAACACAATGTCCATGACCTGATTGGGGTGCTTCTGATTGTGCCAGCATGGAAATTCTTTAAATCTGTAAGATGCATCTGAATCAGCTCTGATAACTTGTAAGAACCAATTCCAAACCTCTTGTCAATATGAGAAACAACGTCTCTCCCAAGGTCATTCAGGTACTTCTGGAATTCAACCCAAAGATGGTCATCAAAAAGGCCACCATCACGGAAATCATACAACCGGTAGCCAGCTGACAACATAACCACCACCTATGCCCTCTCCATTGCATATGTCTGTAGGCAAGTTTGCTAACCGAGCAACAATGGGATAGGCTTTTGCAGTACCAGAAGTTGACAACTTGGTCTTATCAGCATACAGTATGAATGTCAGTGGCTTAGCTCCTTCAGGCAATTGCAACTGGTCAACATGACATTTGAAAACATTACAGTAGGAACTGCTTGAATACATACTTGAAGGTCCCAGAATGCATCTGCAGTGTAAGGCTCATCTATGAACCATACAAAATTTTCACCATCAAATTTTGATAGGTGCTGTGCATCAAATGTTAAATGCAGGAAAAGACATGGGTCTCGAAGAAGGTCAGCAGCCCATTCCCAAAGGTCCCAATAATGTACTTCAAAATCCCATGATTTATCCTCATACATCATCAAAATCACTTCTTTCATGAACTAAACTACAGTGGCTCAAAAAACTGTCCACATGTTTTTGCATTTTTTACTATTTACAATATTGTGTGAGAATACATAAAGACCTTAATGTCATGCTAATACCAGATTGTAGTGCTGCTTCAGGGCTTTGGATTGAGCACCACATCATGAGAATCAGAGGAGATATGGTGGAGATACAAGGCTTACAAAATCATGACTCATGCGGACAGTTTTTTGAGCACATATTAAAACTATATAAATCATCATTTATGACACCATAACAATCATGCCACCATTAAATAAATTATAAAGTGGTGTCATTATGTCATTTTAAAACCATATCTAACTATACAAACCAAAAATTTCCATATGTCATGGTTATATTCACCATGAAAGCCACCCCCCCTGCTCAAACAGATAACATCCTCTCTCTTTCCTATTCTGGCCTCTCTGCTTGTCAAATTTCCTCTAGAACTGGAGTATCCAAGTCCACTGTGGCCAAGTTCATCAAAGAAAGTCACACAGACAAGGAAAACTTCTGTGAAGGGTGTCCATCCAAGCTCACCTCTACTGATAGGAGGGCTATTATTCAACATATCACTACAGGAAAGGCTGATAATGCTGTCCAGGTCACCTATTACATCAATTCTACCATCACATTCCCTGTCTCTTCACACACTGTGAGAAACATTCTCAAGACAGCTCATCTCAGGTCAGTAACAAGGATGAAAAGGCTCTCCTCTCTATCACACATATGCAGAGATGACTAGCACCCTTCTTTTTTCACATATATACCTTGCCATCTGACCCAATCCTATTTATTGTGGTCTTATATGATCATATAACATGCTTCCAGTCCATATAATCCAATTCTGATGGGCTAAGGCAAAGGCTAGTCATCTCTGCATATGTGTGATAGAGAGGAGAGCCTTTTCATCCTTGTTACTGACCTGAGATGAGCTGTCTTGAGAATGTTTCTCACAGTGTGTGAAGAGACAGGGAATGTGATGGTAGAATTGATGTAATAGGTGACCTGGACAGCATTATCAGCCTTTCCTGTAGTGATATGTTGAATAATAGCCCTCCTATCAGTAGAGGTGAGCTTGGATGGACACCCTTCACAGAAGTTTTCCTTGTCTGTGTGACTTTCTTTGATGAACTTGGCCACAGTGGACTTGGATACTCCAGTTCTAGAGGAAATTTGACAAGCAGAGAGGCCAGAATAGGAAAGAGAGAGGATGTTATCTGTTTGAGCAGGGGGGGTGGCTTTCATGGTGAATATAACCATGACATATGGAAATTTTTGGTTTGTATAGTTAGATATGGTTTTAAAATGACATAATGACACCACTTTATAATTTATTTAATGGTGGCATGATTGTTATGGTGTCATAAATGATGATTTATATAGTTTTAATATGTGCTCAAAAAACTGTCCGCATGAGTCATGATTTTGTAAGCCTTGTATCTCCACCATATCTCCTCTGATTCTCATGATGTGGTGCTCAATCCAAAGCCCTGAAGCAGCACTACAATCTGGTATTAGCATGACATTAAGGTCTTTATGTATTCTCACACAATATTGTAAATAGTAAAAAATGCAAAAACATGTGGACAGTTTTTGAGCCACTGTACATCATGTCAGATGAATGGACACCATTAAAAGAAATTGAACCACCCCCGTGACACATTGAGACACTGCATCCCATTTCTTGTGAATGTCCTTGTGGTTTTCAAAGGTGAACTTGTCATTCCCGATAGCGCACTGGCAGCAGATCTTAATAAGCCAATCAGTTTGGTCATTGTTCAGCGCAGCCTCGAGAGCAATCTGAGCAACTTCAAACTCTAGTTGAGACTTGAATGGAAGCCATGGCTTCTTGTTAGGTGGGGGATCAGAAGTTGCTGCCATCAGATTGTGCTGGAAGTCCTCAAATGCATAAACCTTGGCCTTGATGCCACTGTTTGGGTGATGTTCAACCTTGATGCCATCCTTCATGAACATGCGGTTATCATCTACTGAAGGTTCAGGTTCTGGGTATGAGGTATCTGTAAGCCAATGACATATCAGTGGCATTATTAGTAGCAAGGCAGGTAGCACTATGAGATGTTGTCACATACCAATAAGTACATCATTGTGCATGCTCCATTCATGAGATGATGGTTCATGCTCAGTCTGGTGCTGCCTCAATCCACCCACCACTTGGACAGTCTGAGATGTTGCATGTCAAAGTGCTGAATTAGCCCCTGCCACACATATTATTGCAAGAAATCAGTAAGAAATCAGTTCCATGCAAATCAACATACCCTTTGCTTGAATAGCACTTGCAACGGCCTCATCTCAACATTTTTTTTCCATGTTTCTCTTGCATGCCTTTTGGTGAGTGCTCCAGCCATGTGGCTGGATTTGTTGCCTGCATATATCACAAATTTTCGTCCACTCTGGGGCCATTTTTATAGACACAATGATACAAAGATGATAAGGAACACACAGAGGTACTGTGGGTATGATATGAACAGAAAAGAGTGACACACTACCTCTTGTTGTTGAGAATCAGTGCACAGGCAGGAAAGGTCAATTGCAAGGGCGATGCAATTCCATTGAAACTCCGCGGGAAATCTTATCATATCATTTCAGTGCACATGTCAACAACATGTCAATGATAGCCCATTGCAACCGATCTCGCAAATTTCCGACACCGGCTCCGACTCCGCTTCACTCCTCTAATCCTGTTCCGAAACAGTTTGACTGGATCTCAAAACGAAAGGGTAGAACACCGTTGGCAAGGTCAAGACCTCAGTCACCGCTCGTCAAGCATATCTTCTGTTCATTCATAAATAAGGATCTGACTCTGACTGTTTTTTTTTATAAACCCCACCATCGCCTATTCTGCCTCCAATCACTCGTAAACGCTATTTCCTTCGAGTTTCTTGACAAGTCCCCATCCAGAAGGTTGCGCTCTATCGTATGGTTCAGCAACAAGACATGTTCTGTCGTGGTCTAGGAGGAATGGTCTTTGACAAGATGACCGAACTCGATCCCACATTCGGATTTGATCCCATGGCATGGCCAACCTTTATTCCATGGCCAAAATCTCGATTCTATGGCCGAACTCGATCCCGTCGTATCTTGCAGTAATCTCAGATCAGTCTCTCACAGTCAGATCAAGGCAGTCTTTCTATAGTACACGACTTACAAAAGTAATGATGGATTGGCCATCGTGCATGATCTGAAACCTAGACCATCACCAGCAACAGATGGCCCAGTGGACAGATTGACTTGTTGGACAACCCAGTATTGAAATCATACAGGACGCTTTGGAAATTTGGGCATTGGGTAGTTACATGTGGCCATGACACGCATTCTCTATGCTGATGTAAGTTACTTCAATCGCTGATTCTTGGAAGAGCGAATGATCATTCCGCCGATATGACAAAATGTTCGTGGTGTATTTCTGCGTATGACATTTGAGACTTCCACGACACAAGGGGGCAGTGATACAACACAACGTTCGAGTCTCCTGCCTAGGATTTAAGGGAAATGGGTAGCCAAATGATTTTTGCAACTTAACAACTGGGCTTCGAGAGCTCGTATTAAAACACCAAATAGCAATACATGTGATATCGGCAGCAAAAAGGGATAGATAGCGTGTGAATAAATCCAGACTTAGATGAAGATCAAGCGAAGCGTCAGCCATCATCACATCACAGCTCAACTCATCATGCATTTGCCTTCTCCAGATCCTCCTTCACCTCCCTCCTCGCCTTCTCGTCGCCTCCGGTGCTCGACACTTCGCTCTCGCTCTCGAACTCATAAAGCTGCTCAGGGACAGGGTTTTGGAACAACACGAACTTCTTGAAACCGTAGGGTATCTGCCGCAGGCCGTATGCAGCATGCGCACCAAGGGGGACAGCGAATATTTGGTCGAGCTCCTCCAGCGTCTTGCCTTTGGTCTCACGCACGAATAGCAAGATGAGCACCCAGAGAATACAGCACCACGCTGCGTACCAGCCGAAGGCACCTTGTGGTTTGAAGGCCAAGATGAGCGAAGGCCAAGTGATTGACAGAACGAAGTTCCAGAACCAAGTAGTCGCAGTGGCGAAGGACATGCCGATATCACGGATATAAAGAGGGAATGCCTCTGCGGAATATGTGAACGGCACTGGACCCTCGCCTGGGGAATAGAAGATCGCAAAGAGGTCTGAAAGAGTGGATGTCAATGGCAGTATTTAGTACTAAAAGGGTGACGTACATATTCCGATACTGACGCCAGCTACGCGCCCTGTTTCCGAAGTACTCCAGAAGGAGAAGCCCGTGATTAAAAGACAGATGGCCATGCAGGGAAACGTGAACAAAAGTAAGTTCCTCCGCCCGTAAGTGTCGATCTAGTGTTTCGGTTTTCAATATTTACAGAAACCCCAACAATGCAAGGAACCACTTACGGTGAAAACAGCAGGAAGGGCGAACAACCAGTTAAGTGCACCGAACCCAAGGGAGGAAGCCAGTGCCGAAACCTGTGAGAAACCAGAAGCCAGGAAGATATTGGACGAGTAGTAAGCTGCCACCACGTTAATGATCATTCCAAATCATGAACCTGAATCTCATACCGATGACGTTGACGCCGCAAAACTGCTGACCGAACATGACAACCCAACTAGCAAGGGCAGCATGTCTATTACGCGGAATCGTGAACATCTCAATAACACGGTTGCGACCCTTCTTCATCTCGTTCTCCGCCTCGAGCAACACGTGAATGTAGTACAAATCACGAGCAGCCTGAACGCGCGAGAAACGAAGCCGACACAGCTCATTGAAAGCATCCTCGTACCGACCCTTGGAGATCAACCAACGAGGTGACTCGGGTGCAAATAAGACTTGCAGACAGACAAGAAGACCGGGGATACCAGCAGAACCTAGCATGAGACGCCAGTTCAAGCCAGTGACACCGGGGGTGTCCGGAATGAAGTAGAATGTCAGGTCGATAAGGTCTCCTAGAGCAATGCCGAAAGCAGTCCACATCTGCCACATCATGACGAGAGCACCACGGATCGGTGCAGGTGAACACTCGGCGGTATAGACTGGGACAGTGGCAGATTTGGGACCAATACCGAAACCAAGGAAGAACCGTGCAATGAAAAGGTGCCACCAGGTATTCGTCAATCCAGACCAGATACATGTCAAGAACGAGATCATGCAAGTGATGAAAATGGTTTTTTTACGACCAAGATAGTGGTTGAGCGGATGCGTCATCCAGCAAGAAATGGTAGCACAGCATCTGTGAAATGATGAGGAACGATATTCTGCAATAATTTGAAGAACAAAGCACACACAAGTACGGTGCAGAGTTGATGAGACCGACCAACCATGAATCGCGTTCTGCACACACAATTTATGAATGATGATCATCGGAGTGATGGAGGGGCTTTTACGCACTACTGTCGGAACCAATACCAAACTGCTTGGGATAAATGATTTGAGCGCCATTGATAACAGCCTCGTCCATTCCCTGAACAGCCGCTGCAAGTGATGACATCACGACCATCTATTTAACGGTGTGAGCTGTGACAAACAGTCAAGAGGGCGACACCAACGTAATACAGCATGGGCGTTTGTCGCCACTTGTGCGTGACCTCTTCCGTTAGAACTCGTTTTTCTTCATCTGAAAATATGTCTAGACGATTATGACCTGCACATTAAAGATCTCAAGTCAGCTAGGGAAAACGTTCTGAAATTAACATACACGTGGAATCTTGGGCAACAAGCGCCCCTTTCTTAAGCTCAGGCAGCAGATGAGTCAGCCCTCTCTCCTGGGCAAAAATCTCAACATCCGCCATAAGACGATCATGAGGTATGCCGCGCAAGGGGTTTGACAACTTGGCATCGGCGTTACTGTCATAAGAGCGTCAGGCTGCGCACTTGACACAGGGGCGATTACATATGTATACGCACGCGATTGCTCTTGTCTCCGCATCCATATGTGACGTATGGTGGTGAGCGTGACGTGGGCGCTCTTCCACGGGGGATTTTTCGTTCGAGGGCGGGGACGTCGACATCTCACTCGTAGGCGCGCAGAACGGAAAGAGGCGAAAGGCAGCCTTACTCCTATCGGCTTATATACAAACCCGGCATTATATAGCGGCGCGCTTAGTAGCCCAAAAGAGCAAAGCTATACAAAAACATCATGCGCCATGCCGTTAGTTAGCTAACACATCCGAGGTGGAGCGAAAAGCCCACCCCACTTTCTGGTGTATTTTTATCCGGCTGTATGCTTTGCCAACAATGCTGGCTCTTCCGGTACTGGCAGGACCCCGAACGCCTGCGTGAACCTTCCACACCATACAGGATTGCTGACTTGGAACAAAGAAATTATTTGATACGCGCTTTGACAGTCTCACGATCAGGACGCAACGTAACTTAACGAAGCTGAACCTACTAATCATGGACCCAGGGAGGGCCCAGGTCGGAGCCTATATCATCACTTCTGATGGATTCGAGATTTCGATTTGGACGTGAGTCACTGGAGATGACCGAGCCAAGGACGATTCAATCAGATATCTACAGCATGCTTACGATGAGGCTCCGTTCCAAAATCCGGCGACGCAAATTTGAAATTCTGGCCAGTTCGCGGAGTTTGTCGCACTTTGATTGGTCACTTCTGCTCATTGCTACCACCAGCTAGCTACACAGCAAGGCCAGAATAGGTCGGCAATACCTAGTTCCATCAACAATTTGCATGGTATCGGTATCGATGGAACTTTCCGAATTGGTGCAAGTTCACTTCCAACCATGCCCACACCAATCAACGTTCTTCTTCAGAGGCTGATCGCATCACCAACATTGCTCACGTCCCGCTTCTTCAAGACACAGCATCCGACCCATCTTATTCAATCCTATTCAATTGTTTCTAGAATGATTGGCCGTGGTATCTAGGGTACGTCGCGTTGCTGTCTACAAGTGTCTACAGCATATCCTGCTCTAAAATGAACTGCGGGTACATAACAACATTCCGTTAGTATGTACAACACAAGGCGGTAATCTACGGTTCGGATCTCAATATCTTACATATGCAACGATATTTGATCATAGATAGTGCATCATGCCCGTTGACATCTTCTCACAGGCGGCTTGGCGGAATGGGCATATACACCGCAGCAGTGAGCGCTTTCACTGCCTCCTCCGAGTGAGGCGGATACCGAATCGCCAAATATGGCTCAGCCCTACCCAGATTCAGATCAGCCTTCAAAGGTAACTAGAAGTAGAACTCACTCCTTCGGCATGTCAATAGAGCTACGAAGCTGCGTGAACGTATCGTACGTATGTTTCATAACTTGGTTTCCGTCTGTCACGGGGTTTAGTATCAGTGACATTCTCCCAGGTGGAGTAAAACCTCACAGCCTGACTCGCCAACTCCCGCAAATGGTAGTTCATTCACTGGCCGATAAAAGAGGATGAGCGCCAATCCAAGCATGACGTCAATACTGCCAATAACGTACCGGAGAGATGTTGGAAGGTGTCATTGAAAACAACAGCACCGCTCTGTGTTTCCGAGACAACTTTAAATTTGATCGATGTTTTAGCATAAACCGACGTCATCGGTCAAGTGAAACATACGCTGTTGTTTCAGGCTCTCGTTGTCACTAAAAGCGTACAAAACTAGCGGATGAGATCTTTGTGCGACAAGTCAGCCGACGAGTTGGATTATGGGACAAGAGCTTACCGTGCATTAACGAAGTCGACTGCCTGGTTGAGAGAATCCACAGGCACGATGGGCAATATCGGGCCAAAGAGTTCTCTGTAAATACCATGCTATCAGAATCACATTTCGAACACAAGGCAATACTGACTCTTCTAGCAAGGAGTCGCCGTCCACAACATCCTTGACAATGGTAGGCTCAAGTCTCCTCCTCGCAGCGTCAGCGCGACCCTGAAGGACAACTTCACCCTTTGTGCGAGAAAGAAGTGAAGTGAGGCGTTTATGGTGCAAATCTGACACGATACTTCCAAACAATGGCGAATCTAGCGCACCCTTGGGGAAAAATGCGTTATAATGCTTCCGGAATGCATTGACCAGCTCGTTTTGCTTGTCCCGCTGTACGAGGACATAGTCAGGTGCCACGCAGATCTGCCAGAATTCCCGTTCAGTATGTTGTACCTTGCCACATCGGGGAGTAGCCCCAAATTGGTCAGCATCAACTTGCCTGTCCTGCATTATTGCACTTCCCCCACAAGATCCTCTTTGCGGCGAGATCGATATCGTATGCCGAGTCGATGATAACAGGACTCTTGCCACCTAATTCCAGTGTCAGTGGCGTCAGGTGCTTAGCCGCAGCACTGGCGATGATCCTAGCGACCCTGCCATTCCCCGTGTAGAAAATGTGATCCCATTGAAACTCCAGAAGCTTTGAAGTTTCAGGCACAGCACCATTGACAACACGGTACACATTTGGGTCGAAGTACTTTGGCACAATTTCCTCCAAGAGTTGTGAGAAGGTGGGGACAAGCTCAGAGGGCTTTAGTACGGCAGTGCAGCCTGCTGCAATTGCTCCAATGAGAGGTTGGAAAGTGAGAATCATAGGATAGTTCCATGGTCTGTTCAAGCGCGATGTCAGGAAGCGGAATTGAGACAGTATCTTCCGTCTCACGAGATTATCAACGCAGTGCCCCTTGGAGCCTTGTAGATCCTAGTACGTGTATGATTATCAACGACATTGATGGATCAAACGATCACTCACGTTGGCTTCCATGGCTTCTGCCAATCAGCCACGTCAGGATATTCAGTCTTGGCCCACTCTGGGAGCTGCTCTGCACTCTTCACACTTCTTTCGATGATGCAGCCTACTTCAGCCATGAGGATCTCTGTTTTTGGTTTTCCGAGGTCCTTCTTTAGGGCATCACAGATGAGCTCCCGTTCGATCTGCGCCATGCGTGCGAGCTGGTATAGTTGATGCTGACGCCACGCAATGGGACGTGTCAATCCGCTACGGAATGTCGCTCGGAGAGCATCTCTGATCTTCGCCGCCGACTGAGATCATGTAACGGTAACGACTGCTGAACAGTCCGTACTCACCTTTGGGATTGTACTGACGGGGGTTGCCATCTCTCTGTACTCAGAGTCAGTCGTGGATTAATTTAAAATCGACGTCAAGCTGACAGCCTGAAACCCGGCGTTTCGAATTCGTTCACACAAAACAGCCGCCCGACAGTAAATGATATTGTCATGTGCGTATGCATTTCCCGCCGGTCGGGCAATTTGAAATACAAGCCAAGACATGTCAGTGACCCGACGGGGAAGGGTGGTATCATGCATACTTGGTGAAATGGCAAGAAGCAAGTCCGCACTAAGTACGTCAGCTAGTCGATAATCGACACGTAATCCTACTGTTACAAACTTTCACTCAGTTGTACTGTACATACGGATAATACACTACTAAGTAGTACATACAAGAGATAGCCCGCTTCAACTCAACCAAATTCGAGTTTAAAATTACAATTCCTCATCGATAGTGACCCAGCTACTTCTCTTCGAAGATCTGTAATTTACATGTTAGACTCGCCAAACTCGGTTGATATAGAACAGAGCTCACGTCGTAGACGAGATGTCTAGAATGTCAAACTTCTCGGTTTCCAGTACCAACTTCACGGTTTTCACTTCGAAACTTCTGAATTCGAGCTTAAGCGTGCTATGCACTCCCGTCGTGGAAATCAGACCAAGTTCTCCTTTAGTGTCCTCCAGGATGTTCGTGACATACGCGCGCTTCACAGGAACGTTTTTTCCAATGTATAACTTGGCAGAACCATGCCCACCAAACGCTTCGTACATGCGCAAGATGATGGTTGTGCTGGAAGCATTTGGCTCGAAGTCGTCTTCTCCTCTCTTGATGGTCTCCAAAAAGACATTTGGTGCGCCCTCAAGCCAGAACGGGAGAGGTGGGGCGACGTGGCCCGCGTTCTGTCCAGGGACAGTTCTCACTGGGGGATATCATTAGACTTATCGGTGCAGACACGTCAGAGAACCCTAACTGACCGTGCAAGGGCGAATTATAAATAAAGGCGGCTATCGGAACGTCGGATTCGAGGAAAGAGCCTACGTGGGGCATGACTGCCCATGAGAACTCGTGCCTGCCTAAAAGAACATGTGAGAATGGATTAGCCACGAAAAGTTTGATGCCAGAGGCAAACCTTGGTCCTGCTCTGGATCAGGGGCCGTGGCCGCTCTGAGCAGGGAGATACGAAGGATGTTGCCTTCACATGAAAAGCCATACTTAGATTCCGAGAGGAAAGCGACGCCATATCCATATTCACTAAGATCTGCGAACTGGTAGCTCGTGGATAAGTCTTGAAGGAGAATGGACTGATGAAAAAGCATATGCGTACCTTGTGCCCGCAGACCTCAAATTTGGCAGCATCCACCGTCGTGTTCTTGTGCGTCGGCCGCTGAACAAAACCAAACTGTGACTCATAAGTCGCATACGTGTTGTTGATATCGAGTGGTAGTTCAACTGTAATCAAGCATTAGAACAAGGCAGCAAGAGGTGCTGTCATCACGCACATTTAAGGAACTGGTGTCTCTCACGCCAGTCGACCACGGCATCGAAATTGAAAAAAGAGCGGGAATTTCCTTTCATCGTCGCTACGCTTCCGCTGTAAGTACTCGTTTCTGCGTTTGTGGAGTTTCTTACCGGTGATAGCATCAAGGGAGATCTGTAAACAGTGATGTATTCTGTCAGCATCGGAATAGATAGACAAATCACTTGCAAATGAGCGCGATAGAAGGAATGAAAGTGTAGCAAATAGTAGATACGCACCGTAACATCAATTGTACTTTTCCCGTACTTAACCTGTGTCTGAACAGCGGCCCTAAGGGGCCCTTCAGCAATAACCCGAACTTGAGAGAACGAAAGCGGAGTAGAAGTTTCAAGGTGGTGGATTTCCACATCTGCAACACCCAAGGCAAAGTTACATCCGGTCCGTGATCAGCAACTTGATAAAACAACGGACCCCAGGCATCCCAGTAATTTGGACGATCTTCGAAAATAACCAATCCACCGGAGCTTCCTTTGGGAATAAGCTCACGACTCAAGAGTAGAATTAGTAGGTTACGACGGCGAAGAAGGACGCAACTAACCCAAGCTTCACGTCAATCAGGCTGGTGATTCGTCCCCCTGAGATGGTAAGCTGGACATTGGCGTTCTGAGGACGAAGTGGTCCGTTCCATTGGTAAACACTATAAGGACATTCAGTATCTATACTGAGGTCCTGAAGACATCAGACGCACCAGATGCAGGCATAGAAAACATGCCCACAGGTTGTGACATGACCTTGTTTCCCACCGAGTGCATTAGAGCATATCCGTGCTTGCCATCTGCGGACGTTTGAATAACTTGCGCTTTCATGCGAGCAGCATCTCTGGATAAAGGAACCTTGATAACATCGTGGCGTGCAAATGACGTAGCATTAAACGCAACCAGTGTTTCCGTTGTCGAGTTTGACAGGAGGGGTGACGATCGTGGGAGGAGAACACTGAATGCATCCTCGAGAAGACCAGTGCATACTTCGCGAACTTCGGCGTATAACTTATCTGCGTCATCATAGACCATACCGCTACAGAACCAAATCAAACTCCAGCTAGGCATGGAGAACTGCAACTCACATTGCAGATCCAGGCAAGACTGAAATGTACGTTTTAGACATCATGGAAGTGCCAAAACCCCAAAAGCTTACCATCATGGACTGCCAAAAGATGAGGACAGGTGCCAATTAGTGCAGTATAGATACAGAGCACTTACACTGATTGAGTAACACTTTCTCCCAACAATCATCAATAGCCCGCTTCGGATATACATACGAATGTCTCTCGGGCTTGAGGAGCGAAGTTAGGGTAGCTACGCGCTGGGATAATTTAGGATATGACGTTAACCGTAGATTAGGCAAAACCAACCTCCACGTCCCTCAGAAGTATCTCGCACTTCCTGTTACCTTTCTTGATGGAACCTAACAAACACGAGATCAGTATTGATGGTGAGCGCGACAGTTAATGATAAACGCTTACCATGCGAGGTATAGGTCCCCCTATGGAACTGTCTCTGGTCTTCAGAACTAGAGTCTGCCCGAGCTGCTGCACACACTCACTTCAAGGTACAATTCCCCTTTCCTTTACACCGTTGTATGTCAGGAAAAAGTAATGAGAATGGGAGGCTTGACTGACCAAACTGGCAGTGTTTTGCCCTGCTTAGAATCTTCCTCAATGTCCTCGAAAAACTCCTCCACGGAACTTCCCATACTGACGGATGGAAGTTCTCTGTGTTCATTAGTAGTCGCGCGAATGCGACGGAGCTGTTAAGTATCATTAGGCTAGACTCAAAAGCCTGAAACCAATACTCGTACATTCTCTAGCATCTTGGGCAATGCTCCTCCTCCTCCATCTCCATTTCCAAAGACCAGAAGGGCACTAGCGCTTGACTCAAGGTTCTAAACGACAGTGAGCGGAAAAGAACACCCGTGGCAAATCGTGTCGCCAATACCTTATGATTTGTGATCCCCTTGTTGACGTCACCGACTGTTGCTTGTGCAGTGTAAGTATCTGCGCGAGTGAACCAGTTAGCATTGGTAGGACTGCTAACCGAACACAACATTACCGACGGGTGTCATATGACAAAGTACTTGTGAGCCATCGATGCCAACCCAATTGAAGGTGGAATGCGGGAACACATTTCTTTCCTTATCATCAGTAAACTGAGCCAACAACCCCGAAACTACACCAACATGTTATTCCTGCCGCGAACTGTAAGATGGTTGCAAACTAGGCTCATATATTGGCATACCAGCTCAACTTCTGTGTGAAGAAGTACTTCATGCCTGCATCCCTGATCAGCTGCGGATAGGCCGCAGTGAGCCCGAAAGAGTCCGGGAGCCAAGCAGTCTCACAACGCTTTCCAAAACGTGATTCGAAGTAGCGTTGACCGTATAGGAATTGCCGGACGAGGGCTTCACCTGAGGGCATATTTCCGTCGTTCTCAACCCACGAACCACCAGTGAGATGGAATTGGCCAGACGCCACTTTCTTCTTGATACGTTCAAAAAGCGTAGGATATTGCTATGAAGAATGGATATATGAGTAAATGAATTAAGAGGAGGCAGTCAAGCGCACCTCCTCAAGCCATTTGAATTGTTGGGCTTGAGAACAGACAAATCTATGTTCTGGGTAGCGTTCCATCAAATCGATCTGGGTGGACCAGGACCTCGCCGTCTTCTGCTGAGTGACCGAATAAGGCCACAACCATGCTGTATCCTGTTGAAGCGCAACATATTAGACATGACCTGCGCCCGCAAATAATAACTGACGATATGGCAGTATGAAATCCCGACAATCTGGGCCTTTCGAGGGCCTTCGTTGTATATCTTGTCGCCTTTTGCATGCCAGCCTTTTCCGAATACGTCCTCAGCAATTCCACGCATACATTTTACGTTCTCAGGGTCTCCAGATTTAAATGCATTCATAATTTTATTAGCTGTGACGAGTGCCTTGTTTTGAAGGGCAGTGTTGCCAGGGACAGTGTCCACGATCTCGCGAAGAGTGGTGAAGTCCCACATCAGATGCCCTGCAGCAAGTTTCAGCCGAGTACGCAGTGGAATGTGCAACGACGTACAAGCATCTTGGTTTGGGACAACTAAGTCTGCGGATGCAAGCTGAAAATACCTGTTCATCTACATGGAAATGAATATCTGCATTGCACTGAAAAGATAACAAGTTTACATCTGGAGGCGCGATGGTGTCGCCATCCCATGGCACGCCAAACATGCCGTTGCAGCTGGACTCGACGACCACAGAATAGTGGCCGTTACGAACAGCTTGAGGCGGAATGATATATTCAACTCTGCGCTCTCCAACGTATCCACCAGTAATTCCTGGATAGCGGTATTCATTTTGGATTGCCAAAAAGGTTGTAAAATATACCTTGGAGCGGGACACCATCCGTGGAGAATATCATAGCTTCGCAGCCAGGATCAAACTCAACTGAGGGGGGCATACTTGAGCATTTATTCACTGGTTCAAAACCCTTGCCTTACATTGTACACGCTCATACTGTTGCCAATAGGAAGGAATCTTGAGAGTGACCTTCCACCAGTGGTTTGTCTGCAAACAAATATATGCACGTGAGAAGCAGAAAAGATTACATAGTATTGCCATACCCCTGCAAAGAGAAAGTGTATCAGAAATAATGCTGAATATGAAAGCGACTTACAAGATGGCCCAAATGAATCACCCTTCTTTGCTGGTTTGAACTCTTGTTTCATTGCCTCTCGAAATGAGGGCTTTGTAAGGCCTGGTGCGCTCCAAACTTGGAGATCTACGTGATGCGAACCATCGATGCGATGAGTATAGAGAACAGAAGACAGGTTGACATCTTGGAAGTGACCCCCAAGGAAAGTGGACAGTCGGTTTTGAGTCAAACCCTTGATCCATTTCGCCCCGGATCCATGGTTAAGTTCAGGGTAGTGCTTCTGGTTTTGACTGTGTGAGCACATCGTTGACTGCAACTGTTAGGACTGGTATGTAGTCCTTCAAATACCATATGCCTGGGACTGAATGAACGTGGGATCTATGTATGCAGGTGGCTCAAGCGGGTATAAATAATATTGTCACACGACCTGCGGACCGATTTGACACTACTGTGAAATTGGACGGTCGTCGAACCCTGTTGGCCTCTTCCATTAACAAAATTAATACTGAGCTCAGTCACTGACTGCAAGACACGTATATAGACTGGCTGAAAGCTTTGAGGCTAAGTTGATGACGCAGTTTCATTACAGAGTCAGTGCGGCAAAGGTTTTTGAAACTGCCCGAACGCCGTCTATCCAGATTCTAGGTGAAGTCTTCGCTCCTTCATTTTTCTAGACGGATATTTTCCTACACTTATTATTCAGAAGAGGTCGCAACTCGTTTGGCAAGCTGGAGTATTGGAAGAGATGCTGTTACACTCAGTCGACCGATGTAACACCGCGTGAGGTCATAAGCACTTTGTAAGCACTGACTGATACTTACTAAAGTCTATGATGGATGTCGGCAGTTAGAACATGGAAAATCCCGAGACTACACTGACCACAGCTGCGGGTGTAACATGATCAAGTTAAATTCGTGTCTTGACTCTTGACCTGAACTATAGGTATTAACAACAGATCTTCAATATTATTTAGTATCCACCGTTTGTAGTTCCCTCCCCTTTCAACCTGTATCACCTCCTTAAATGACCCCTTTATCTGACCTCCTACTTTCGATAGTGCCGGTGGACTCTATCCCCGCTCATCTCAAATCGTACATTCCAGGCGTCTCACCCTTCTCTACCTGGCCAGTGGTAGCAGCCGTCATCACCTCCTATCTCGGTTTCATCTTTACGGCACGCGAGTTCGTGAAAGATCTACCTTCACTCAAACTACAGACGCTCTTCAAATTTCATAATGCATTGCTCAGCGCCGGCAGTCTTGTTCTCCTGTTATTGATCATGGAAGAGGTGGCTTCGGTATGGATGAACGTTGGTCATTACGACTCGGTGTGCGCACCATCATCCTGGACTGATGTAAGTGACCTACTAGTGAGCAGTTCCAGCTACACTCACAATGCAGATGCGGTGATAGCGACTAGAGTTCTACTACATGGTCAATTACTACTTCAAGTACTATGAGTTCCTCGACACGTTATTTTTGGTCTTGAAGAAGAAGCCTCTTAGTACGTCATCTAATATCCTTTGCAAACAACTGTAGATCATACCGGCAGCCTTTTTGCACGTCTTTCATCATGCCTCAACTGCATTACTGGCTTTCGTTCAGTTGAACGGCAAATTGAGCCCAGTGATTTGGATTCTGTACTTCAATATTGCCACCTACTCATGCCTCATAATTTAGTCTTGGACCGTTATCTCCATCAATCTTTTGGTCCACGTTGTGATGTGTAAGTGATATGGGGCTTTTAGAAACGATACTGAAATTTGCGCAGACTATTACTACTACGCAAGTGCAGGAGGCGCAAAATTCTGGGTAACTACACATACCTCTGACAAACTTTCGCTTACTATCACAACACAGTGGAAGAAATACCTCACGATCATGCAAATTATCCAATTCATCATCGACCTCTTCGTATTTTATTTCGGTCGTACGTGCCCCAATTTCTCATGAGTTCCCTGTGCTCAGTTTGTGCTCAGTGTACCAGCACTACGTCCATAAGTATTTTCCCGCATTTCCGCACTTTGGTGATTGCTCTGGCAGCGAGCCAGCAGCGCTCTTTGGTTGCGCTCTTCTCACAAGTTATTTGTTGCTCTTCCTCGATTTTTATATGTACACATACATCAAAGCACCTTTCTCTAAGGCGAAAGCAAACGGAACTAGTCAGACCATGGTTCCAAATAGAAATAGCCATACGTATGCACCCCGTCCCTCTACCTGATGGTATACCGCTAGAGCGATACTGATGAATTGATAACAGAACAAAGTAGCCTTCATGGTCAAATAGAACATTACATCTAACATGGTAGCATATAATCGTCTCCACAGAGCACTAATCCCTGCAATATGACACAAGAAACAAGAAGTATGAACAGAGCGCTCAGTAAGTATATTATCAATAAATCCCGGGAATCAATCGGTATTTCACCCTCTTCGCCCAATCCATCCATTCGTCTCCCATAACACGCTGGAGCATCTTGTCCTCTACAGCAGGCCGTTGAATGACAGCCCCGACAAATGCTGTGAGCAAAAAGAAGCAGGAACCTGCTACCACTTTCACGACAGGCATATGTAGAATCCCACACTCTCTCATCCACGACCCCTTGCTCACATACACGGCAATGATCCCGACATATTGGAGAAGGTAGCCTGTGTAACTTGGGTGGCGGACGATTGAATACGGCCCACTTGTAACAAGCCGGTGTTCTTTTCTGATACTGAGTGGGAAGCTCCATTGCTTTCCCAATGTTGACGAACAATAAAGTCTGAACAAGCCGCCAGTTGTGACAGCAAGACTGCCGGCAAGGAATACTGGTGTTATAGGCATGGGGTGAAGAGCATGCAAAAAATGCACAACTCTAGCTCCATACTCTGGAACTTGTGAGGGATCCACATGGGTGACGAGGATGCTTGCTACTTCAGCAAACGATGCTGCCCATATGCTGCCCTGTCAAATTATCCAGCAATAAACCAGACGCCCACAGGTGTATAGGAGTAACACACCTTTAAGAAATCTAAACCATGGAGTTCGAGGACCCGTCTGATGAAGAATTCCAAGGAGGTGGAAGGTACTACTTTCTCTTCTTTTGATGGTGGCTGAGAAGGAGAAGTGAACGAACAATGTATGCCGATGGCCGAAGCCATGATGAAAGGGATCTTCACCAAACTCATGATGTATTACTGACATCCGTTTGGAGTGCCATGAGCTACATTAAATACCTGATCATCCAACATATCACAGGCTCGAAGCTAGTGTCCCTTGAGACAGCCCTTTATAGACGAAGGAAGATGGTCATTCCTTTTCGCACCAAGTTTATTAGGCCACGGTAATCTTTTGCGGGTGGAAACCCCTTCCGAGATCCGTAAATCGGCACATAGGTGTTGACATGTTGACAGACAGACACATGTTACCAAATCTCAGAGAATCTTACGCTTCGAGTTCTTTTCACTTTTCCATGCCCTTATCAACCACATGTCGTCTCTAGTATCGTTGTCACTGGTAGCATCTTGCCTTCTCCTATGTCTTGATGTTTGATACTTGACAAAGTCCTCGTTATCGTTCTGCGTCAAGAGGTATGTCACTATTATCAAGTTGCTCGTACTCGGTCTCACTAGCATGTACAGCTAGACTTTCTTAGTATTCACAGTGGATCTGTCAAACCTATTTCAGCGCATTCCTAGGGTTCAAAATAACTAGTACCATGACAGGTGTCTTGAACAGCTGACCCAAGTGTAGCGAAGCACTGACAGAATGTTACTGACAGTCAAGCGACAGTTTCCACCGGTTCCGGATGCAATTACTCACCATGTAAGTAGGAAGCCATAAAAAGTACCCTCGCAAGCTCCACATCTGATGAAAGGCCAGCGGCCGCCGGCCTACAATGCAGCCAAAATCAGAATGCATATACGTTTCTTGGAGCGTTATGCATTTATGATTGACACTAGCTTTGCCTTGTGTGTTCAGGTAACTTGCAGTGAGGGATAGATCAATCAGCGCTAGCGCTAAGATTCAATTGTCTATTTGGTGCGTCCACTGGTAGTGCCGAATCATTGACGAGTCCGACGGTCGATATCGATGGAGTAATTGAGATTATCAAACAGACCTGTTTTGCGCGAACTTGGTGTGAGCATGCAGCTTGCCAGTATGCGGGGTCAGTATGACTCACTGTGGCACTCTGCATACTTATGCCAATCATGTATGCATGATGTGATCCATCGTTACATATTTACATTCCTTGAATTCGCTTCCATTAGTGAAAGTGCACAGAAGCCAACCTTTCCGATCCGGGGGTTACAAAGTGATGCAAGATCTGAAAGTTTTGCCTGGATTCACGCATCTGCAAAACATTGGTGTCGCCCCGAGAGGCCCATTTACCATGTCGCCAAGATACAAGGATCAAGAATGACAAGCACCGCTTGAAGCACGACCATGCTGTCCAGTTCGAGTGACCATACGGTGCGTCGAGGCTCGAAAATTACATTTCCCTCCCTACATAAGTACATTAGACAGGCATAAGAATGGGTGTACGAGCAAAAAAAAGACAGCTGCCATAGCGCGATGGTACCTAAAATCATACGAGATTCTCCTTCGACGACACCAAATCTGGTTGGTCAGCTATCACAAACTTCTTCTTCACACCATCGTTGTTCTTGGACTCCTCCAACTGCACCTTCACGCCTTCGTTGGTGATAATCCCCTCCTTGTAGAAATCTTCGAGTGTCAGACTCCCGGCAGCGGATGCCATAATGAGAGGATGATGATGATGGTGATGGTGATGGGAAGGATAGCGAGAAGATATGTCGCCGATCGCCGATTCCAACCTATCGTCGATATGTACATTGTCCCATTGACTGGGGAGATGAGGTCATCCGGGATAATATTATCGGTGAAGCTGCCCACGACCATAAACCCAGAGCGAAGGTACTGCCAAGCGATGCTAAGTCAATTTGGATTGGGCCTGAGGGATCAGAACTCTCACTGTGGCAGAAAACTCAACAACGCCACGCCAATACTCCTCCTAAGAAAGGCATAAACTTGAGGCGGGCAAAGACCTTGCAACATGAAACTCACCAGCTCTTTGTAAACCTGCATCTGATTTCCAAGATTGTCGTCGATAGATGTGTTAGTTGTTGATGAATAGATGGAGTACAGAGTATCTCCGATCGCGCTGCTCATAAGCCCCTGCGAGTTGATCGACTGAAACTTGGCCATTCCAGCAATGAATGACAGTAGCTTAACATTTTCTGGCCCGAAAGGGGTGAATGAAATGACCTCAGAGGAAATTAGGTCATTGGAATAATTTGCGCGGACTGTGGTCAACAGTGGGGTCACTTCGCACACGCTTGCGTCAAGGAACCTATACTTGTAGAATCCTTGTGAAATAATCACTATAGAAACAGAATCGGACAATGGCTACAAACACATATTTCAATGGCTCACTGAAGCTTGTAAAAGTTTGATTGAAATTCGCAGGCCCCGGGCAAACAACGGAAGGAAGGAAGCCACTCCCCGACAGGCTCGCATTTCCACTTGCATCTACCATGGTCACATATTCCTGCGTTGTGGCGTATCTAGGAGCTGACAGTAAATTCGAGGCAAGGTATATGCAGTTGGAACTCACTGGCACCGCAATTTGCAGTTATATTCCACAGGCGAAGACCAGTGATGGAGTTGTTCGGAGCAGCTGCGTTGGCATAGATGACATATGAGTTGTTCGTGTCCCAAAGGTATTGCGTTTGACTCGAGTTAATGGCCCGGCAGCTGACGTTGGCTGTCAACCCTTGTTGCGACATGGAATAGTTCCTACTGAAGCCTTGAGGAATATGCACGCTGGTATGTTTTTCCGGTACCTGTCCTGCGCGACGCATGCCACAGGTGGCAAGAGGAATTCGGCGAAGGTGCAAGGGAGGGGGGTATAATGATAGATGTTTGTCAAGCTCGTTAGGATGATGACATGATAGATGTCGGCGGAGCTTGCTGCCGCTGGATCCAGGGATGATGGGAGAAGAAGTGTATATATAGGAATGTATCGGGGGCCTGTGAATGCCGAGACAGTGTTCGAACTTTTGGTTAGAGGCAATTCTGGCAATCGAGCTAGCTCAGAGTCATAATAGGGTGCTAGTACAAACTCACCGTTAGGACTTTTTTCCAAGCCAATTGATGGGACCGAGCTAGCTCGGAGTTGTAATAGAGTGCTCGATACTCGGCGATGTCGATGAATCATGATTTGCCAACGAGAAAGACGGCAGGAGCGTCGGACACTGGACAACGTGGAGGATTGGTGAGTAGAGTATGGGTAATAATAATATTAGCTTACCATAAGTTAATGTTCTGAGTATTGCAGATGCTCACTATGAGGCGCTGGTCTGGTCGATTCAGTTTTCAAATAATTGAAGAATGTTGTTTGCGCTTGATACTTCCTCAGTGACTGTGAAGTTGATTCAAGTTGGCTTAGACTACACAAAAGTCATCACCAGAAATTCATCCAAGGTAACCTTCCGTGCGGATGCATGAACATGTGTTTAGCAAGACGACAGCCTCCAGTTTGGCTAAAGACTTCGTCAACTCACATGTTACTATCTAGATTTTGTCGCCAAAATCTAAAATAAATTTACCTGCTCATGATAGTTCGACATCATGCACTACAAATGTCAAATAAGACCAAGCAAAAACCGGAGATACCCTAAACACCGGAGATACCACCGCCGGTTCGGACACAAACCTCTTTCTGGAGGGTTTTACACCAGGTTCGGACTCATACAAGCTCACCATCGCAACTTCGTTTTCCTTGATCCCATTCCTGCTGAAATCTTCGAGTACGAGATCCCCAGGCAGCGCATGCCATAATGAGATGAAGAGTGTTTGATACGTCGAAGTGGGCCCTGCGGTGACTCCTGCAGTGTCCCGCAAATTCTTGAAGCTTGGCACGCTCTTGATCCTCTTTCAGACGGTCTTCATGCTCTTTCCAGGCCTCCAGAATACTGTACGACGCGCAGGTTAAAGTGAGGATGGTGATAATGGTGAGCGGAAGTGTAGCGAGCAGATATGTCGGCGAAGTTTTAGCCCAGCGAGCCCAGCCTATCGTCGATATGAACATGGTCCCATTAACTTGAGAAGAGAGGTTGTTCGGGATCTCATTATTTGGGAAGCTACCTGTGGCCATAAACGCGGAGCGAATGAACTGTGAAGTGATGATAGGTCAATTTGAACCATGTGGAACGGATCGGTGACCTCACCGTAGCGGAAAATTCAACAACACCACGCCAGTAATCTTCCTAAGAATGTCATAAGAGGTGGATCAAGATTGTAGGATGTGAAACTGACGAGCTCAAGGTAAACCAGTGTGTCATTGAGATTGTTGTTGATGGATCCGGTAGTGGTCGAGGAATAAACGGAGTACAATGTATCCCCAATTGTGCTGCTCGTAAGCCCCTGCGAGTTGATCGACTGAAACCTGGCAACTGAAGCGATAAATGACAGTAGCTCGCCATTTTCTGGCTGGAAAGGAGTGGATGAGATGATCTGGGAAGAAATTTCTTCATTCGAATAATCGGCGCGGACTGTAGTCAATAGGGGAACCACATCGCACACGCTTGCTTTAAGGAACCAATACTTGTAAAACCCTTGTGTAAAAATGGCTACAGGAATAGATTTAGTCAAGGACTCCAAACGCATATTTCAATGGCTCACTGAAGTTGGTATAAGTTTGATTCACATTCATTGGTTCTGGGCACACAACTGATGGAAGAAAGCCACTCCCTGATGAGCTCGCATTTCCATTTGCATCGACCATGGTCACATATTGGTACGTTGTCAGCGTGTCTAGAAACTGTCAGTGAACATGAGAAGAGATATCCAAAATCCAAACTTACTGGTACCACAGTTTGCACTGATATTCCACAAGCGGAGACCGGTGATGGAGTTGTCCGAAGCAGCTGCATTGGCATAGATGACGTAGGAATTGTTAGTGTCCCAAATGTACTGCGTTTGACTCGAGTCAATGGCCCGGCAGCTGACGTCGGCTGTCAACCCTTGTTGCCACATGGAATAGTTCCTGTTGAAGCCTTGAGGAATATACATGCTGAGGTGTGATCCAGGTACGGCTCCTGTGTTAACCGTAACATTTCCGCCAGAAAACCCAAGACGAGTACCATTGGCACCCGGAACTCCATCCGAGCCGGAATAATCCTCGATGGTGGGCACAATCCCCTCTAGTTGCACAGTATCGTAAAATAGTTCAGAGTGAACTTAAGGGCTGGACGTACTAGTGGATATGTTATATTTTGCGCCATTGAAATTGAATGTCCCAGGAAGACCAAAGGTAAATCCCGCAGCAGCAACTCCACTGAGCATTGCACCAACGTCGAGGATTTCGAAAGCATTGTCCTGGACTTAATTATTTCACTTGTCAAGCTATTCGTCAACTCGAGTAGAAATACATACTGTCAGTGAGACCATTTGCTAGGAATTCTTGGCGAAGCAAGGCGGCAAACGCGCTTCCAGTTATGTCAAGTTCGGATCCATTCAATTGTACTGGCCACATGAAGTAGGTCGGTGTCAAGAGAGTTGTCCACCTTTGACCCCATTCAAATAAGAAGATCTCGACAGTGCTTCCAGAGAAGACGCACCCGGCCGTTAAGAGCTTCAGCATCCCGAAGATGAACAGCGTCAAGATGGTCAAGCCTATATATCGGTGTTTCAGAATATGAGAGCCCTGTGCCAAAGCGACACCAGTGCTCAGATGAATTAGAGAAATGGGCTTCCACATTCGATGTCTTAGTGCCTCTTTGACTGAGAGCGTGAAAAGACTAGCGGAAAAAATCACGTCTTACTGAATGATCAGTCTGAGAGAGCAAAAGGTAGACAGACGTAGCAGCGGTGACCGATAGTACAGTTGCTATAAATGTGACGACCATTGTTAACTCTCCAGGATGGTTCTTCATCAACTCGCAGACTGAATCGGATGGAGCAAGGTACTCAAGGTAGGCAACCGCACCAAGGAATCCATATCCAAATGTCAGGATGACGATCTGGATACTGATGATAACTGTGAAGCGTACAAAGTTGGGGGGAACCTGAAACATCGCAGGATGAGGCGTAGACGCAGAATCTATGCTGCCATTCGGATAGAAATATAATATACTTGACTTATATACTTGACGGAGCACGAACCTTGCTGCATACACGCCACTGACGCAGCCTGGACTGCAGGAGCATCCGAGCGGAACCTATGACTGTTGCATGCGCGAGATGCACGCAATGAAGATGATCAGCAACGCAGCGGCTATACCAACATGTCAAGTAGATTCAGATACATCGCATCCTTTAAATTTTGATTCGCTCTAGACAAGTCCTCGGGAACTTGAAGGCGAGCTTGGTGTCAAAGACATACTGGAAATGTATGAGATCCAACGTTTCTCTGTGACTGTGTTAAAGGTTCAGGTTCAGAGATGGTAGCAACATACGTATACATTGACTTGCTTGCCCAGTTTGCTTTTGCTAACCTGAAGAAATTTACTTTCAGTGCTATAGATACTTCGAAGAAGCTCACTGGGGCATCACCGGGAGAAATACGCTTAATTTCCAATACTCGTAACAAATCGCACCTCAGCACGCGGTGACTCTAGAGCATCCTTCGAGCTTCGAGGGGAAGGAGAGGGTATACGAGTTGAACGGACTTTAATGTATTGGAGGGCCGCCGCCGCATGCGGCATGTCATAGAGTCTGACTCGGGTGGCTGCGGTTTGATCTAAGTTAGGCCACTTTCCCACAGTATGTGTCTATGGAAACTTAAGTGGTTAAGCTTTGAGTGCTACAGCTACACACACTTCATTACCGTTCAGGTTAGAACATGAAGATCGCATTAACTGAAAGAGAGCCCGATGGAAACCACCCTATGGGACCACGAGACGATAGATCCGAGTATAACAACTCAATGAATTGGCGCAGACGCTATTATCTCCGGTTACGTTCCAGGCGTTTGGATTAACCCATTACGCGTCCTCGCTATATGATGTTGTTGTGTTATCCATGTAATTCCTGCGTTAGTATCTGCAAGGTATTAGGGTGCGGGTTCGGTACTGGCATTTATATACCGTGGTGCGGTTCCGGCGTTGCAGTCCAAGCGACCCGAGATGACAGATCCGAGATGGCCTGTGCGAGGGGAGACTGGGATGTTAGTTAGAAATCATTGCATTTATCTTAAAATGTCTAATGGCTCATAGTGTACTTGTCATGTCACCGCATTTGGCACCATGGTAGGCTGCAGTTAGAATTCACTCTTGAGCTTTCATATACCGGATCTCAATTTCTTCATTCCTCTTCAAGCCATTGATACGCGGCGCTCAAGAGTCATCAGTAAAATACCACATTCCTTCAATTAAGTTAATCATGACTTATTTTACTTGGCTTGGCGCCCAAGTTCATCAACAGTGATTATATCTCAATGCAATCACTTTCATTCTCTATAATCTATACCCGGGCCCTCATCATGTTCACACCCATATGCATGCCACTTCCTGTTGTACTATCTATGCCCAATGAATTAATCATTTCTTATTTTTTTTATTGATTTCTTACCGTTTTACAAGCTTGGAGCTTATTTATTCTTAATGTACAGAATTCAAGTTCTGTCAAGTCACTTGTCACTCGAAGACGAAAGACTTATATTAAGTCGGTCGTCTTTGAAAAAGACCAATTTATTGGCCACAAATTCAAGCTCATTGAGTTAATGCTCGAAACGTGGTATTTTATCGGATGCAGTGGCGACCAGCCTCCAAAATAAGAGTGCATCATAGTACACTCTCGGAATAGTATGAGATTGACAGTGGCTTTGCCTCATGGGCTTAAGGACCTTACCTATTGGTCAGGCTGCAAGGTTTGAGAGACGCATGAACGAACATTCTGTTCAGTTTAAGTAATATATTTAGACAGGGGCCCCCCTCACTAAAGTGCCTTATGTAACATAGACAAGAGTAAGAACGATTGTACGAGTAAGAAAAGACACCTGAGACAGCCAAGTAAGAGTCTGCGACAGATGCTGCTCAAATTAGGGGACATATTCGAAGTCAATACATTCATAAAGGTCTCGGGATATGTATCGCATTTGTCCATAGACCTTTTCTGACCATGTCTCAGGTGACGACTGCCATAGCGCAATGATACCTAAAATCACACCAGCTCTTCCTTCGACACAAACGAATACGGTTGATCGGGTATCACAAACATCTTCTTGTTACCATTCTCCTTCAGCTGCACCTTCACGCCCTCGTTGTTGACAATTCCTTTCCTGCCGAAATCTTTGAGTGGGAGACTCCCAGCAGCGCATGCCATGATAAGATGAAGAGTGTTTGACACGTCGAAGTGGGCCCTGTGGTGACCGCGATATCCATGATGCTCTTTCCAAGCCTCCAGAATACTGTACAACGCGGAGAATAAAGTGAGGGTAGTGATAATGGTGAGCGGAAGTGTAGCGAGCAGATATGTCGGGGAATTCTTAGGCCAGCGAGTCCAGCCAATTGTCGATATGAACATGGTCCCAGTAACTTGGGAAGAGAGGTTGTTCGGGATCTCATTATTTAGGAAGCTACCTGTGGCCATGAACCCAGAGCGAAGGAACTGTGAAATGATGCTAGGTCAATTTAGACAATATTGAACGGACCAGTGACCTCACCGTAGCGGAAAATTCGACAACACCACGCCAGTAATCCTCCTAAGATGTCATAAGAGGTGGATCAAGATTGTATGTCATGGAACTGACGAGCTCAAGGTAAACCTGCGTGTCATTGAGATTGTTATTGATGTATCCGATAGTAGTCGAGGAATAGACGGAGTACAAGGTATCCCCAATCGTGCTACTCGTAAGTCCCTGCGAGTTGATCGACTGAAACCTGGCAACTCCAGCGATAAACGACAGTAGCTCAACATTCTCTAGCTGGACAGGAGTGTATGAGATCACCTCCGAAGAAATTTGTTCGTTGGAATAATCGGCGCGGACTGTGGTCAACAGGGGAACCACATCGCACACGCTTGCTTTAAGGAACCCATACTTGTAAAACCCCTGTGTAAGAATGGCTACAAGAACAGATTCGGTCAATGACTCCAAACGCATATTTCAATTGCTCACTGAAGTTTGTATAAGTTTGGTTCACATTCATTGGTCCTTGGCACACAACAGACGGAAGGAAGCCACTCCCTGATGAGTTCGTATTTCCATTTGCATCGACCATGGTCACATATTGGTACGTTGTCAGCGCATCTAGAAGCTGTCAATGAACGTGAGAAGAGATGTCCAAGATCCAAACTTACTGGTACCACAGTTGGTACTGATATTCCACAAGCGGAGACCGGTGATGATATTGTTCGAACTTGAAGCAGCTGCGTTGGCATAGATGACGTAAGAGTTGTTCGCGTCCCAAAGGTACTGCGTTTGGCTCGAGTCGATGGCCCGGCAGCTGACATTGGCTGTTAACCCTTGTTGCGACATGGAATAGTTCCTGCTGAAGCCTTGAGGAATAGGCACGCTGGGGTGTGATCCAGGTACGGCTCCTGTGTTGACCGTAACATTTCCGCCAGAAAATCCAAGACGAGTACCATTGGCACCCGGAACTCCATCCGAGCCGGAATACTCCTCAATGGTGGGCACAATCCCCCCTATATCCACAATACATCATCGCAAAACAGCTTCAAGTAACCTAGGAATCTGAACCTACGAGTAGATACATTATATTCTGCGCCATTGAAATTGAATGTCCCAGGAAGACCAAAGGTAAACCCTGCAGCAGTAACACCACTAAGCATTCCACCGACGTCGAGGATTTCGAAAGCACTGTCCTGGACTTGGTTATCCCATTTTACAAGCCACTCGTCAACTCGAGTAGAAATACACACTAAGACCATTTGCTAAGAATTCTTGGCGAAGCAAGGCGGCAAATGCGCTTCCAGTTATGTCAAGTTCGGATCCATTCAACTGTACTGGCCACATGAAGTAGGTCGGTGTCAAGAGAGTTGTCCACCTATGACTCCATTCAAATGAGATGATCTCGACAATGCTTCCAAAGAAGACACACCCAGCCGTTAAGAGCCTCAGCATCCCAAAGATGAACAGTGTCAAAAAGGTCAATCCTATATATCGATGTTTCAGAATGTGAGAGCCCTGTGCCAAAGCGACACCAGTGCTCAGATGAATTAGAGAAATGGGCTTCCACATTCGATGTCTTAGTGCCTCTTTGACTGAGAGCGTGAAAAGACTAGCGGAAAAAATCACGTCTTACTGAATGATCAGTCTGAGAGAGCAAAAGGTAGACAGACGTAGCAGCGGTGACCGATAGTACAGTTGCTATCAATGTGACGACCATTGTTAACTCTCCAGGATGGTTCTTCATCAACTCGCAGACTGAATCGGATGGAGCAAGGTACTCAAGGTAGGCAACCGCACCAAGGAATCCGTATCCAAATGTCAGGATGACGATCTGGATACTGATGATAACTGTGAAGCGTACAAAGTTGGGCGGGACGTGAAACATCGCAGGAAACGCAGGCGCAGATTCTATTCTGCCATTCGGATAGAAGTATTATATACTCACTTATATACTTGACGGAACACGAACCTTGCTGCATGCACACCACTGACGCAGCCTGGACTACAGAAGCACTCGAGCGGAACCCGTGACCCGAATGAATACTGTGTATGCGCGAGATGCACGCAATGAAGATGATCAGCAGCGCAGCTATTACCAACATGGCAAGTCAATTCAGATACATCGCGTCCTTTAAATTTTGATTCGTTCTGGACGGGTCTTCGGGGGGTTGAAGGCGAACTTAGTGTCAAGGACATACTGGAAATGTATGAGATCCAACGTTTCTCTGTGACTTTGTTAAAGGTTCAGATTCGGAGATGGTAGCAACATATGTATACGTTGATTTGCCTGCTCAGTTTACTTTTGCTAATAAATTGAATTTCAGCGCTATGAATACTTCGAAGAAGCTCACTGGGGCATCACCGGGAGAAATGCGCTTAATTTCCAATACCCGTAACAAATCCCACCCTCAGCAAGCAGTGACCCTGGAACATCCTTCGAGCTTTGAAAGGTAAGGAGAGGGCGTGTGAGTCGAAGGGACTTCAATGTATTGGAGGGCTGCATGTCGGATGACTGCGGCGGTTTAAGGCCACTTTCCCACAGTATGTTTGCTGAAGCTTGGGTGGTTAAGCTTTGAGCACTTCATTACCGTTCGGGTTGGAACACGGAGATCGCGTTAACTACAAGCCAGGGCCCGATGGAAACCACCCTATGTGACTACGAGACGATAGATCCGAGTATGAATGGTGCAACACCTCAACGAATCGGCGCAGACGCTATTACGTTCCAGGCGCTTGGAATCCACTATGCATCCTTGCTATATGAAATTGTTATGCCATCGATGTAATTCATGCGTTAGTATCTGCAAGGTATTAGGGTGCGGTTCCAGCACTATAGTAGGCTGCGTCCCAGGACCGTCGGGATACGCTGTTTCATAGAATTCCCTCTTTCGCGTGCCGAATCTCAATCCCTTCATTCCTCTTCAAGCCATCATGGTGCTCAGGACCATGCAGCTGCCCTTTAGCCCATTGGCCCCAGCGGCCGCGACAAGGTGAATGGTGTCGCAGTAGTCAAACACAACATCCTCTCCCTGTGGATATTGCAGTTCGTTCTTTAGACTGAATCCGGCGGCAACATCGGTAACAAGCCACATCATCGTAAAGATGACAAACAGAAACAGGTAGATGGGACGTTCTTCTTCCCGCCCATTCGTAGCAACACCGGAAGGTATTTCTGTCCAGGGAAGACTGCCAGTGGCGGAGAAACCAGATCTCGGAAACTACCAGAGATGAAACCATCACCATATTCGCCAGAAGAGGTGATCGCAACTTTCTGTGTCACTGAGTTCTACCACCTCACCCCAATAGCCTTCTGCAGTCAATAGATTATTTACGTCTGAGCACAGCAGTGGCAGATTTCCTACCAGTTGACAGGAAATGACATCCATTGAATTGCTATCAACACAAACAATTATGCAGTCCCCGATAACATTGGTCTGGAAGCCTCAATCGCTCCCCGCTTGATAATTGATCGCACTCGCGATGAGCTCTGTGAGGGCCGTGTTCGAGTCTTCGAAACGGCGACGACCAGCTGCTGCTGCCGAGTGTATTCCTTGATTATATGCGCCCACTGTCGTCACGTACAGCACAACCTCGCAAACAGTTGTAAGCAGGAACGCATATTTAGCATGGCCTGCCATCAGAATATCTTTGAAGGAAGTTATGTTGGTGAGCACATAGTAAACGGGCGGGCTCGTTCGCTTACCAAACTTGTACGGGCTGAAACCTAGGGAGCCTAGCTGCAGAAATACAACTGTCGGAAGAAAGCCCTCAGTATCTGGTTCATTTCGAGAGTGATCGCATTTGTAAAGGTGGTGCATAACATAGAGCTATTTCCTGTAATACAAGATGTGATACTTTGCTTAGAATTATAGGAATGATTTGCTTGCCATTTGGATACTTTACTACCACTTCCCACATCGTCAAGCCGACGCTGTCCCAGTGGGAAATGAAACTATGCTTGAATAGGCACTATAAGAGTAGATAGAAACGTCCCACTCTCCGCGGTTAACCTCTGCGGTGAGGGTCATGGTATATTTCTTTCCCAAGACCCCGGGGAGGGGAACCAAAAAGGTCACGACCAAGGTCGATTGTCACATCGAGAGGCACGAAAACACTGGTGGAAGCAAGTCCAACTGCAATCTTGATAATTGTTCAAAGTGGGGAGGAGATCATCTTGTCAAATACGCTGTCACGAGCTTCCAACAATACATGGAAAAAAGTGTTACACACTTGTCGACTCGCTGTACGAGACTCCATTATAATTATTAAGGTACTGCTTGTGCGTACCCCCGCGTCATAACTTGCGGAAGAAGCGCCATTGAAGAGGGCAGCGATGTCTAAACAAGAGTGATGAGATAAAAAAAAATGATAACACGAATCGCACGCACCATATCAAGCCGAACTATTCGACAGAAGTGCACTCAGTACATCGTTAAAGGCACTACTACTAACCTCTAGTTCAGTTCCTGATAAAGCGGCTGGCCACTCGATCAGCGTCGGCAAGATCCAACTGCAGGGAAAGCTCAAATGAGTATTTGAAAGAAAAACTATGAATACGCATATTTACCAGGAATTCAGAAAAGTGATCATCCTGAAGATGGTGCTTGTGAGCAACACATACTTCCAGTGCCTCTTATCTCTGCATGTAACCCAAGTTGGCATTGTCAACGCGGAGCCCGAACAGCAAGATGCTCTTGGCTAGGCCATGCCTCAGAGCCCCCTCCATCGAGAATGAGAGCAGGCTGGAAAACATGAAGTCAAAACATATCGGTGTGGTCTTGTGCGAGATTCAACTGACCTTGTCGTGATCGCGGACAATACGGTGGAGATTAAAGAAACTAGAGGGCGCCGTAAAGCCCATACAAAACAAAGAAATAATGGACTGTGACCATGGCTGCCACTAATAGAAAACTATGACGGATACCTGTCGGTGTTCTCAGCATCGTGCAAGGAGCGCAAATAAGCAAGTGGATATACCTCAAATTTGAAAAACAACGAGGCCATCGTTGACAACATTGCGAGGCGAGCACGCTATCCAGCCACTGAGACTGCGCGATCAGAGAAGAAGCCATATAGTTGGCATATTTCCGGATAACAGGCATGCCCATTTGAGTTTTCTTCTCGAACGTACTTCCACGCTTGACGCACATGGCTGGGTAACATAGGCTGTGTTTGCATTTGCAAGATATTCATTCTGCCGCATTCCTTTTGCAAACTTGAATGATCGGCGATCCAGAGTCTCCTATTTCTTATCACGGAGCCGGGTAATGCAACCACTCGAGACTCGAGCGTCATCGGAGAAGAGTGTCGAATAGTCAAAAATTGTTCGGAACGACTTTCCATGGGAATGAGTAGCTGTGTCGAACGTGTGCGTGCTTAATGTACGATATGAGAGTTGCTTGGTCGCTGCGGCGAAACGTATCTGCAGTGCAGAGCTACTTGATAGAATGGAATTGTGATCTCCTCACAAATGAGCGCCGACTCTGTAAATGTACTCGTTAAGCATGATTTGAATTGGAGACCCACCACCCGAATAGAACTGACCGACGATTTTATCAAGAAGTACTTCCCTTTCCTCAAGTTTTGACCTACAATTGTACCGGCCAGACAGGGAATTTAGAATTAAAAAACTTCGAGATCTAGACACTGTGGAGAGGCAATCATCCATCAGAGCATAGCGTTGCCCGTGTGGGTTGAGCGTGTTTTGGTATAGATGACCACCAGTGATGGGGCCTTCAAGTTGAGGCATAATACACCCAGCCAATACTTGATACCAACCTGTCCGAGTCCGCGTGCAAATAACCTCTGGTGGAGCAGGGTGGAGCAGAATGGAACGTTGCTGTAAATGTAATAGGGCATGTACATCACCCCGGAGCCGGATCTGGCTTGAACGAGTACAGGCCAGGGATCAATATTAAAATATGGAACGTTGAATTTTGATTGCGCCATACGGCTAGATGAATTCCTTCTATGGTATAATGGTTCTGACCTATTATACACTCGAGGTCAACGTCCGAGAGGTGCGTACAGAAATAAACGTGGAAGAGGATTAGAAAAGAGGGCAGGCCAGCGTCAGCAACGCCACGGCAGAGCGGAGCATCAATTGTAATTCATGTCAGCAGTGGGCACCACCTCATTTCCTTTTCACTCTTCTAAACCAAACCAACTGACCTATGAGGCTCAAAGTCCAAACGGGAATGTGTGACTGCCAAAACCAATGGTCATTCGAGCAACAAGTAAAAATTGAAATCTACCTTGTCAATCTTGAGTCGTTTGCAATTCCGGTTGACCATCCGCAGATTCAAACAACGAAACTTGCATATGTCGAACAGCCTGCGCAATTTGGGACGGTGATATAGAAAACACTCTGTACAAGCACAGGTACAGGCCACAGGCCTAGACGTAACTTCCCTTGCTCGTTCCGTCTACGCATGGCGAGATTTAATGGGAACTCTAGGATAATTGCCGAACTTCATTAGTATATAAATCTGAGCCCAGCTGGGGCTGCTCCTGTGATCTGACAACAAATAATTGCAGAAGATCCGAACCGCACCAGGCCGTCAGGCCTTCAGGAGGCATCTTGCAGTGGCATTGTCATGCCCTTAGGTAACTACGTGGGAACAGGGAAGCATTGAGAAAATGATGTGAGCGGCAGCTTTAGCACCCAGCATGTGTAGGGAGTTGTGTTAGAATGTATCGTGTTCGGGAGCGATATCGATACATGGCCTCAGCATCCACTACCATTGGGAGGATATGCAAGTGGGAGCATAGACGGAGTGCGGTAAATGACCCTTGGAATACTGATAACAGTGGAGGAACCAAGATGCGAGCCCGTCAAATACAGCACGCGGATGTGCATCCAACTTGAAAAAACCTTTCACGAGAAGGTCATTGTCAAGGTAAATGGGAAAAAAGGAACTGTGATCGCCGTCGAGTCGCCTGAGAGTTCCTGATATCCTTCCAACGCAATCAAGGAGGGCGTGCTTTGCACTGTGTGGTGGTTGGTTTCTGCCTGAGGAAAACGCGGGCATGCCTCGGGAAATCTTGTAACGAGGGGGATGTGTTCGCGGCTGTCTCTACAACAACAAAAAGAAGGTCCGTGACATTGACGAAAGGTGCAAAATTGAAATTACACCAATTCAACCGGGTCAAGGAATCTGATACAGATTGCTATGTATGCAGGGTGGGGAGATTGGAGAGGTGCTTCCATGCTGTCGAGTCAGGCTGCGTACAATGCAGATGTTCAAGCCGGGTATCGAATGTACCGTGTCTTCCGTGGTCAGGATCGTTAAGTTCTCCGATGTGGCACAACAGATTCCCATTGATCGTAATGAAGGGCCAACAGCATAAGGGACAGGAAGTGTAATTGTTGTACTTTGAGCCGTCCGGCTTAACGACAGCAAGAATACGCATGTCTCGATATATGGACAGGGCTGTGAGAAGATGAAAATAGTCGATGGTTGGAATGTCCGATGGTGTGGACATGCCACAGGCGGCATGATGCAAGAATCGAAGAGCCTCATGCTCGGATAATGAAAGCAAAAATTCTGTCGGCTCGGTGAGTGAATGTGACATTGTATCATGAAGAAAAGGAATGGAAGAGAAGAATAATTGGGCTACCTTATGACTAGTAGTCCGCACTGACCGCTTATGATCGGAGTCCCCGTTACACAACCGGTTCTATCCCAGTCCGCTGAGCCGAAAGCAGGTCCGTGACACCATAATGATTTTGATGCAGATAGAAGTGAGTATGTATTCCGGAGGATAGGCGAATTTACATGAAACAGATACAAATAAGTTATACCAGGGCGTAGCTATTTTGACGCGGCTAAGCAGCATTGACGCGGGCCAGTGCTTTGTGATTATCAAGTTTGAACCCCAGTGAAAACCTCACATGACGAGGTCGGGCGCCAGCGGGTCAGATCTGAAAATTATTGCTTGAATAGGAATTTTCCCGAGCTCCTCACAGTGGACTAGAGCAGATCACATATATTACATGATGAGGCAGGGTTTCTTATGGGGACATCGGACTTTCGTTGTTGCTGTCATATCTCTCTCGATCTCAGCATATTATTGGTTTTGATTTTAATACATTGCATTGTGATGACAGCGGACGAGAATGGGTTACATAGGATTGTAGTAATACAAGCAGGAATTGTGCAAATTGGCCTGGGTGCAGCGGGCAAAATGGATACAAAATGGGGCGGGCGGATGGAACAATATGCAGGAAAGTAGCAAAGAATGCAGTGAGAAATGCAGGAGAATATGACATGCAAATGAAACCAAGATGAGTGAAGGAAATGTGGGAGGGATACTAGTACATGGTACCATCACAGATGGCCTTGTTGGAACCCTTCGTCCATGTTCCTGCACTCTGCAAGCGTTCCATGTCGGCCTTGTACTTGTCCTGTTGTGCGGATGTGAGTGCAGCCCAATAGAGACTGAATTCATCTGTAGTGCTGCTCGCCATCTTCACTTGCTTCAGCCAGCGTAAGGCACACAAGTTTCTGTAAGAGAATAGTTAGCGTGAAACAATCCCCAAAAAAAAACTCACTGCACGTTCTTTGCGGAACCAGGGTGCATTTTCTTCTTTGGAACTTTGGTGCTTGAACCGTCGTTGGGCTTCTTGATTGGGCTGAGGGCTGGCTCAGGAACTGTCCTGGCCATTCCATTAGGTCCGAAAATGTTGGCACTTCATTATGGAGTTAGTTCAGTACGAGGTAGCATGTAGAGTACTTACAGTGGATCCTTCAATACAAACTTGTTTTCTTTGTTGGTGCCATGTGCATTGTGGGAGACGAGGGAGCCTTGTGGGGTGGGCTGCAGTAAGTACACGCCGAATGGTACAGCAGATTTCTCGCATGCCACACAGCCAGGTAAATCTTGTAGGGGAAGTGGGAGGTCAATGGGAGAAAGAAGATTGACTGTGCTCACTGGGCTGGGTTTGGGGTCTTGGTGCAGAAGGAGAGATGTGCCGCACACAAGTGTTGGCAACGCAATCGGACAGACTAATGATGCAATCAGTACAGAAACTAAAGAAAAAACTAAACATACCTTTCTCTTCAGTCGAGATAGTTGTAGACGTGCTATTGTCTGGTAGTGGTGTCAGTATGAACATGAATGTAAAAACGACACATACTTCTGCTTTTCTTGATGTCACATTGGTCGTCATGGCATTCACTGCTGTCGGAGAGGCACCGCTTGCCTTTGCCTTTAGAATGCAATAAGTTAGCTTCATTGTCAAGGTCCTCCTCTTTGGCTGCAAGTTTTGTGGACATGTCCTTCCAGCTTCTGTCCAGTCCAAGATTGTTCTTGCACCAAGGGTAGTTGTTGGTACAGAGAAGCTCGAGCTTCCATCTGTTGTTGTCAAGTAGGAGCAGAGGGAATTGTTTCATGATGAGATCGTTTATGAGCTTCTTGCCAGTAGCGCATATCCTCGAGTAAGTTGGCGGAGCTATACCACGATTTACTAGTTCCGCCCAGGCCGCTCATGTAGCCTTGCGGATGGCTTTGAGCATATCGCTCGTGACAGGATGGCCATCCTCCAGCTCCAGCCATGGTGTCTTACCCCGATTCCCTCCCCCATGCTCAGGGTTCTCGGCAAATGTATCGAAATCAGTTCAAGTCCAAAACCGAATGTTAGGATAAGCGTCCCTGGAAGGTCGAGAGATGTCATTGGAGCATAGGGTATTGTTCAGACTAAAATGTAACAGGTCAGTGTCAGGAAGTCGTAGTACACTGATAAGTTCAGTAAAAGATGCCCTGTAAATGACCACCACAACAAGTTAGTAGTAAGCACGATAACAGAATGATCAAACCACTTGATGGTATCCCGTTCGATTATAGTTTTTGTCAACTCATTTTGCATATCTCTCAGTTGAGCTTGACACAACAACAGTTGATCATGAAGGGTGTTCATCTGGTGGGCTGAAAAATAAGTTGGTGTGCTGCCTTGGTGCATATATGCGCCCTAAAACATCATTCTGCAGATCAGAAACATCATATCTCAATTAAATCTCACTTGAGATATACTGCCTGGCAGCGTAGAACCAATTGCTTGAAAAGAGTGTGAATCGTCGAACAAATCTGAGGCCATTTTGGGAATGGAAATTGACTGGGGGGCATAGGTTCTTGGTGCAGAAGAGTCTACTAATCCATCTGTGTGCAAAGCTGTTGTCAAGAGATGATCGTGAGGGTATCTAATACTAGTGGAAGAATCAGAGCTGGCAGACATGGTGGCAGTAGCAGAGAGGCATTCAGTTTTGGACAAAGTGAGTGTTGATGTCAGCGAAATGAAACAGGGACTTAGCACAAAATCACATATATTTGACATATTTCTGACCATTTCAGTCATTATCATGAGTCTCCCATTGCTCCGTTTTCTGCAAATTCCCAATAACATTGATTTTGACAATGTTTTTCTCAGTGACCCAAGTGCTACTGAGAGCAGTAGCAGTCCACATTTGACGGCTTCTGATGATATACTCCTACCATACCATCAAAATACACTAAGCCAGGTCCATTGGCAGTGATGAAGATGAGAAATGGGTGCGAAATGAACATGATGTCATGCCATGCATCCCAGATGTGAAGACCTTCGTTTTGTAAGGCGGCTAGATGGTGCATCCCAGGGAATAGGAAAGAGTTGACATTTTTCAGCTTGTTGGGTCCTGGAATGAAACCTCTGGGAAGGACATATTTTTTCTTGTATCATCAGTCAGGAGCATGGTTCATAATGACTCAAATGTAGATCCAACAATCTGATAACTTGCTCTCATAGAGCTGTGCGCCATTGAGTGAGATCATAAGAACAACATCATCAGGTTTAATGTCACCCCATTGAACAGCCTGTATATATTCACAGCCCTTGAAAAAGTCATCGAACACATCAATGACGCCACCATTGGTTTGTAGTTTGGCGAGCAAGCATTGTGTTTCTTCTTGGAGGTAGCTCATCTCTTGAGCTTGGCCCAGGTCACGCCATAGAGCTTGTAGTTGTGCACCAAGGGGAATGGTGACGAACTTCTGACGTGCGACATACATCTGTCCACCACTGGTACAAAGTTTGATAGGATCATAGTGTTCTGTATGGCAGATAGGACAATGTGTGAGATTTGCAAATGGACCAGTGAATGCAACACAGGTATCAGGACACATATCATGCTCGATTGATTCAACACCAGTGTATTCCGCAATAAGTTGCTCGACATTGTAGTATGTAGGAATTTGTGTAGCTTTGCCTTCAAGGCAGCACATAGCAGATTGGTGAATACTCTCATATGCATCAATAGCAGAGTGTTCTAATGTGAAGTACATTGCAATCCCGTGTTGAACAGCCCTGCTGTTGATTTCAAGGTGCATCTCATATGGATTGCGCAACCAAGTCAATGCCACATCATCCAGTTTTGCCACAGGGTCATCCAATGATGCCTCTCACAGTAACTTGATGAAGGCTATAGCATCTGTGTGCTTTGATAGGATGGCAGCCCACTAAAGCTGGTCAACATCAAAAACATGGTGGAGGGGCCAAGGATGGTGATGGGGTGCATTGGGTGGTGGAGGAGGGTCTGGAGTACCAGGTGGCAGAGGATCTGGTGTTCATGGTGGAGGAGGGTCTGGAGTACTGGGTGGCAGAGGATCTGGTGTTCATGGTGGAGGAGGGTCTGGAGGAAACTCATAAGTGTCCCCAACCGAATCATCCTGCAGCTCAACTCTTCTGTCAAGCTGTTGTGGGGGGTTCAAAGGGCCCTGTTCGAGGTCAGCAATAGATTAAATGATTATAGTGAGTACATACTTGGACTTGTGTGCATGCACCTTTTGCTTGCCCAACATGAGAACCTTCTGCTTTGCCAGTCCCTTGTTTGATAAGGGATCGGTAGGCTTGAAGCCTGCATTTGGACTGGGGAAGGGGAGGTTGTGTATCTGGTTTGCTGCGAAGAAGGATAGAGCCACAGTCAGAGAGACTTAGTCAAAAAAAATACTAACATACTCTTGCATCTGTGTGATGTCGATATGACACAGTCACACATGAGAAATACAACTGCAGCGAACAATGCAAACAACACAAACAATGCAAACTATGCACAAATGATGCGAGAATGATGCAGAGTACGATAAGAACGATGTGATGCAACACGTCTTAACAGAAAGTATCAGAGCTCATCATATTGTGCATTATGTAATTACAGATTTCTCACATACCACCAGACCTCGTCATGTGAGGTTTTCACTGGGTTTGAACGTTTGAACGCCTTGTATCATACAAAACAAAACAGGCACAAACAACCATTAAATAAACGCATCATGATGTTCCTTTTGTTATTGCAATCAGCTGTAATTACTGCTGCAGTTAAGTGATGACCTATTCAGCCTTGCCTCACCACTTGCGTCGTACGTGACTGGCCATACATTGAAGGTAACGGGCGGACGAGGAATCTAATGTCGCATTCTATTTCATAGCAACTATCTGCTGTGCAGTTGTATGATTTTGACCAGTATTTAGGCTAGAGTCGGGATCCATCTCATCTAAGTTCGACGTCGTACTCGAGACTGAAATCTGGTTCAGTCACGAGGTCTCAAAAATGCGGCATCCATGCCCATCCGCGCAACTCTAGCTACATCATCTCTGCTCAAGCCGAGACCTAGCGGAGGCTGCGCTAGAAGTAAAGAGTACTCTCCAAGGCAAGACGTTCTGAAAGGGAGCGCGTCGTCGGTCTGTTGATAATGCAAAGCGTCAGATGAAAGAGCCTGTGACGCGTAAGATAGCCTGCTTACACAGATGACGATAGGATGGTCATTTTTTAGATAATAGCGAATATGATGCGCGTCGAGGGATGCGACAGTTTTACATCTAAAAGAAAGATTGGAATCGAGAGCTCGCAGAGTCAATGCACGGTCCCCTACAGAAGATTGGAGCTCAGGCATATCTCCATGCATGGTTTGTACTGTCCGTTCGCGCGCGCGTTATTGGGTGACTCCGCTTGTTTGATCATCTCTTGAATATCCTTCATCGCAGCTCGCTCGGAAAATTTTTCTGCATCGGCCCAGAAAGACATCTGCACTTTTGCTTCCTCGGACTCAGTGCTATCTGAAACAAAGCGCAGGAAATAACCCTCTTTGAGATTTTGAAATCTGGCATGGAGAGGGTGGGAGGGATCTCTGAGTCCGGCTGGTGTGTGGGAGTTTGTTGTGCCCGTTGCACATTCAGACAATGAGCTGCATTCCGTCTCAGGCTGCGAAATATCCGCGAAGAACAAAGCCTTGAGTTCATCTGAAAGGAATGTCGCGTGTCCGAGTCGATCAGGACGACAACTAAGGAGTGCCAGAGAATCTTCCGTTGTATTTTTTGTAGACTACAAATCCGAATTTCATTGTTGAGCCGCTTGCACCAGTGTAGACATCACAAACCTCTGCGATGTGCACAGTCAACCCAAGACCGGCACCCTTAGCTCTTGATAGGTGCTGAGTGAAAGTTTGCATGTCGCCACTTCGTGGATCTCCACACACATCAATGCCTACGACTCTTCTGCCCCTGTTCTTCATCTCGATGGCAAGACTGATGCATTCTTCAACGTCCGAGTCACTCATGCGACGATCGACGGACACGATCAGGGCTGCCTGATCAGCAGGATACATTTCTATTTCATCAAGCACGATTGTGAGATACTTCTCTCGCGTCATGTGTGTCGTCGAACGAGGTGTAGTCCGTAGTTCAAGGTACGTGCACTGAGGGCTTTCCGCGCCATCACCTGTGGGGTTCAGAAACGACTGGAGGACTGCACGAGTAACGATCGCGACTGCTTCCGGAGTCGACGTTAGAGCGTAGATAGCGGGCATCAAAGAGAAAAAGTCAAATATTTCATTCAAGATGACTCCAGACTTGAGTTTCTCGATAGTGTCTGCGACCTCAGTTGTCTGTGCACTAGAATGCGGGTATTGCTGTGCAAGTTCCAGTATTGTTTTGATAGGTATAGATCCATTAAGATGAGCATGAAGTTCTGCCTTAGGGAGTGACTGAAGGAAAATTACGTCGTCAGAGCATAGCGATGCCAGAGCAGCAGCTGCAGGGCCCGCAATTTCTGACATTTCCAAGAGATAACCGACTGAGGGGGGAAACGACCCAAATGATAGCGAGAAAGACAAACCCCAAAATCTGAATAGGGCAAGGAATGGAGATGTGCGGATGGGGTAATACTATCCGGGCCGTTCCACTCAGAGGGCAACTTGAAGATAAATGTAAGTACTTATCACTGGGTGTCAGTTACGTTCTAAGAGTCAAGCTTTCAAGCTTCAAGCCTGCTCCAGTGGAGCGCGGTAGTACCTAACGTCGACGCGAATTGCTTCCGTAGGATCAACTTGAAACGCTTCATGCTTATAATATGTAGAAGGGTACAAAAAACAACATTATCATATTCCACTTTTGTCGTACATATTCCAATCTTTATTTCCTCTCTGCACCGCCTCATCAGTGATCTTGTGTGACTGCTTGCTCCAATTCTGTCCGCTTAACTGCCGCCAATCTTTCATCTTCCTGCCGTTGGGGTAACTTTGACCACGGCTTAGATCCAAGTTGGTTCACATCTATAGTCGCGAGTTGCTTCTCTAATAGACGGCGGAGGCCCTGGCCGTAACGCGCGAGGCGCGGTAGAATGGATACGAACTGCAGTGCCTGAAGAGGGTCTCTGATATCGTAGTGTCGGACATTACGCTCCATGACGTAGATTTGCTATATCACTGGTTAGTTCCTTCGCAAGTGGTGAACAGAGGCAACACATACACTGTTCGCCTTCCATGCCATTGTGATCGCACCAAGCATGCCATTAACAACCAGTCCAAATACAGGCTGGTCTGTGATACCGAGTTCGGAAAGGAAGGTAACTGCAGAGACCAGGTAGGTCTTCATCTGGTTCATGGCTGTCGAAATTGCGGATTCGTCCCTTTTCTTGTACTCAGCCAACAACACTGGGAGTAGTAAATCCCTTCTGCTAGGTTCGTCACAGGATATATTCTTGGGAAGTATTGTTTCTTTTTCTGTGTCGCTTGATTGACATCAGGATGATAAAGAAACAGATTATGCAACTTGTTTCGATGGGATTCCGATACACGAGAAGAGGAGGGGACCTGAAGCGATCTGCCGGGTGTGGTCTTTTGGCTGTGTCCGACATTCTTTCCAATCTGGGATGAAGGTTCCCCCACGCTCGTATCAGACTTCTCCAGCTGTAGATCCTGAACTAGCATGAAAGATTTCATCAACTTTTCTTGCTCGTCAATACTAGATATGCGCTGGAGTATTGCAGCAGCAATGCCAGAACATGGAATGACAAGGATGGCATCACATTTTGCAGTACCCGGATCCTTAGAGGAGTGATACGCAATCACCTCAGCGAAATTCCCTTTCTCAAGGCGACATGCAAGATCTTCAGAAAACTGAATTGCTTGGTGTCGCGCTGCCACAGCCTGCTCCCAGCTACCTGTGGTGGGGACGAGAGACCTTTGTTGTTTGTGACAAAGGCTCTCGTAGGCATCAGCAACGTCTTGTGCTCGTGTCGCAAAGGAAGAATCATCGGCAGCAAGATTGCGAGCCAAGTTCAGCTGTCGCTCTAGCCTAAACAAATAGTTAGAATGAAGATGGCCTGACATATGAACCACGCACAACACATCCCGTTGGTCGAGAACAGGTCGGAAGAAGTTGAGAAGCAAAGCATCCCATTCGTGACGCCGATCGGCTTCATTAGCGCCATGCAACTTTGCGACATCATCACACTGGCGAGCACCTTGTACAGCATGCAATAGTATGGAAATGCGGCATGAAATAAACTCGACATCCTCCGATGAGGGAACATTGATTGTACTGGACTGACAGTTGGGACCGCCGTTCGTGTTGCATAGTTCTTTTCTAATGCCCAATACAGAGCTATCTGCCTCGGCTTTCAAGAGCTGCACGCGATGTGATGAGAAATAGTAGCAAGAGCAATCCTGCAAACTCACTATGGTCTTGATGTCGTCCGACCAGGTAAACGCCGTCATTTGATCATAGGTTTCAATCATTGCGTTAATTCCGGTCGTATTTGCTAGTTCCTCTGAGAGGACCGGGATCCGACCAACAGTGAACGCATGGCGTTCAAACAACCAATTGGACATTGTCACACCATCCTTAAGGCCAGTATCAGACAAAGCGGCAAATCTGGAGACGAAAAATGGTCATTGAACGGTAGTCAGCCGAGAAGGGGGCTCCATACTGCGAGTTTGGATATGGGCTGGATGCACGCGATGAGGTCGAACTCTTAACCTCAGGTAGTGGTTGTAGCGATGAACTGGTCCTCTTGGAAGAGTTTAAGGACCGTGGTTGCGACCCTCTTCCTCTACAGGTAAAATAAAGTTATGAATGGAGTAACTGAAACGAACTTACCGTCCTTTCACTTTCGTCTTGCGAGTATCTTGGGGCAGCCTAAGGTTTCAAGTTAGTTGTGTATTGATAAGCGTAACACGGGTTGAATTATTGACCGAATGTTTGTATCATGAAGTTGTTCATCCTCGACGATGGTATGAAGCAAGGGAGAACTCATGGTCTCATATGATACAAGCGTGGTATCCAAGAGCGGGGACGGGGTACGAGGAGTAGATGAGGATGATGCCTCACTAAACGACTGTCAAGATTCGAACTTTTCATTAAAAATAAAAACTCGTACCTAGAACTCGTCTGCACGTGCACCTGGTAGGTCCAGGACGCCACTCGTTCGTCGAATTGTCCCCCAAGCTGAGTTTCAAAGTCGGGTAAATCGGATCTCCAGTGAAACGGGGTCAAAGAATCGACTGCTTCTATTGATATGGCGTCTTCGATATCTTGAAAATGAGTGCGCAAACCCAAAATAAATTGTGCGAGGCTGATGGCAGAACAGGTGTCAGTGAAGTCAAACACCCCCATCAAGGGATCTAAGCAGGCATCTGCTGCTAAAGCGAGGTGCACTGTAGGCTTCAGGGAGGGTCAACGTGGAAAAATATGCATTGATTTCGGACTTGCCATGTGGCCTTCCTCTGCCTGATCGGAGTCGAGCCACCCGAAGATGGCCGTGGCAATCGTATCTGTGCTGGAACAGCACAGGCCGACCACAGGTTGACGGATCCCCCATACACGTCTCTGGTACAGAGTGCTGCAAAGTAGGGGAACAATATTACAGGAGTCTGCAACTAGTAAGACTGGTACCACAGCGGAAAGGCGTCTGCCTCGGCCCGGAAGCATGTGCGCTTGCAAGGGCAGGTCGAGTGAGTCAATTGAACCATCGTACAAGTCAGAGTCTGCGGAATACATCAATTCATCCTTGTCTTCCTCGTTTCGCGAGCTGGTCCTGGATCTGTCTGAATGAGTTCTAGGCGCAGAAAAGATAGCATGTGCAGCAAGAAGAGTCGCATGTCCGTCAATAAGATTTGACGGCTGACTCGCCACGTTCTGAACCCGTGGCATAATGAATGGTGCATCTTCACTGTAGGGATATTGGAATCTTGGTTCGATGCATGACGAACATGTCACTTACAGAATTAAAACATCTGGGGACAGCGTGTTTGCTAGTGCATGGAGAAGCTGAGACCAAAGAGGAACAGTAGATCTCTCGCCACCATAGTGAGGAAGCTCAGCAAGTGCATTTAACCCTGCAGCTGTTGAGTGAATCAAGACCTGGAAATCCTTTGCATTGTATGATTCCGGTGCAGGTGCTTCATGGGAAACGAGTGGCTCTGAGAACGTCGAGGATGACGCACTGGCAAGGTGCTCGTTACTTGGCCTGTCGGGACAGTGGAACGGCGACAACAAGGAAGCAATACCGCGCACTGGTTCAGGCCAGCCTGTAGGTTGGGTCACGTAGTGTACAACCTCGCCGAAAGCCATTACAAGTCAAGCGGTGTAGACTGGCGAAGCACGATGGTTAGATGTACGCATGTGCTACTTAATACTAGTTCAGATCGAAGAACAATGATCGACTGAATCCAAGTTAGTCATTATGCGGTCACGTGCGTGATTCTGTACGCGTTTTCTCCAGGCACGTTTTACCAGTATGCTTTCACGGTGTATATGCTCTTCAACTACCAGCGTAATCTCGCTGAGGTGGCTTACGAATCACCCATCGGCGGTATTTGCAGATGGCCTATGAAAAGGACGGATCGTGTTATTCAGCTTCCACTTAGGTTAGCTTGATTAGCACGTCGAAGACATCCATCTGCTGTTTGATTGAATGAGGTATGTTCTGAGCATTCATTGGACTCTCATGAATGATGTACGGAGCTTGACATATTGCAAAACTGTGACATTTGCTACCCCCTCCGGATCCGCTCGTGGCCATCGACAATGGACACCAGTATCAAGATTTCTTACGCAGTTTTCAGCCAAGCCCCGAGCGTTAATAAGGAAGCGACAAGGCGTCTCTCGGTTTCTATGAGAGTATATTATCCGGTGAGCTTGCAAGGGTAAGTCTAGGGTATAGCACGGGTATGGGCCACACCGCGGGTATGGGGGTCACGGGTATGGCGGGTACGGGTACGGTGTCGAGATGTGCTACCCGTGGCCATACCGTACCCGTCAGCACGGTATACGGGTATGTTCACGGGTAGCTGCGCTATCTCCGAATGTTCTCTGCGGTGCTATATGTTGGACATGACAAGGATTCGCCACTCACTACGATCCTTATTTTTCGGAGGGTCGTAAGTCAAAGGTTCAGGTACATCACTCCCCTCTGTCTCCGTGCCTCACCACTAAAAGTAGCTGAATGAATCATAGTGATCATCAGCTATACCCAAGTTGGAGACCGAGGCAGCGAAAATGAAGACGTCTTTCTGAGCCAATCCGGAGGAAATTTCCGAGTGAGCTGCGATGAAGGGTATTGAAGGGATGATCAAACAAGCGGAGTCGCCCAATAATGTATGGAGATATGCCTGAGCTCCAATCTTCTGCAGGACCATGCATTAACTCTGCGAGCTCTCGATTCCAATCCTTCTTTTAGATGCAAAACTATCGCATCCCTCGACGCGCATCATATTCGCTATTATCTGAAGAACGATCACCTTATCGTTATCCGTGTGAGCACACTATCTTACGCATGATAGGCTCTTTTGTCTGACGTTTTGCATTATCAATAGACTGACGACATGTTCCCTTTCAGGACGTCTTGCCCTAGCGCAGCCTCCGCTGGGCTTGGCTTGAGCAGAGATGATGTAGCTAGAGTCGCACGGATGGGCATGGTTGCTGCATTTTTGAGACCTCGTGACTGAAATAGAGCTCAGCCCCGAGCACGACATCAAATTTAGATGGTATGGATCCCGGCTCTAGAGTACTGGTCGTGATCACAAAGCAGGGCGGCACATAGCCTCGATGTGCTCGTCAGTACGAGAAGTGAAGACGATATGTTTAATGCATGATCGCTCCACCCGTGAATTGTAGCGATCCAGGAGACATTTTGAAGATATCCGGCTTGCGACTCGGAGTGCGTTGCTCCTCGATCGATGCGGTGTGATTCGTGAACCACTATGGACATACGTCTTTTGGGATTGCGGCAATGCACAACATGCCCCAGGGTTGAAATTAACGTTGCAGGCTTGCTGGAAATTCGTGAATGCGCCAAAGATGACGTGGACTGGAATTCTTGTTGGTTTGATTCAGGCACAAAAAATCAGCGTGCCGGGAGTCCACGGCGCCCAGCGAGCCTGTCCTTCTGCTGTTCTTCGTGTCTATCGTGACCTGTAACATTGGTCAAACGTACGTTGAGCGTATTTCCTCAGTCCTAGTAGCGTGGGTGCGTGCAGTGCTGATCTTTTGTTGGAAAACAGTTGTATTGATATCTACTAACACGAGAATTTAAGCTAAAATACTCTCCGACGAGAATGAGTGAGAATTCGTAAATCGGACAAAATTGACCCAAGAAAAACTGACGACTACCATCCATCTATTCGATTGGTTTACCTACCGCAGACAAGGCGCAGACGGGGAATTGACTCAGGTATCGGAAACCAGAAAACCGTGCGGTGACACGTAAAGAAAATCACTGTGAAGGTTTGCTGAGCGCAGCCCAGCTCGTGGTGTTTTTGAATGCCTGTAGAAAACCATTAATATCTGATTCGGATTCCTCGGAATTGGGCTGCCCGTCTCTATCAGAAAGCCATTCAAGGCCAAGATAGTATCGAGCGTTGGCTTCCTTTTCAAGCACTACAAAACACTCCACAAGGAACTTCCACATAAGTGATTTGATGTGAGGGGATCAGTATTCTTTGAGATTATTCAGAAGGTATAGCTTAAGCATGTCACATGTCACTGCGCCAGAAGTGGCCCAATCATCCAGCCGACGCGATTTCACTGGTAGAAGGGCTCCATTCTCGTAACGCAAGGAAATCCGGGCGAAGCACCAAATAAACGACTCCAGATCATGACGATATAGGTATTTGACTTCACCTCGCTGACCCTGTATGGAGAGAAGCTCGAGCGCCATGAACGGTATTGTTCCCATGCGCTCATTGCCTCGATGACCCTGGTCATCCGCCAACGATGATAGATCGTAGTCGTTTAAGACACCTATCAGCTTGCCAGGGCTGACGTCTCGATGAAATACTTCTTCCTTCCACAAAGTAACGTAGCCTGCATACTATGTCAACGAAGAGCTTCATAAATGCGATGAAAATACGTGCATTGGATACATTGATACCACACGTCGAAAAGCTCCTTGTTGTGAAGCTTCGTGATGGGTTGGAGCTTGTGGAATACAAGGATATAGAGCACGCGACTACCGGTAGTGAGTTCCGGAACACCGAGTGCTCATCGGATGGCGGACGTGAGATTCATAAACGTGTGGTGCCAGAGCAGCTCAGGGATATGGTCTTTTACGGTACTGTGCACCTTGGCGATCTCCTTGGCCTTGTCCAAAATTTTCGGCTCGCTAGTACAATTCACCTCGCCCCAAAAGATCTTAACCACCACCCCATCCTGGATGTTTATGTATTTCTTCGCGAGCGCTTCGCTAGTGACAAGGACTACATTGGTGGCGCGTCCTTGCAGTCCGTAGTGCGTCACGCGTTCGTCGTGGTTGATATGAAGCAGCAGATCCACATCTCCAAGTTCCTCATTCTTGGTTCTGAATTGATGGCAGCGTTTACCCTCAACTTGAACCGGGAGGAAGTCCTTGTTTCGGTCCCAATCATTAAGCTCGAATCGTTGTAAAGCATACAACAACGCCATGAATCGTGGGAGATCTTGAATGAAGTTGATGCCCGAGCTTTGAATGGTGCCCTGCCGATCATAATACCAGATCCAGATCACATCGGTCTAAAAAAGCGGTAGTAAGAGTGTGACCAATATCGACAGGTGAACGAACCCACCGATGACGTTAATATTAATTAGAAAATTGACAGCAAAATTGGCCGCAAACATTTCAGCAGCGTACAGACCGGTCTGAACGGTCACATCTGGCTCATCAGGGTTGATCCTGGATTTTTTTGCGGCGGATTCCAAAGTGTCCGTGGCCTCGCGCTTGGAGCTGGACCCGCCCTGGGAAGGCTGGGCAGCAGTAAGGCCGGAAGATAGGACTGTAGCTCGGTCGTTTTAGTTTGATCTTGGAACAAAAAATACAATCACTTACGAGAAGTGTCGGACGCAGGTTGTGTTGCTGGGGCCGAGTCTCCAGCCTTAAGATGATCTACCGGCAGATATTCTGGCTTTGTAGGAACATAGTCGTTCACTTTATATGAAGAGTGCGGCGGTTTGATCTGTTTCTTCCTGCCTGTCTTTCTCTTGAACTCGATGCAAGCTAGAACATCTGTCCAAGGGAGTGGCGCCGCTGACTTTGCCATTGCATTCTTGACCATGTGAGCCTTGCGCTTCTCGTCGTCTTTCTGGTTACTCTTATTGCCGCTCTTCTCATCCTCGAAGGGAGCGCATGCGCTGTTCAAAGGAAGAATCACGCAGTCGGGCTTCCAAGTTGATTTTTCGGTCCGGTGATTTTGGTACGTGGGCATATCGTTCTGCTGACAGATAATGTCCACGGCGGGGACAGGAGTACGCATCCCGTCAACCTTGATCTCTTCAAGGCAAACGAGCGCGATGTCGGTGGCCTCTATAAAAGGGCCGTAGAAGTTGTTTTCTGCTCCTGGACGTACGCTTGCAATCATTGTAAGCATGAAAACGTCCGATCAGCGATGGAGCACTCACTATTTTTTCAGGGCTGTCTCGACGGCTGAAGAGTATATACCTCCAGCAAAGACCTGTCCGTTGCAGACCGGCAGAGCTGTCTTCAGGCACTTTTTCAGAATCTCAGGATGTTTATTCTCCGAAGCGCAAGAAGCACGCTGCAGGGGGGCTTGTAGCATGGCATCTGCTTTGCACTGTTTGGCGTGCTCGACGTCCCGCTGAATCCATGGGCCGACTTCCTTAACCCTTGATGGAACGTTAGGTGCTACTCAATAAAACAAGAAAGGTGTGCACTGACACCGACCAGGCCGATGTTCTCGCTGATGACGGCAGCCCCACGGCAGTTTTGGGTGGATTCTATCCAACTAGTACCATGGGATGGTGTATTGGCGTGTGGCGGGGTAGACGATGTGCCTGTCTCGCCGGCATGGGACATGACCGTGACGCTAGGTGTTGTCATTACGCTGAGTATTGTGAGCAGAACTGGTGAAGTGGAGAAACCAAGAGGACAAGAAACAATGACTTGTTTTATAGTTGACCATGAATCATAAATGACATTGGCGTGAATATGGTTGTAAATGTGGCGGTTGCTGGCCGTGGACCTTTGTACACCCATAGAATCAAGCAATTCGGCTCCGACGACGCATTCCAATCAACACGCACACGTGACCCTGACTTGAGCGTAGAGCTGAGCACCATGATCGTTTGAAGAGGGATTACATAAGATTCGGTGGGTGCAAGGGGAAATTCTCTGAAACGACTAGAGGTGGTATCCCAACGTCCTGAACTGCGGTCGTCGGAACCGCGCCCTATACGAATCACGTCGATGGCACAGCAACTTCATATAGGGGATAATGAATTCCAAGCGCCTGGCCAGAACATCACCGGATCCGGGACAATAGCGTCTGCGCCGATTCGTTGAGCTGTTATACTCAGATCTAGTCTCGTAGTCACATAGGGTGGCTTCTATCGAGCCCTAGTTTTCAATCAATGTGATCTTCGTGTTCCAACCTGAACGGTAATGAAAGCGCTGAAAGCTTACCCACTTAAGCTTCAATAAACGTACTGTGGGAAAGTGGTCTAACTTACCATCAGAGCATGACATGCAGCGGCGGCCCTTCAATACATGGAACTTCCGTCAACTCGCATGCCCTCTCCTTCCTCTTGAAGGTCGAAGGATGTTCTAAACTCACCGCGCGCTGCGGGTGCGATTTGTTACAGGTATTGGAAATTAAGCATATTTCTCCAGGGCCAGTGAGCTTCTTCGAAGTGCCTATAGCGCTTTGGAAATGTGATTTCTTAGTAAAAGCACACTGGGCAGGCAAGTCATCGTATATGTATGCTGCTACTATCTATGAATCCAAACCTTTCACAGAATCACAGGGAAAGGTTACATTTCCAGCATCCTTGACACCAAGTTCGCCTTCAAGTTCCCGAAAAATTTAAACGACACGATGTGTCTGTATCTACTCGCCATGATGCTATAGAGAGTAGCTGTGTTACTGATGATATTCATTGCGTACCATCTCGGGCATACGCAGTATCAATTCGGGTCACGGGTTCCGCGCTGTGTCAGTGGCGTGCATGCAGCAAGGCTCGTGTTCCATCAAGTATCTAAGTCAAAATATAATATTTATATCCGAGTGACAGCATGGTTTCTGCATCCACGCCTCCTCCTGCGATGTTTCAGGTTCCCCCCAACTTTGTGCGCTTCACAATTATTATCAGTATCCAGATGGTTATCCTGACATTTGGATACGGATTCCTTGGTGCAGTTGCCTACTTTCAGTACCTTGCTCCATCCGATGCAGTCTGCGAGTTAATGAGGAGCTATCCTGGAGAAGCAACAATGATCGTTACATTGATAGCAACTGTGCTATCAGTCACCGCTGCCACGTCTGTCTACCTATTACTCTCTGAATGATCATTCAGTGAGATCTGATTTTTTTTACCAGTCTTTTCACGGTTTCGGTCAAAGAGGCACTAAGACATCGAATGTGGAAGCCCATTTCTCTAATTCACCTGAGCACTGGTGTCGCTTTGGCACAGGGCTCTCACATTCTGAAACATCGATATATAGGATTGACCTTTTTGACACTGTTCATCTTTGGGATGCTGAGGCTCTTAACGGCTGGGTGTGTCTTCTTTGGAAGCATTGTCGAGATCATCTCATTTGAATGCGGTCATAGGTGGACAACTCTTTTGACACCGACCTACTTCATGTGGCCAGTACAGCTGAATGGATCCGAACTTGACATAACTGGAAGCGCGTTTGCCACCTTGCTCCGCGAAGAATTCGTAGCAAGTGGTCTCACAGACAGTATGTATCTCTACTCGAGTTAACGAGTGGCTTGACAAATGGAATCACCAAGTACAGGACAATGCTTTCGAAATTCTCGACATCGGTGCAATGCTCAGTGGAGTTGCTGCTGCAGGGTATACCTTTGGTATTCCCAGGACATTCAATTTCAATGGCGTAAAATATGATGTATCTACTCGTAGGTTCAGATTCTCAAGTCACTTGAAGCTGTTTTGCGATGATGTGTCGTGTCCTAGAGGGGATTGTGCCCACTATCGAGGATTATTCCGGCTCAGATGGAGTTCCGGGTATCAACGGTACTCGTCTTGGGTTTGCTGGTGGAAATGTCACGGTCAACACAGGAATCGTACCCGGATCACACCCCAGCGTGCCTATTCCTCAAGGCTTCAGCAGGAACTATTCCATGTCGCAACAAGGGTTAACAGCCAATGTCAGCTGCCGGGCCATTGACTCGAGTCAAACGCAGTACATTTGGGACACGAACAACTCTTACGTCATCTATGCCAATGCAGCTGCTTCAAGTTGGAACAACTCCATCACCGGTCTCCGCTTGTGGAATATCGGTGCAAACTGTGGTACCAGTAAGTCTGGATCTTGGATATCATTTCTCAAGTTCACTGACAGCTTCTAGATACGCTGATAACGTACGAATATGTGACCATGGTCGATGCAAATGGAAATACGAGCTCATCAGGGAGTGGCTTTCTTCCGTCTATTGTGTGTCCAGGACCAATGAATATGAACCAAACTTATACAAGCTTCGGTGAGCCTTTGAAATTTGTACGTTTAGAGTCATTGACTGAATCTATTCCTGTAGCCATTCTTACACAAGGGTTTTTCAAGTATGGGTTCCTTAAAGCAAGCGTGTGCGAAGTTGCTCCCCTGTTGACCACAGTCCGCGCCGATTATTCCGATGAAGAAATTTCTGCAGAGGTCACATCATCCACTCCTTTCCAGCCAGAGAATGCCGAGCTACTGTCATTTATCGCTTCAGTTGCCAGGTTTCAGTCGATCAACTCGCAAGGGCTTACGAGCAGCACAATTGGGGATACCTTGTATTCCATCTATTCCTCGACCAGTAACGAATCCATCGATAATGACAATCTCAACAACACACAGGTCTACTTTGAGCTCGTCAGTTTCATGTCATACACTCTTGATCCACCTCTTATGACATTGTAGGAGGATTACTGGCGTGGTGTTGTTGAATTTTCTGCCACTGTGAGGTTGCTGGTCCGCTCAACATGGTCCAAATTGACCTAGCATCATTTCACAGTTCCTTCGCTCCGGGTTTATGGCCACAGGTAGCTTCCCCAATGATGAGATCCCGAACAACCTCTCTTCCCAAGTCACTGGGACCATGTTCGTATCGACGATAGGCTGGACTCGCTGGCCTAAGAATTCGCCGACATATCTGCTCGCTACACTTCCGCTCACCATTATCACCATCCTCACTTTATTCTCCGCGTCGTACTGTATTCTGGAGGCTTGGAAAGAGCATCACGGATATCGCGGTCACCGCAGGGCCCACTTCGACGTGTCAAACACTCTTCATCTCATTATGGCATGCTCTGCTGGGAGTCTCGTACTCGAAGATTTCGGCAAGGGGGGTATTATCAACAACGAGGGCGTGAAGGTGCAGCTGAAGGAGAATGGTAACAAGAAGATGTTTGTGACAGCCGATCAACCGTATTCGGTGGTGTCGAAGGGGGAGCATGCATGATTTTAGGTATTATTGCGTTATGGCAGTTCTTTCTTAATTTGTACACTCATTCTTACTCCCGTCTACATAACATAAGGCACTCCAGTGAGGGGGGTAAATATCGAGACATGACTATCGACACCACTCTCGTACATACTCATCCTTTTCTTTTACATACGCAATCACTCCTAGCTACACGCCTCATACACGTTCTCCTTTGATTCTCCGTCTCAATTAGCGTATTGATACCTCTCCCCGTCGAATATCCTCCTCCGTCTTTGCCATTCAATATCAAGTCTCGTTCTCATTCCTAGTCCGAGCCTCTTCGTTCTTGAGAGTAAATGCAAGGCTGACAATGAGTTCGACTGGGAACGACAGATCGAAATAGAAATAAGACAGCGAGACGATGGGTTTCTGAAACGTTGGGAAGAATACATATTATGTAACTTGATTCGACGACGTTGTACACTCTACTCGTGGCCTGCCAGTGCACAACACGACTATGTCAAAAGATATTAAAAAAACGAGGCGTTACATAAAAGTACAAGAGTATTGAATCGTCTATTTAAAGGAAATGAAAAGGATGAGCCTTTCTGCATGTTTCGGATGCGAAAAGTGAAGCTCTTCGCCGATCGATGAAACGTGTTCGTCTGAAGCATTGGACAATTTTGTCAGGAGCGTAGAGAACATGGCAATTATGTTTCGGCTCCCCTTCTGCTTATCGATAATCACGTGACACATTATTGCTAACCCTAACTCAATGTTATTATTGTTATATCCAAAATGTTCTACCCACGCCCAGTGACCCAGTCCTAGCCTCAATTTCCTCGGATCTCCTCTCCGCCTCCACCCTTCACTAGCACTCTCAATAGCACCCAACTGTAGGCTCTCTTGACGAGTGACCCACGCCTACGTCTGCATTCGCGTAGAACAACCCCAACTACATATCCACAGCTAGCGAACACAGACTCATCCAGCTCGCGCCGCTCCACCAATATCCGTCGTCATCAGTCCAATAGGGAAGTGCAAATACGTTGGGCTTACTTCTTCAAAGAGGGAGGGCCGTACTCGCTGATTCAGCTGTCGTGCGCGCTGTTTTAGCATGATGCACGGATGGGACAGCGGGGGGATGACCAGAACAACGTATCCAGTGCCGGGAGTGTTACGACTTGCACTTTTTGATCTCCTGCTTCCGTGTTCAGAGTAGTTTTGACCGTCCCTTCACATTCAGCTTATGAACGCAGTTTCAGTCAATAATAGCTTGCAATACCATGGGTCACTATGGTCCGCACCCAATCAAGGATTGACATGATTGCAAGTTCATTAGTGTCTTGCACTGCACGCCAGGTATCGATCCGCATGCGAGAACAAGTATGTCAATACTCCTGGTTCTTATAGCATCTTTCTGAATACTAGCTTACGATGGCTCAGTTGAACTACTTGATCAGATCATACAACCATCGAAAATATTGACGTAAAGTACAAATGTTTGATATATGCCCCTCGAAAATCAAAGAGTACAACAGATTGACTGAGTCCAGATAACATGTCTTGACAGTCAGCCTTGTTCATTCTGGGCCCCAACTTCCTCATTCTAACCATGGAAGTATCTGACGCTAACAATTCCTGAACATGAGCGTACCCTAACTCACGTCTGATGCTACTCGTGTGATATAGCGGCCAGCCGCCGAGGACGGATTATTTCTAAGGAGTTCGAGATGCCTGTTGACGTTGTGCCACACTCGTGTGATACTGCCGCTTGCATATATAACTCGGTCGACGGCAGGAAGCATGGAGAAAACGATGCGAGCAACAGTTTCAACATTCACATCCTCGAGCTCAGACGAGCCTAAGGTCAAATTTTTCAGGGAGGTATGTTGGAATGACTCGGCTTCAGGATCGATGTCGATATTCCGAGCGTCGACTGTTATTTCTATGTCTTGCAAGTGTGGACATAGACGAAGCGCCGCGAACAACCCGCCGAATGTAACGGTAGGTGGACAAAGATGCCAATCCACTAGTGATAGGGAGCGAATATGCGGCCAGCTTTTCATGGCCTCAAAAAGAAGGTCGTTGTCGAGATAGATGGAGTAATGAGCAGATAGTTTCAGTGTTCGCAGTTGCTTAAAGCAAACAAACTGTCTAATGGCCGTCAAAGGGTCGCTTGAGTGTTCCTGAATTCTATCGCGGGAAGAAATGTTGATGTGTTCAAGGGTTTGGGATGCTTTGCACTGTGACAGTGCACGGAAAAGCTGCTCAGCCCCTTCCCAACCTAAAACACGGACATGCATCTCGAACTCCTTCAGCGAGGGGAATTCGAAATGTTGCATGATTGTGACAACGGCTGCCACTTGTATTCCACGGAAGGAAAGAGTTGTGAGGTTGAGGAAAGTTGCAAAATTAAGATTGTCCAAGGGGTGATGAATCATGCGCGATGCGAAAATCTTCACCTCGAGAAGGGTGGGGATGGAGGAGAGGTGCATCCATGCTGCCGAGTCGAGCGGCGACGGACATTGCAGATGTCTGAGCCTCGTGCATGAACGAACAGTTTCAGACAGCTGCGCCATGTCACTATTCCCCAGGATGGTAAATTCCTCCAGAACAGCACAGCGCGTTCCAAAATATCTCAAATCTGGATGGAATTCCGATACATAACAACGGCGCAGTGTTGGGGACAGGAAAAAGCGAAAGTCTCCTGTATTCGTGCGTTGAACCATCCAGGATAACGACAGCAGTCCTGGGAACACGCATGGCTCGATGGGGAGGGCGGTCAGAAGGTGAAAATAAGTGTTGGCTGATATAGTCATATTGCGCACGCGGGCGGAATGACGCAAAAATTCATGGAGCTCGTGCTCGGCTAATGGGTCAACGCCCTGGGACCAGGAATGCTGTGTTTAGATGCTCGATCAGCGAACGAACGAATAAGCAGAACGGACACAGAATGATGGGCTTGCTTTCAATAACCCGCACTGACCTTGGACTTGGGATTATATATCACTGGATGTAGCCTGGTCACACAGCCAAACAGTGGTCTTAAACCAGGTATGTTAGCCCAAAGCAAATCCATCGCAAGCTCGTGGAAGGTTGTGCATGTCCGGGCAAGCGATGCAAGGGATTTTTGTGTCAGGGAATGAGTCCAGCCGCCTACGCTCCGGAATTGATCTAAATTGATGAATATCTGCACAAGGATTTCTGAGACAGACAAAGCACGATGCATTATAAATGCTACGTCGATAGAGGAGGTGTATGACAATAAATGATGCACGTGCTATGCAGTTGATCGCTTCCTGGAAATCAATAAATATTGTTTGTCGTTAAGGCTAGCGGAGATCTGAATCCGAAGACCGCGATGCTGTAACCTCCTATCATTGAACTGCTATTTACTAAGCCCCAGCTCATGAGTTCTGTTCTGTTCACCTCCGGCGAAAATGGCACTTCCATCCGTCAATCGCATGTTCATAGTCGCAGCTTGGTTAGAGTCTGTACTCTATGGTATGCATCCCTTTGCTGGGCAGCGTAGTGATTTAATGCTGATAATACGCCTGACAGGAGTCAAGTGAGTTCGTGGTTGGAGAAAGAGAAAGGCCACTATGCTTATTTTCATCAACAGCTGCGTGCTTTTTGGCATATGCATGTATGCCCTGTTTAGCCGGCACAAACCGTTGTATTGGTTCGTATAATTACTTTCTAAATCATTCGCCGGCATTTAATATTTTTGGATCAGGATCAATGCACTTTCATGCATTTTCCACATTTCAATCGCGACAGCACACAGCATCATCTCCCTTTTTTACTCTCTTCAGGCCTTCACAAATCCTGCTATAATATCTGTCCCCGACGGAACTATCATATACTTGCTCAGTAACGTAGCCTTGACGAAGACGATGGGGGGATTGTTTCTTCTAAACGTGGACATCATATTTTTGTCACGAATCGCGTCTCATTTTTAATATTTTCAGTCGCTCGCTCTAAACTTACTGCTAGTGAGTAACTATTGGCTTGTGGAGGCATCGAACCTAACACTCGCAACAACAGATCTGGAGGCTTTATGTGGTTTGGAATCATAAGCGGATTTTTGCTTTGGTCATGGTAAGAGATCTGATTTATCTACTCCTTGCGCTTTTTACGAGCTGCGATACTGCTAGCTAATTCTAGAAGCTGTATGGATCGGTAGGCTTGTTAACTTAAGTTAGCTTTCAGATCAAGCACTCACATTATCTGTCTCCCCTATCAGCAACTGGTGTTGCAAACTGGGCCATGGTGATAACCGGCCATACCTTCACGAATGCTGCCTTGGCTTTGGGGCAAGCTAGTTGCGCATTGGATCTTGTTCTTACTATCGGTGTCACGTCCGGAATCGCTTATCGTCTTTGGCGGGCGGGCCGAGATATATCTACTTTAACTGGCCACAATTCCTACAAAGCTGCCATATATACTGTCATCGAGTCTGGTGCGATTTATACCAGTAGCATCGTGGTATTGTGCGCTCTGTACCAGTCCGGCAGCCCGGCTTTCGGCGTGGCAATTAATGTTGCTACCCAGATTTCTGTGGGCACTTTTCGCTGCTTCTTCTAATTACTAGTCTCACATTTTTCTAGACCTTGACTCCTCTTTTTCTCATCGCCAGTGTTGTCCTTGGCCTGATGCACAGAGAAAGTGCATATTACGAGACATCAACATCTGCTGAGCCCGCTTTCACTCGACCAATCCAAGTCATGATCACCCAAGAGACCCGAACCCATCCTATAAACACTGGGAAGAGTGAGAGTATACACGATGCATAGCAACATTGGCTATGAGCATCGCACGGGTTCAATTCCTTCTATCGAGGGAGGGAGGGTAAAATCAGGGATTTTGCAGTGATTCATGCTGCACCTGCGTTGGGAACTGAGGAATTCAGGTGAAGATCATCCAGTGACTCCAGGAAGGACTAACGACCCTTGAACACACACTCGACGACGTTTGGCCATACAAGTGCTGCCTTCCGATTTTTACCGTCATGCCACGCCGGGCATTACTGCACTTGCCCCACGCACTTTTTGCGAGTTCCGGAGGTTTGGCGGTCGCTGCAGCACTGATTTTGGATTGCTACCCTCCATACTGAGATGGGCAGTAGCTGATTGGACTGTTCTGGCGTTCGAGACTAGGCACCGTAATTGGAGTAGACACGAATATGAATGGTTGTCAACTCGAGTCCGAAGCTTAGCCTATCAATTACGTCATGTCAGAACCACAAGGATTGTTTCAGAAACCTTAGGGCACTGCATTGAAACGAGGCGTATTTAGATGCTCACATATCAGCAATCCCGGGTCTCCACGGAGTAGGCATGTACGAATGAAAATAGTACATTCTAGTATTTGGCATCACGTCAGACCCAGACTTCAGAGTAAACCAGGTGAGCGAGGACTTCAACTCATACGATTACAATTACAATTACAACGCCCTCGAATCCACGGGGTTGACAAGTGTCATCTTGACCCGCCCTCTCTGAGTATTCTTATCTTTCTCAACCTCGATCCTCACAGTCACCTTGTCGAAAACAGATATCGTCACATCCGGTCGCCCAACATCAGATGAAGGGACGCTGATGGTGTAGTTCTCCGCGTCAAACTGAGTGTCCCGCTTGAACATCACCAGACCCTCAAGTCCAAGCCTGAGGAACAGTAAGTCAGTTTCTGATGCCGTCTTCAATAGTTGACCATGAATGGAACTTACTTGGACACGAACACCCCAAGACCATTCCGGAATGTCCTAATGACGAAAGCATCCTCGGTCACCTCTTTTTCCCTCTCATTTCGACCTTTAAGGGCCAATCCAACATAGAATTCGACACTGGCGCGACCCGCCATCTGTGCCATCCGGTGACGCCTGTTAACAACTTCCATGATGCGCTCAACGTGCATTTTGGAGTGAAGAGATGGATGCAGCGGTGTATAACCAATAGCAGCAGCGAGCTGGCGGTGCACAAGGATATCTGAGAAATGCGATCATGAATACAAAGAAAGTGGAGTGTTATAAGGGCCACATACCTGCGTAGCGACGAATAGGACTGGTAAAATGTGTATAAATTGGGCTTGCAAGACCGTAGTGCCCGAACGTATCTCGAGAGACACTGCCGGAGCTGAAATATTCCGCAGACAGCATACATCTCGTCGCCATGATGCGCACTAATGTGTTGAAAGCAGGTTCTTTGGGATCCTATGGTAGTGAACAATCAACAGGGTCGTACAAATGACTGAGAACAACGCACTAAGCATTTGTCAAGGGAATCTGCTAATGCGCCCGAGCTGGAAACGTCGAGTTTCAGTCCCTTTCGCTTTTGTAAGATATCTTGCAGTTTCTCAAAGTTTGTAGGTGGCGGCGGCAGATGCCGTCTGTGAAAGGTTGAGAAAGTGCAAGCAGCAGACAGGCGACGCATACCTCAGTACCGATGTTTGCGGGAAAGATTCTTGAGTCTTTCTCGCTACACTGGTATTGGCTAGCAACATGAATTCTTCAACCAGAGAGTTCGTCTCATGTAACGCCTTTTGTTCCACATCTACCGGATCGGATGACTCAGAACTGTCAAGGTGAATTTTGACCTCAGGCGATGCGAGGTTGAGCGCGCCAGCCGCCATCCGCTTGGCTTTCAGCTTCTGCGCAAGGGAGTTCAGTAGTCGGATGCTTTGCGTGAGGTTGTCATTTAAGTTTTCTACAGTCAAATCGTCAACTTTGTAGGAAAGTAGGTCGAGAGATATCTCGCTTACGGGTCATCTTTTCGAAGTTGCGCCTCTCCGTACTCGAATGCAGCTTTGGATGCGATAACTGATTTTGTGAAACGGACGTCTACTATTTCAGCATCTACGGTCATTTCCTATAATAAGTTTAGTCAAATACCGCAGTAAGCATATCATAGGAACTTGTCTGACCCAGATGACTGAGAATGCTAATCGCTCAACATGTGGTCTGAGGGAGCACAGGTTCGTACCAAGAAGCGCGGGTAACATGTCGATGCGCTTGTCAACAAGGTAGACCGTAGACCCACGTGCAGCAGCCTCGTTATCCATCGCAGTCTCCGGGTGGACAAAGTGAGACACATCCGCAATATCTGTTGACCATCATGAGAGTAAACTTAAAGAACAGAAAAATGTAAAACTTACGAACGCCAGCTTCGATGTTACCATTCGTCAGACGACGTGCATGCAAGGCATCATCGATATCCTGACAGCCTAAGCAAGAAGTCAGTATACCTGTTTTACGCAGTTGTCCGACAAGCATTACCTGGGGGATCTATACTGCAGATAATGAGATCTCTCAAGTCCGCGCGGTCTCTCCATTCCGGAATCGCTGCACTCTTAGGCGGGACAACCCATTGCTCGCCTTCTGGCGGTAGACAGTCGAGAATAGCCTTTCCGAAGGGCCTATATGGCACCTCAAACTCCAACAAGAGACTCTCTTGCTCGGCCTCTTTGCTTTCCGCCTTTCCAAGCGTACGAACAAAATGACCCTCCGGATAACGAGAAGTAATTTCCCACCGGTCGATTGTTACTAATATTTTATTTCCAATGAGTGACGGTGCCTGGCGCGTACGTAGCCGGATGCGAGGGAGAAGTCTCGAGACTGGAGTAGCAAACACTGTTTGAAGCCCGAGTGATGTAGCATTGCTTGAGGTGAGACTTGTAGAGTCGATGTGACAAACATATCTGTGTTAAAAGCACGTATGAACCTGCCAAATGCAAAAGTAGGAGAGGAACATACGCTCTCCAGTTGCGCTTAATGATGCCGACCACTCGGCCGGTCGGTTGCTTCTCTGTAGGAGCCTTTTTCGCATGTTCAGCGCGAAGAGCCTTAGATTCATGCTCATGAACCATCAGGTCGTCGCCCTCTTCTTCTGAGTCCTCCGCGTCATCGTTTTTGAGTGTTGCTTGAGAAGAAAAATTAGCATTCAGTTGGTCAATCTAACTAAGCTGGCTTACCTTCCTGGTCGATCACCTCGTCAGTCGGTGCTTTCCATTCTCTTTCGTCGAATACTTCAACCACCACGACATCCCCCTGAACCGCTCGGTTCATATTCTCCCTGCCCATTAGAAGGACAGGTTTCGTGAAGGCAGGGACAGGAACGGTACCCTGAAAGAAATTAACACTGGCATGAGCAGAGGTATTCGTCGCAAACCTCGAGGTAGTTAAATTGATTTGCATTGAAATGACCTTGATGGAGTTGACCAGCTTTGACTCCCGCTACGAGGGTGGACATAGGAAGATACTGCGAAGCACGGTATAAGTGTCAAGAAATCGCAAAGCCATATTCACCGCACGTCAGCATAGAGCGCAGTACGCCCTGCCACAGCTCTGGTGGGTTCCACTTCGTCTGAGCCAGTCGCCGAAAGTAGATCGAGAAGTTGATCTGAGTTTTTCATGCCATCCACATAACTGCGCACTTCAGGGCATCTTTGAGAAAGCGAGGCAAAGTGTATATCGGACAATACATACCTGAAATGCATGGGATTTTCTCCCTCTCTGCTTTTTGGCGGTTTGCGAAGTCATCTGTAATTAGTACAACCTTGGGCAGCGCTAACTTTGGTTGACCTCGGATCGGAGGGTGTGCCAGTGTTAGATGCGCATTGTACCACTCTGCAGCTTTCCTAATACCTATGTAATTCCTATCGATATACCCAAAGATGCAGATCTGAGTATCACCGACCTCGATCATTCCGGTCATTCGGCGTCTCGTCGTCTTCTCGCACGATGGCAGTCTCTCTATGACACGTATATCAGTAACGAGGGAAATTTGTAACACTCAATGAGAACGCCAAGATTTAAAGATAGCATGGAACACGACTTCAAGATCAAAGGCTAGGTTCAGAACAGGAGGTGGTGAAGCAACATATTGTTAACCGCGACAGAGCGAAACTCGACGATATGAGGGGTTTGGTGGAGACTACTCACGACCTGAACTCATTGTAAAACACCCATACTTTCCGCTCGTCAGTTGTTGTGAGAGCCTTGAGGCGACTATACAAGGGTAATGACCGATGACGAACTTCCTCCATGACGGTTTGTAGGATGATGATGGGGGGTGTGAAGTAATTGGATTCGATCAAGTCCATCTGTAAGATATCAGCGCCGTACATGAACTCGTACTCATATGCATACCTGTGCAAGAAATACATTAGTATCGGGCAGGATATAGTGCCCAGTGGGGAAATCTTTGTGGGTGGTGTCCCCAGAACGCGAAAGGATAGTCTGCGCTGTCGTGTTACATGCCCTACAGCCGTCAATACCACAAGAAATATCGTCTCGGAGATACCGTTCGCGTAGAACTAAGGGGAAACACAACCTTGAACAGATGAAGCACTATTTAAATAAGATGAAAGGTACCTTTAATGACTTTTCCTCGGGCAGTCTTTTTGAAGAACATCCGCTGGGTTATAACAGCTTCTTCCCTCGGTCGCTTGAGAATCGTAATCTCAGGCATGTTGGATGAAGTTCGGGACTTCAGAAGGAGCAAGATTTAGATTCTGTATTACACTGGCCAAATATTTCGTACAACATCACGTGAGTCTGAATCTTGTCTGGTAACTTCAAAGGGCCCACTAATCTGTTTATGTGACCTCCTGTTCACATTTGATAGATCTCCGTGACGTAGCCTCGATGGTCCCTGATCATATCGATCATACACCACTGTAGTCGTCTACTCCCTGTCCCCGAAGACAAACCAAAGTGTATTTGGCCATTTACATAGACGCTTCATCTCACACAATGGACAAAAGTTTGCAGCATCGGCGAGGCGGGAACGAATATTATTGATACAACGAAATTCAACTGTATAGTCGGACAGAAAACCGAAAGGAAGAAAACCAATTGCAACTGCAGTTAACAGCAACAACGACAGGGCATGAACAAACGACCGACTGGAGGAATAAAAAGCATACGGTATCACTAGCCAACTACAAGATATACAAAAACATTCGTCGCGCTCAAAATTCGAAGCATCCAAACGCTAGCCACCATCTGAAATGATACTTCCGATACTCAATACATTTTTCTTCCCCTGCAGTCCCACCCGCGCATCATGTTCGAACGGCGCGCGCGACAGCTGGATCAGCGGGTACGCCCCTCCCCCTCCGCCTGGTGTGTTCGTATTCCCAGCCACTGGCGATGACGCGTCAGATGAGGACGACGAGGAAGAAGACGCGTGTTGGCGGGACGATGGGTGTTGGCGGAGCGGTGCGAGTTGGATGAGCCCGTGCTCGCTAGCTGAAGATATGGAATTAGGGTTGTTCCATGCAGATACGGGAGAGGCCACGGGCCATTCGTGGTGAGAGCCAGCGGTTGGGTGCTGGGAGGGCGGAGGTGGGGGGAGGTTGTACCCTCCAGCAGATGTGGAGGCGTATGTGGACTGTTGGTGTCGTGGATAGGCTTGTTCGTTAGAGGAGCTGGTGTACGATTGGTTTGCGTATCGAGAGGGGGTTGGGGAGGTAACGCGAGGGGGTTGAGCCTGAGAGTGAGTCGAATTGGATGGTTGGTAGTAGTCACTTGCGCTGGAGTTTGGGTAGGGCTGTTGATGGTTGAACTCGTATGATTGGGTATGAGATGGTGCGGATGATGAATAGGGTTGTGGATTGGCGGGAGGGGTAGGGGTGTTCCATGATGGAGGATGAGCGGAGGACTGACTGGAGGGATAGTAGGATGGTTGTCCATGGTTGTGGGAGGGTCCAGACGAGGCAGCTGGAGATGACTCATAATACGAATCACCATTTGGGCTAGCATATTGCTGCGGCTGCTGAGTTGGGTATTCATACCTAGACTGTGATTGTGAGTATGGCGTGGTTGTAGGGTATGTGTTGGACGGAGGTGCTCCATATTGCGACTGAGGCCGCGACGATGAAGGGTATTGTGGGTGAGATGAAGAAGACGGATGCTGGTATTGGTTGGAGGTGGTTGGCTGACTGCTGTATTGTCCAGCGGGGGGATATGATTCCTGGAAAGTGTTGGACGTCGCGTTCTGACCATCATAACCAGATGGATAAGCAGTGCGCTGGGACGGAGGATCATACGCTGTTCGTGAACTTTCGTATCCCCGCTGATCTGGCTGTTCATATGCTCCTCTTGAAGTCTCGAACGGCGGTCGTTGGTTGGGACCGCTTTCGTAAGCAGACCGTGGAGAATCAAACGCGGAAGTGCGGGGAGCCTCATATGTTACCCTGCCTTGCGAGTTAAACACGGGAGTAGCCGATGAAAAGGGAGCAGTCTGCACAGGAGGGTGCATAGTTTGCCGCTGAGAGACGACGGAGGACGCAGACGGAATGGATGGCGGTGCGCTGCGGGAATTCTCAAATGCGGCTGCTGCAGGCGGGGCTATCATTTGTGCCCCAGGTGGCGGGGGTATGGAACCTCCCAGACGCGAGTTTTCATAGCTGGCGCCGCGAGGTGGTGGAATAGCCCCACCTGGAGCAGATGGCGGAGGGTGAGTCGGCGCAGGGAGTTCGACACCACCCGGTGCACTTGGAGCACCTAGCATGGGATCTAAGCTCGTTGATGATGGCCACGCAGGTAGTCCCACTAGTGACCCGGTAGGAGTCTGCAAGTCTGGTGCGCCATTAGAAGACACTGTGCCGTGTCGAGGACGTTTGGAATGACCAGAGGGAGTGGCTGCAGAAGCCGGGGCATCGTTTTCATCTTCTTCATTATTGTTGTTCTCGGTATCGATTGGAGTAATGAGTGCACTGATAGGGCGCTTGCGAACACGAATGTCTTTGCGGATCCGGATCTTGATGCCTTGGTCGGCTAGCGAACATGAAAGAGGTGTGGACTCTGATGAATGCAGGTCAGTTATGCAATGAACAATCAGTCAAGAACGAGGCGTTGAGGAATTAATTTCCATAATTAAACCTTACGCTCACCTTCCATACCGGGGAATTTCTTTGCAGTGTAAACATAAAATGGTGCAGAGTATATCGATTTACAGTGGCGGACGGTGTTGCTGAGGAGAAGTCAGGGACGTGGGTAGGTAGTTAGTCAGCGAACTCACCCGACGACTTCGAAGAGGCTGAGCTTCAAACGATAAGAACCCTCGGTTCTGACGCTTAGGTCGGGGAAAACAAAAAAGCCAGCATCCTCATTGCGATTTTCGGTATCTTTGAGGTGGTAGAGGGACGAGACAACAGAACCTGTCGTACACCGTGTTTTCCCATCCTGACAGCTGGCAATCAGAGAGAGATTATGGTAACCGTAACATACTGACCTTTAGCCAGTGTAGTTCTGTGTCGTCGTCAGGTTTTGCCAGGCTTGCAAACATGAAGTAATAAGGGTTTTGAAGGAAGCTGTGGGCATAGCTTGGGTCGGAGTCATCGCCATCTAAACGAGCTGGAGAAGGAGGTTGACGAGTTTGTGGGTCGATAACACGAAGTTGAATGATGGGAGGTGGATCGATTGGACGTCGGTCGGCTAAGCGAAGATGAGCTCGTGTGAGAAGGAATGAAGGAATAAAGGCAGCTGACTTGCCTCCTACACCACACATACGGGCCTGTTTTGGCTCCTGCCGGACAGTAAGCTCATATTCCCTGTGCGGACGATTGAACATGTTAGTAAAGGGAAGGATGATAGACAAGAGAAATAGAAGTAATAAGTGATCTGATGCGAAGTTGGACAGTGATGAACGTTTAACTTTGATGACCTTAGTCTAGTATAGTGGGCGGAACCGTAGCATTGGAACGATCTTTTCCTGTGTGAAGTGGGAGCGCTGGAAGAGTACTTACAATCTGTCCCTCTCATGGTATCCTCTATCACGGTCAGCGTAGCCATAGCCAGCTGTGATAGGATTGTAGGTAGCTGGGTCCATTATTGTGGAGCTCGTCGTCGTCGACGATGATGACGATGAGTATCTTGATAGGACCTTTGTAAAATCGATGGTCTATTGTTTTTGCTGGCTGGGAACCACGTTCCAACCCAAACCTGGTTTATGACATGGCAACCCAACACCACGGGTCCCACACACGTGGCAGTCAGTCCTAGATTCAGCTCCTTTCAGTTCTCACCAGCCCTGAACCCTGTCTACTTTCCGTTCCACCGGCCCTCATCGAGTCCTACAATGTCAAGCGATCTAGCAGCAGCTTATTTTACCTTTAGTCGAGAAAACAAACCGTAACCTTATCATCATCTCCTTCTTGATGACATGTTACAACTAAACTTTATATCTTCAGGTCAAACCGATTATATGACTCGCCAATCTTCCCATCTAAGCTGTGTCAGACCACAGCTGAGCATGTGTTGCATCATCATCGGACCGCACAATTTCCCTGCAACGGATCACGACACGAGCCAAATCACACCCCGACGATCATCTCGCATCTTGGCGAACTCTGTTGATTCGTAGGTACCAGGATATACATTAAATCGACCTGGTTCCTGATACTCTCATGGCTGGCCTACTTTAGCCTACTTTGCCGTATGTGCCATAGTAGCCCACAAGTCCTTATTTGTCTCAAGAAGTCCATGGACTCCGCGCTTCATCGCATGCTAAACTAGCGTCATATCGGCTCAGCATCCGGGTTTTCGACGTTTCGGGTCCTGTTGACATTCAATATGGCGGTCAAAGGTAAGTCTAGAGCAGAGCTCGCCAGATACTCTTCTAAACACGCCGCAGACAAGGACTGGTCTCCCCAGTATGCTACCGCTTGTACTAGTCTTCGTCTACAAGCTTCGCTTATACCTTGCTGTTGATAATTGTTCGTTCCATCGCAGGCTCATTAGGTGACCAATCATACTTTCACGACGGCTTACCATGACCATAACCTTTGTCCAGGATATCTAATCGAAGCCTTGTGATTCTCGCGACCAATCAACGCCATCAGTCCACAGTATCTGAATGGTACGCTTCTCTTGATCGCAGTGTTCTACTTGATGCGTTCTATTTCCATCGAGTAGGCAATGTTTGTCCGTCTACATTACCCCCCTTCCTGACAAGTATGGTTACTTATCAGCCATAAAAAAAAGTGACGCGCAAAATTCCACCTTGGGACCAGCAAACCGATCACGATTGCTTCATACTGTTGTTTAAGCTCAGCGTTCACTAACCATACTTCTTTTGCCACTGCTTCAGACAGTTTGCAATAAACAAGTCAAGGCCAATGAAGTTCAAGGTGCGTGATATCTCGGTTCAGAGAATATTCCTTTGTCTATCAGGTCTGCTTAGGGGAGGCAGTGTTATGCGTCAAGTCAAGAATATATGATACACTTCACAGTAACAGCAAGATACTAATTACCATTAATTACCTCCGCGTTGACTAGGCTCCTTATTGGCATACTACACATGTCGGACAATTCTATCTAGTTTATGGAACTCAGAGGGATGCATCATTAACATACCGAACGCACGGTGGGATGGGCTGGCATATTTTCAACGACGTGTATGGTGGCCTGGTGGGAAATTACTATTCCTTCGTAGGGTGGCCCGAATTTTGTCAATTTGATGACACCTTCGTTACAGACCACCGTCTCTCCGAGTCCAGCCCATGGGGGTAGTAATCAATGTGCCGTGTCTGGGAAGGATAAACTGATTTCTCAGGTCATTTCAAGCAAGAGCTTCAATTCATTGTTACAGTACCTCAGAACGCCAGGAAAATTACAGTAGCACGGACCAGCCATAACTCCAATTACATAGTACGAGTGAGGACCCGTCGCAATCTCGTAGGTACCGCAGAAGTCAGACATACCAGCAAACACACAAAATCATATACAAAATAAAGGATTAATCAAGTACTGAGTTCTCTCGACCGTCTCCCGTGGTTCATCCGATAATAAATCCACAGTGGGCAAACTTCCCCGAAGATTCGACACTTCTTCTGCACTAATCATCAGGAAAACATAATTCATTACAGAGTGTTACAGAGCGCTCTGTAGCACTCTGTAACACTCTGTAATGAATTTCGTTTTCCTGATGATGTTGCATGATTGTACTTATCTCGACTTGCATCAATTTTTTAAAAAAAAAGCAATGTGATTTCAGAGTCACAGCCTATTTAAACACATAGAGGGTCCCTAACAACGTCAGTGACACCAGCTGATGGCTAAGACTGGGTTGTTGGCAGATAATAACCTTCGAAATCGATGGACTTCAAGTGGCAGACGCACCTTCAATGAAAATTTTCGTTCTTTGAAGGACAGTGTGCAGGTTATGATAGCTCTGGATCCTGAAGTCAACGGTGGGTATCTTAATCTCTCGTACGTTGGGTATATGCACTCTGCGCATCCCCGGGCCCATGGTTGAAACCTCATCATTCTCAGTTTCGCTAAAGGATCAGTTTATCGATCGCGTGCATCATGCTCTGGAGTCTAAATGCATATTTTCAAGGGACTGAGATGACGCCATCGTGGAACAAAGAAGAAGGCAACTTACAAGATATCTGCATCAGGTCCAAGGAGAAATTTGTAACGCTTGATGCTACTTATGTGATGGTCTTCAGTTAGACCTTATTGTCGCTGTGGCCTTTTCATGCGCGTCTTGTAAGCAAACGAGAGCTCTCAAAGAGGACCACAAGAAACCACTTGCCTGTCTGATCAGTCTAACGAATGAATCTCGTGCGCGAGAGCTTGCTGCGGCAGACGGCAATGACATCTATCACCAAGTGTCAGCATTCCAAGTGTACAATGCCAATTCAAGAACATGAACGAAATTTTCGATCTTTCAACAGGGTTGAGTCGTGCTGACACAGGGAATTGAAAAGCTGTTGGCAGTCAGCGTATCGCTTTGCGGTCGCGCCACACTGAAATATTGTGTGACTAGTATTGCCTTCGTAAGTCGGACGTGGTGGGACGGTCGAGTCTACCTTACCAGATGAACATGGGAGCAGAGGATGAAAAAGGTACGTGGCAGGGAGACATACCAACTGTCATCAGAAATGATACTCCCAATCCACACCACAATTTCTTGCTCTGCTGTCCCCTCGGCGCACCACGCTATGACAGCGGAAGGGGCAGCTAAGTATAACCCTCCCCATCCGCCTGGCGTGCTCATATTCCAGGCCACGGGCGTTGATGCATCTGACGAGGAGGCCAAGCACAAAGATGCTTGTTGTCGAACTGATAGCGACGGGTGTTGGTTGAGCGGTAGAACAGGATTTAGCCCCGTGCTTGCTAACTGTTACTATAGAGTTGGGTTTGTTCCGCGAGTATGCGGGCGTTGGCGAGGGCCACTCGCGGTGAGATTCTATGTGAAGTTGAGTGAGTGAGTGATTAGGGCGAGCCTGAGAATACGATGATTATTTGTTTCACCTTGTCTGTCGCTTGCACCACACACGCGGAATATGTCTTCAGGGTTGAGAATAATGCCTTCGTGGTCAGTCTTCATTCTAAGCCAAGTCTTGTACCGCATGTGTAAGGAAAATATACCCCCTCTGAAAAGCTCCCTACAGCAAAAAAACAGGTAAGAACATGCGTTGGGGTCGAGTACTTACATGGGTATAGAAAACGTCTGTTGCCAACTGTTTCCTGCTTTGCGTTCAATTCGCAAATGCAACTTGCCCATCCGTACTTCAGCAGACCTCACATTCATTTCCGGCTTGCTGAAATCGACGGTGATACCTATTGGATATATTCAGCAGGGTTGATGATACTGCTTAATGATAAGAATTGAGTACCATAGATGTGGAGAGGGGAGGAAACCGTCGAGGCGTAAGCCACACTGATTTGGGTTAGGAAAAATTCTACTCTGAGCAACTGCAAATTCATCTAGAGGTTGAGTGCAAGCCATACATCGGCTACGAGGAAGTGAGGTACCGGACGTTAAGACATTGACAATTGGACGGTAGTGTTACAAAAGGCTCGTAGATGAATATTGTGTTCGTGTTTACATTTCCTTGAGAACAAGAGCCTCACGCAGCCCTCGCCAAACACATCCTCACGACTGTCTCAACCTGTCACGGAATATACCCGTCACTTGGGCATCGGAGGGTAAGGCAAAATTACATACCTGGTTGAGGCTAACAGGCTGTGTCTTTGAACTCATTGCCGGTGTCCCACCTTGGCGGTACTCGCGTTTGAGACGGAAACCAGTCACCTGTACCAGTTGTCATGTCTAGCAGGGTCAACGGAAATAAGAAGACTGACATCTTTGATCTGGGATGTCGTGTTATTGTCGATCTGTTCTGCGTCGAGCCAGATTTGAACATTCTTGTCACTCTGCTCATTTGCGACGTATATGTCTTCGACAGTGAAGGTGTTGACCTGAGCGGAAGATGACAAACGGCTGTACAAGCTCTTGCTGATATCGCCAGTTGTTTCTTTTTGCTCCTTAGCTAATGTGCAAACTTCGTTTGTATGTTTGACAACTAGGGCGTCGATGTCAGCAGTTTCTAAAATACTGCCGGTGAAAAGCTCGATCAATGAATTGACGTCAGAAAGGGGGAAGAACCTCCCCCTATGCAACATACAGTTAGTCGAAGCCTCAAATGTACAATTGAAATCTCACCCTGTCTTCTGAACAATGCCTTTATAGAAGTCGAGGGGTGTCTGAGTTGTCCATCAACGTTACACTTAGAATGTTGAAGACGATTGTAATATGCTTACCGAAAAGTCCATGCTCATCGTAGGTTCGCACGCCAGTACATGCTATTATCGACGTAAATGTCCGCGACTGGAAATCGTGAAATGACGTACCAATGTAATACCGAGCCTAGCCATCCTATTAACAAGACGCACAGGGTCGTTCTCTGTTTTATAGTTAGATGTTGAGATCATTAAACAATAAGTAACGTACGAAGTGGACATCCACTGGGGAATCCATCTTCATCCTCCCCTATACCATGGGGTGGTGAATCTGTGATAAGTATAGCGACCTTGGTGGCTTCGTCCTTCCATCCCGCATTCAAGACACGAGCGAACGCATCACACTGAGCTTCGGGTCCGTCACCACCACCATCCGCTTGCAGATTCGCCAGATTCGCCTTGACAGCCGAAACGTTAGAGTCGAAAGGGTATTGACGGGTGATGTACGTGGAATCTTGCGGGGGGTGGTCGCGGAATGCTATAAGTCCAAATCTTAAATCACCACCTGACCATTTTCCAGTCGCAACAAGGCGTTCGCACAGCGACTGGATGGTGTCTCGGACTTGTTCGATATAGACTTGCATACTACCCGTCGCATCGAGGAGGAAAACAATATCTCTGCGAATGACCTATTTAGTATCAGTGATTCCTGAAGACAGGAGTATGTCTTACAACTTAGACGTCGTAGCGCTGGCCCAACTTTTCAAGGTCGAAACAGAAGGAACAAAAAAGTATTCTCCTCCCCTCGAAGTAACAAAGAAAGGGTTCGGCTCACTGGGCGGTGGAGCTGCACCCTTAGGGGTAACCCGAGCGAATCCGGACACCTCGAACGTTGCACCATCCGCACCGGCGAGTTGTAAGTTGATTTTATCCCCAGATTTTACTGAGGGAGATTTGCCTTTGATTTCAGCAGTTGTATACGCAGGAGGGCTACCAAGGACAGGGTCCTGACCTAATTGGGATCGGAATCGATGGGTTAGAGTGATATACAAACGATGAACTTCGTTAAATTAGTTACCCTTCTTTAGTGGCACCAGGGATGTTATGGGCCAATAATCATTGTCCGCGTATCCAACTGTCTGACGAACGAATCCCGAGTCCAAACTGGACATATAGCAATTGAACAGAAGCCCGCGAGGTAACTCATCACTTCCGCTTGCTACATCGCGTCGTTCTTGATCAGTAACCTGAGAGTAGGAGATAGCAAAAATCAGGCGGAATAAAAATGCACAAAGCCTATGACTCTTCTCACCTCACCGCCATACGGAAGCCCTCCACGTACGATCGAACCCGATTCGAGGAATTTGGCGTCGATGTAAGGATTCAAATTACGCGGCGCGGTCTTGCGTGTGTGTGCAGTGAATGGGCAATAGTAATCACTGGGTTCATGCCGTGATATATTCGGATTGTCGCGAACGACGTAGTCATTGTTGCGGTTTGGGTCGAGTGCCACAGCTTGATTGTCGCGGAAGGGGCATTTAGCAAGGGGTGCACCCTGTCACAGGCACGTTGTCAATGAGCCCAATGTATCAGTATAAATTGCATCGCCGAATCGCACCGATTTCCACCTTCCAATAAGCCGTGCCCCGAAGAGATCTTCAGCTTCTTGTGTGTTGAGCGGAGGAGATATATCACCTCCAGGAATGAACTCGCGCCAACGAGGTCCATTCCTCTGCACATAATCTTCGAAAGAGATAACGGATTGCTCGAGCTTCCTGAACACCAAAATCGTTCCATCCTTGGTCCAGGCTGGACGTTTCGCCCTGTTAGTCGGATCATCTCGTACAGGATCGCCTGGATAACCCATTATAATTACTCCAGGATCAACTTGAATTTGGCCTGCGCGAGGAATAACAAGACCCCTGACGGAATGTTGAAGTCCTACTGTACAGATGTGATGTCCGGGAAATACTCACCGCAGACAAGGTTGGGATATTCCATCTTGAAAGCCGAAATGCTCATGCCCTTTGTAAGGGGGTGGTCGAGCCCTCCCTTCCACTGACTTGCCGCCGGCAACCGTTATTGATGAGCCAAACAGGGCTATGACATCGTTTGAAGCTTTGGTGCAAGTCTCGGCGCCTTCACAGAACATGCATCAAAAAGATCAATTCCTTCAAAACAACAAGCACTCACTACTTCCGGCGACAGTAATGACGCCATGCAGAGCTCCAGTATCGTCACGCACTGATCCATTCACTGCATTAGGGTTTGTTTTGACAAATATAGGGTCCCAGTCTCTTTGGTCGCCAAGGAATTGCTTGTCGTCACTCATGCAGCGCTTGTCGAATCGAGCATCTCCAGTGTCCTCGTTCACGCCAAGGAAATACATGCCGGTACGGCTGAATGCAATCTGGTATTGCGTGATGTCGACTGTCGGGACACTGCTTGCATCACGGGCGTTTCTCTTTGCATCGGCGATCGAGCTAAGATTATCTTTCACGTCTTCCGAAGTCGTTGGCTTGAAGGATTGCAGAGCAGCTCTGAACGATGTTACGTTGTTGATCCTGAAAAATACAAAATTTTCGGCTTTCTGTTAGAATAAATCGTCAGCGGACATGTTTAAGTATGCTTGAAAGAAGAGCTAATTGAACCGGTCATTTACTTTAGGAAAGAGATAAATCACGTCGCCTTGGACATTGTTCAGATCAGGAAGGTCGACAGTCGCTCGAGCTTGACGTGTGGTACGCGAAATCAAAGGTAAGACTGAGCGACGTCCTAAATGCTTGTAAAGATCAAGAGAATACTGATGATCATCCATTTGGCCCAACGATTTAGATGTGAAGATCGTAAGGACAAAGTTCCCTGAGGAAGATGAAATAAGGGAGAGAGTACATATATGCGCGTCTTATCGATCTAACCAGAAACTGGAGGGCACCGGGTTTTTCGAAAGTCCGAGAAACCGAAGGCTATTCATCGCGATAATACGACGATGCATTATGTGAAGGCCTGTGAAGGCCATTCTGGGTGATGAATCTGCATTATCCAAATTCAGTGGTGAACCATCTGAACTGTTTCAGGGCATCCATAATAGCAGCTGTCAGAAGTACCGCTAGTAGGAATGGAAGACATACATGTCCAAAGAGTATACCTGCTGAGCGCTGAAGCGTTGATGGACCATGCACCCGGCCGTACAAGAATCGAATTAGAGAGTAGATCAGAAACATTGAATGTGATAAGAGATCCGTCCGGACAGATCTACATGTCGATGGAGGGTACTGCTAGTCGTGCGTCAGGTGTCATGAGGAAGCTCAGCGCTCAGTAGAAGCATGACATTAAGTTAGGGAGCCCTTGTTCTCTTACCACCACCATGGTAAAAGTTTCCCACGCACTAACACTGCGGGCAAGGTAGAGCGTCGCTACTCACAGTACATCCTGGCCGTAGAAAGCACTACAACAATGATTAAACCCTGATATAACCACTCTGTGACCACATGAAAAACCTACATCGATACCCCTATGAACCCAGGTTCACAGCTAAGCACTGGCCTACCCACAACACCAACACCCCATGAACTACTCCAACCCACCCCAACGTGACTAAAACCACTTCAGTCACCCCCAAAAGTATACCTATTAGGTTGATAGTCCTGTATACATGTATTAACCTAAGAGGTGTGATTCCTCTGGTTTTTCCCATTGTACTGTAGGTATGGGATAAGTCCTATGGGACAAAGCCAATGCTTTCCCAGCCCACCTGGGACATAATTTTGTGAACATTCCCATGGGCTTTCCCTGTAATGTGAGTGGTGTCAGGGGTCTTTTGGGCTGATTTTTTTACCATATTGGGGGGGTATAGCTGGGATCATTAGGGTGTATAGGGGTCATGAAGGTGTGGTATAGGGATCATAGGAGGATGGTACAGGGACCATCAGAGGGTAGTATAGGGTGGTATGAGAACCATCTGAAGGTGTTATCGGAGACCATCGGAGGGGAGTATAGGGATCATGATGGTCTGAATAGTGTGATCCCCAAGTGATGATTCTGTAGGCATGGGCAAGTAGCTGAGACCAGGCATTGGTTGATCAATATTTGAATGGTGCGATCCCCAAGTGATGATTCTGTAGGCATGGGCAAGTAGCTGAGACCAGGCATTGGTTGATCAATATTTGAATGGTGCGATCCCCAAGTGATGATTCTGTAGGTGTGGGTGAGTAGCTGAGACCAGGCATTGGTGGATCAATATCTGAATGGTGTGATCCCCAAGTGATGATTCTGTAGGCATGGGCGGGTAGCTGAGACCATGAATTGGTTGATCAATATCTGAATGGTGTGATCCCCAAGTGATGATTCTGTAGGTGTAGCAATTGGAGGGTACCATAGGGTGGTATGAGAACCATCAGAGGGTAGTATAGGGATCATGATGGCTCAGTATGAGAACCATCTGAAGGTGTTATCAGGATCATGGTAGGGTGGTATGAGGATCATGAGTATATCTGCTCAAGTGATGATATGTCATGATGGGATTTCCCCAGCCACATATACTCATGTTCGGAATTTCCTGGCCATATATATGCTCCAGCCAGGACTTACCACCCACATATATTATCAAGTCAGGGATTCCTGGACCATCAAAATTCTTCATTCGGGAATATCCAGACCACATATATTCTCAAGCCAAGAATTTCCACACTCCCTTATTCTTTGGTGGGGAGTATCCAGGCCCACATACTGTCCAGTTGGGGATTCCCAGAACATATATATTATCACATCGGGAATATCCAGACCCACATTGTCATGTTGGGGATTCCCAGACCCTCATATTCTTCAGTGGGGAATACCCAAACCCCCCATATTGTCAAGTTGGGATGTCCCAACCCACATATATTCTCATGCCGGGAATTCCCAGCCCACTGAAATTCTGCAGTCAGAAATATCCAGACCCCACATTGTTAGGTCAGGGAAGTCCAGACCCCCATATTCTTTGGTGGGGAATATCCAGACCCCCCATATTGTCATGTTGGGGATTCCCAGACCATATATATTCTGCAGTCAGGAAGTCCCAGACCACCCAAATTATTCAGTTGGGAATTCCCAGTGTGCAATAGTAACCTGGTTAGTCAAGTCCCTACACTTGGAATTTGCAGACCCCCCAACTCTTCATCAAGTCAGGAATTCCCTGACCATATATAGTGTCAATTTGGGAATTCCTGCCCCACCAAAATTCTTTAGTTGGGAATATCCAGACACCCCAAATTATCAAGTTGGGAAGCCCAGACTACATATATTCAGGTGCCAGGAATTCCCAGTGTGCAAGAGTACCCTGGCAAACCAAGTCCCAACTTGGAATTTGCAGATTCAACAACTCTCTGTCAAGTCGGGGATTCCCAGACAACCCATATTCTTTGGTGGGGAATTCCCAGGCCCCCCATATTGTCAAGCTGGGGATTCCCAGACTACTCATATTGTGTTGGTGGGAATATCCAGACCCCCTTATTGTCAAGTCAGGGATTCCCAGACTATATATATTCTGAACTTGGGATATCCCAGACCATATATATGCTGACATTGGGAAGTCCCAGACCAACCAAATTATTCAGTCGGAAATATCCAGACCCCCTTATTGTCAGGTCAGGATGTCCCAGTCCACCTAAATTATTCACTCGGGAATATCCAGGCCCCCCTTATTGTCAAGTTGGGACTTCCCAGACCACCTACATTATTCAGTAGGGAATTCCCAGACCCCCCTTATTGTCAGGTCGGGAATATCCAGTATGCAATAGTAACCTGGCAAGTCAAGTCCACACTTGGAGTTTTCAATGTCTTATTTTGATAAGTCACACTGAATATTTGTTGCTGTTGTGGTATCATAGTTATGTGTAATGATCAAGACATTAATTCAAACTGCATTTGGAGACAAACAGATATAAGGTTCATGAAGATGGCACAGGGAGATTGACAGGATGACAGAATAGGTAACGAAGTTCATTCATAATCTTCGAAGTAATCATGATCATAGCCACCATCCTCTACCTCCACCTCTTCTTCATCTTCCATTGGAGACACCTAAGCCTTGGTAGCATGCCTTGATGGACCAGCAACAGGGGCAGATTCTTGGGTATATGCATACTGGTGTTGGACCAGAGATCTGGAGCAAGCATAGCCATGATGACGAGAATGGTGAATAGGTGGTGATGGGCTATGATGATGAGGTTGTTGAGTGGGACAGTGCTGCAAGTGACGCTGCTGCTGATGGTCATGGGAATAATGGCTAGTCATGATAATCAGTAGCAGATTTGTGTGACAAGCAGAAGACATACTGTGTAGCACTGCTCATCATCCATCTGCCAACCTTGTGATCCTCACCATCACTCTCATCTTGTCGGTGCTTCTGAACAAGTGGTACTTCTACAACCTTGTGAGATTTCACAGGTGCGCCAGGTGCAGGGTGAGTCATTTGAGACATAAGTCAAGGGTTCGAAGTATGCATGACAACACCTTTCTGTGACAAAGGTTGATAAGGAGGGACTTTGGTAGGGATGGGATGGGGAAGTGACATGACCTTGTGGTGATCCCTACATGGTGGAGAAGGGGACCAGACAAGTGGTGAGGAGGGCTGAGGAGTCAGAGAATTGCAAGGGGGGGAACCAGCAGAGTCCAGAACCTCAATACTAGGCGGCAGATTCTTCATAAACAGAACACAGTCCATGAGAGTATGCTGGACTTTACCATCCATGTCAGTGATGAGAGGGATGTTCAACATGGTGGAATCTTCATTGCTCATTAAGTCTTTAGACTCTGTCAGAATTTAAGTGAGTCATGCCATAATACAAGTAAGTTCAATCTTACCATCCAACCAAGGTACGAACATCAACTCTGTCTCAGGAACCTTCACCCCACTTAACTTAACTTTCCTTTTCTTCTTCAGCTCTGGGTGTTTGACACAAGCAAGCTCCACATTGTAGTCAGAGCCCATGCAGCGCTTTAAGTAGGGACCAACCAGTGCCTTGAGCTTGTCTGTCTTCAAGTCCTTGAATACAAAATCAGAGCCGACAGGAGGGACACCTGCAGGCCAGTCGATGACCTGTGCTTGGTGAAGGTATAATGAATTGAGCATAGTTTTCCAGGGAATATTTTTCGCCTCGTGCAGGATGCCAGCACCTTCTATAGCTAGAATGAATGCAATGATAGATATGATTACAAAAGAACTTACCAAACTTTTTGAGCATCATAATGGGAGCTACATGGCAATTGTGGTCATGAGTTCCCTCCCATTTCTCGCATGCGAGCTCAGGATTGAATTTTGGAGCTGTAAAATGAGTAAAGGATGGCAAGGAAGCTGTATCATCAATGTGATTGTACCTAGAATATAGAAATTAATATAGCAAAACATAGAGGGAAAAGATAAGTACTTGATTACAGTTGTCAAGTAATCAACAAGTTCTTTGATGTCTGCTTGCTTCTTATTGACAAGCTCCAGGATAAGTGGTGACCCAGCAAACACCCCCACCACTCATCGCTTCAGCAGTACCTGTATATAATATGAAACCCCCCACATAAATATCCTCAAGGCACAAATAAGCTTGGCACTGCAAATGACTTAAGACAACATAGAAATGTGTCGGTGATACTGACTTACACTGAGGGTGAAGGCATCGCATACAGCCATGATATGGTTGTACAATGCTTTTGAGGACTCTTCTGTGATCTTGGAGCTCCCGTCCCAGAACTCATGGATCTCCTTCCATAATTTGGGGTTTTCATGCTTATTGCAGTGTTTGACCCAATGGTCACATTGCAACTGCTTCCAGTCATTTGTAGACACTAGAAAAAACATGTAAGGAAGAGATTTGATGAGTACTGTACACTACTTACTGTCAGAAGACTTGGGGTGCTTCATCTTGTACCATGCTTGGTACATGTTCCAACTATTGTCAGCATGAGTAGTTTTCACCGCTAACCCGGCTTGAATCAAAATCGTTCATACTGATTTGCCATACTCCTTGGCAATCTTCTCCACCTCTGCAGCTGTTTTGTCACCCAAGGTGACGGCCTTATCAATGGCTTCTTGCAGGAGTTGGCCAGACATAAGGGAATCACCAGAATTTTCGTCAAGGTCGACTTGCTGCTGACCATCGTCAAGGTCAGCCTGACACTGATCATTGTGTTGCTCTTCATCATCTGCAGGGGGAGGTAGCTGCTTCCCCTTACCCTTGGCCTGTCAAGCAGGAGGTGCAGGTGAGATGTGATCCTCATCTGCTTGTTGAGGCTGTGTACCAGGAGGCATGGGCAACTTGTCAGCATCATCATTGTCAGAGCCCGACTGGCTCTTCTCCTCATCATTGTAGTCGCTGTCCTCAGGAGAGGCCTCTGGCAGCACGGCATTAGAATACTATAATGCAGTAATACTTGTCTAACATACTGCCTGATTGATTGTCACTGTCATGCACTGCTGATGATATTGTCTTGCGCTTCTTGAAGAGTATAGGGCCATCTACAGTAGAATCAACCACAGTGTTATCATCCTGAAGAAGGTCTGTCAGTAAGTCATCAGAAAGATGAACACCGTTGTGCTTACTGCAAGTGCACCAGAATCCTTATTGGTAGGGGAGGGTTCAGGGCTTCCATCTTCAACAGAACCTTCAGCAATAGGCAAGGTATCTGGAGCTGCAGGAGTTAAGGGTTAGTGACTTGACTCCCATAGTAAAGTGACCACACACCTTAGAGAATTTGTGATTAGTCTTTGTGATGTGGGCAGGGCTGACCTTGCGAGATGCTGATATCCTCGCCATTGTTCAAAAATGGACCGTAAGACGCATAGTCTGTTGGTCCAAGTATTCCAGGATGTGTAGTCACAGGAAGGAAACAGTCAATGCGCAGTCAGACCTCGGGATGGGGGAAGATAAAGACAAACCAGGGTGTAACAGTGAGTGGAGGGTGAAAATGAGGGAAAATTTCCTGGAATGAGTAAATAATGGGCTTTTATATTGACTGAAAGACTTACCATTCAAGAAGGTTCGGAGGCATTAGGTTAAACACTGGAAACCAAATGGAGCTAACATATGAAATATTGGGTTAGTTACTTGGGCTGAGGGATCGGGCCCATCAAGTCAATACCAAGGAATGCAAGACAAGACACATTACGGTCAGCATATTCAGATCAGTGAAAAATAATCAGTAAAATAGCCTTGCCCGAACAACAGTCCATGTATTGCATCCACTAACAAATATACAAATTCTTGGCACAAATGGCCACGATTGGACCATGTACAGACAAAACACATGTCTGTTCAGAACATGGCATAATTGCAGAACTAAATTGGCTGTGTTGATTTTAAATGCAATAGAATGAATATAGTGTAAACAGGCTTACCATGACTCAGATTGCTGAATGAAACTTGTAGATACAGGAAAAATTATGCAGGAAAGCAGTGTGGGACGATGGGGGGCCTGCCAAAGTGGTTGAAGAAACATTGCACATAAAAATCACAGGCCAGTTGCATGATCTGGAAGTACATAGTAACATTGAAAACACTTGCATCCAATGGTGCATTGAGGCGTGATGGGGAATCCTCCCAGCAGGACAACAGCTTGCAGAAATTTTCAACATAGGGGAAAGTGTCAATCATCTGATGACTCCACAACCCACTGTTGTCATTGGGTAAAGATGATGACCACATCACAAAGCCGCCCTCTTCAGGGAAAATACTGTAAAGGAGATCCCGGTGATTATGTTGTGACTCCTCCCACAATGCGCAGGCCATGACTCAATCTAGAGCTAGAAGCTCATACCGGAAATTGAGTTCATACAATTCACAGAGTATAAGGCACATCAAGTGTGAAGGAGGGTCACAAAGAGACATAATTGAAATGGACATATTATGCCACTGCACATTCTCACCAATGGCCCATGTGGTTCCCTGGGTGTCCCGAAGATCTTCGCCAAATATTTGTGTGGCTGCTTGCTTCCGTGAGGCTGCAGCAGTAGGACCTGCCAACAATGAGGCTATTATGGAGGGCTCACCAGAGGGGCTACTGTTAAGAAAATCTCACCAAAGTTGTGGTGATGGAAAGCACTCTGGAGGGTTGTGATCGACGCGACTGATCCACAGCGGTCATGCAGCAAGCCAGTTTGCAACAAATAATTTCTTACACTCTGGTGAACTAGGAGTAATGAGAAGTGCAGGCTCAGGGAACCAATACCCTTGATCAACGAGACCCTTTTTGATGCAATCTTTGTCCTTGTTTGCTCTCTGGAAGGTGGAAGTCCAAAAGCCGATGGCTTCAGGGTTTTCTGGGTGATGGAGGTCCTCCCATTTGTCATGGTTAGGTTGGCCGTCAGCAACCTTAGAAACTTCTAAAGACAAAAAAATGGTAAGGTTCTAGTGTCAATTACAATAGAAATACACGCACTCAGCTTCATCAATTGAGATGAAGTAATGTTTTGTGCCTTCTTATTTTTTTGTCCCTGAGAGGGAGCTTTACCACTAGCTGGGGTTTGAAGCAGTGTCGAAGGCAATGGGGCACCAGGGTTCACAGTGAAAGTGCCAGTGTAGGCCCGACAGGTATGAAAGTGATGGTTGAAGCCACCAGGGCCATGATACAGGAGGGGGAATGGCTGTGCAATGTTGCCTTCACAATAGACGTTCCTTGTCAGATCATCTGGGAATGTCAGGATGACCAGTTTGATGATGTTCATCTGGGGAGAAATATAAGCCTCTGCACAAACAAGCCACACAGGCACGCCAGCATTGAGAATATATCACAAGTCTTTGAATCAGTAGTAAAGCAGCCCATCCATCTCAAGTTCCTGTCAAGTGAACCCCAAGAGGACCAGCCTGAGGTGAGATGAGGTTGAACTATCTCAACAAAGTCCATGAAAGCCATGATGTCGAGGAATGAGCATTGTGCTTGGGCAACAAAGATGATGATATTGTGGTACGTCAAGGGATGTCGCCGGAGCACATTGATGTCATGCTTGAGGGATGCAAGCATGTTAGTGACAATGTCCTTCTTGCCTGCCCAATTTGCCTGCCACAGTTGAACTCGCTTGCAAGCAATGGTAAGCAAGTTGTCAATACCGTCAATGATATGTGAGTGTAGTGAACTGACAGTGAATGCAGTCCCAGGTTGAATGGTGAAGTCGGCTGTAGTGGGAGTGAACCAGGCAAATTGCAGGTCAATTGATGAGGCATCCTTGCAAGGGATGCAGACGGCATATTCAAACTCTTTACAATACATCTGTGGCCATTGGAAACAATCAGCAGCTCCAAAACGTCCATCTGCTTGAGCCCTGAGTTCTTCTAGGTCGTCATTGTGGAGTTCTGGTACCCAATCCATATTCGGAGTGGTGATGACAAGTGGTTCTTGATAGCCAATGGCTCTTGTGTCCAGGGCACTGATAGCCACTGTAAACATCTTGTCAGAAGGTAATAGATGGCATATAAATGATAGTCTTACCATCTGGGCGCCTGTAAGGAGTGAACTTAGTTAACACAGTAGGCATAGTTATTGAATTGAATTGAATTGAATCTGTAAGACTGTATCAATTTGGTGTTTGAAAAGATTAAAGTGAACTCACATCACAAAGATGAACTAACAATGGGCTTGTGTGATTTTAACACATGTAGCATGGTAGAAAAGTAAGTGCAGGGAGTTCCCAATGAAGTTTGTGAGCCTGGAAGGTTATCAAATCTGTAAGACTGTATCAGTTTTGGTGTTGAAATTGGTTAAAGTGAAGTCACATCACAAAGACAGACTTTCAACAGGCCTGTGTGATTGTGATGCAGGTAGCACAGTTGACAGGTAAGCACAGGATATTCCCAGTGATGTTTGTGAGCCTGCAAGGACGTGAGTGTTAAAATCAATTGAAGAAAACAAACCTTGTGAAAATGTTTGGCGCAAGAGTAAGGCAGGCAGCAAGTGCAGAAACTAATGTAGGGTACTCCCAAGAGAGTCTTCAACCCCACTGGTGCAACAACAAGAGAGCAGCTGGGGCAACTCTCCAGATGCAAAGTCTAGGAGATTGCTCTCAGTGACATGAAGTCAACTGCAAGCAATGTGAACAGCTCGTAGCCAGTTCAATGGGTCCAGGCAAATTTTGAGAGGGAGACAGCTTGAAGGGGCAATGAATATGACAGGCGAGGAGGGAGTGTAAGAGGAATTTGAGGTGGGGAAACTGGTGTGTGGGGTGAAGTTTGAATGCAAACTTGGATTGGTGGGAATTCCCATAGATCTTATTGATTATCAATTATCAATTATTGACATCTGTTTGTTTGGTCTTGTTGTTGCAGTTGTTGCACTGCAAACGTTGTCCTGGCATTAACTCATCATCGATCTTCACCTCTACCTCCTACATCTATCAATCACCTTTCCTGCGCCGTGGATTTTGTTTGGCCACATTCTCTCTCTCAACACTCACACCTGGACCCATTGAATTGGCTATGTGCTGTTCACATCGCTTGCAGTTGACTTTGCATCACTGAAAGCAATCTCCTAGACTTTGCATCTGGAGAGTCGCCCTGACTGCTCTCTCATTGTTGCACCAATGGGGTTGAAGACTCTCTTGGGAGTACTGTGTGCTTTCACTGACAACTAATCCTACCTGACTTGTTTTAAAATTGGTAAGTGATTTTTTCGACTGTATTCTTGAGATCTCACTGTAAATATCAGTTCAACCACACCAGGGTTAGCGACTGTCATTGGTGAGTATTTTTTTTTGTATGTCTGACCGAGTTTACTGTTCACATGAGTATCATTCAGTCATATATGCCACACTTGGCACATGTAAATGCACTAATTCAGTCTCACGGGTAAGTTTTCTAGATTGCTGATACAATTCACAATTGACTCCAGCCTGATTATTTGTGCTGGGCTTCCCAATAGGCACTTTTGAAATGAAGGTTCAAGACAGCAACCTTACAGTGGCTCAAAAAACTGTCCACATGTTTTTGCATTTTTTACTATTTACAATATTGTGTGAGAATACATAAAGACCTCAGTGACATGCTAATACCATATTGTAGTGCTGCTTCAGGGCTTTGGATTGAGCACCACATCGTGAGAATCAGAGGAGATATGGTAGAGATACAAGGCTTACAAAATCATGACTCATGTGGACAGTTTTTTGAGCACATATTAAAACTATATAAATCATCATTTATGACACCATAACAATCATGCCACCATTAAATAAATTATAAAGTGGTGTCATTATGTCATTTTAAAACCATATCTAACTATACAAACCAAAAATTTCCATATGTCATGGTTATATTCACTATGAAAGCCACCCCCCCTGCTCAAAGGGATAATATCCTCTCTCTTTCCTATTCTGGCCTCACTGCTTGTCAAATTTCCTCTAGAACTGGAGTATCCAAGTCCACTGTGGCCAAGTTCATCAAAGAAAGTCACACAGACAAGGAAAACTTCTGTGAAGGGCGTCCATCCAAGCTCACCTCTACTGATAGGAGGGCTATTATTCAACATATCACTACAGGAAAGGCTGATAATGCTGTCCAGGTCACCTATTACATCAATTCCACCATCACATTCCCTGTCTCTTCACACACTGTGAGAAACATTCTCAAGACAGCTCATCTCAGGTCCAGAGGGGACTAGCACCCTTCTTTTTTCACATATATACCTTGCCATCTGACCCAATCCTATTTATTGTGGTCTTATATGATCATATAACATGCTTCCAGTCCATGTAATCCAATTCTGATGGGCTAAGGCAAAGGTTAGTCATCTCTGTTTATGTGTGATAAAGAGGAAAGCCTTTTCTTCCTTGTTACTGACCTGAGATGAGCTGTCTTGAGAATGTTTCTCACAGTGTGTGAAGAGACAGGGAATGTGATGGTGGAATTGATGTAATAGGTGACCTGGACAGCATTATCAGCCTTTCCTGTAGTGATATGTTGAATAATAGCCCTCCTATCAGTAGAGGTGAGCTTGGATGGACGCCCTTCACAGAAGTTTTCCTTGTCTGTGTGACTTTCTTTGATGAACTTGGCCACAGTGGACTTGGATACTCCAGTTCTAGAGGAAATTTGACAAGCAGTGAGGCCAGAATAGGAAAGAGAGAGGATATTATCCCTTTGAGCAGGGGGGGTGGCTTTCATAGTGAATATAACCATGACATATGGAAATTTTTGGTTTGTATAGTTAGATATGGTTTTAAAATGACATAATGACACCACTTTATAATTTATTTAATGGTGGCATGATTGTTATGGTGTCATAAATGATGATTTATATAGTTTTAATATGTGCTCAAAAAACTGTCCACATGAGTCATGATTTTGTAAGCCTTGTGTCTCCACCATATCTTCACCGATTCCCACGGTGTAGGGCTCAAATGAAAGCCCTGAAGCCATACTACAATGTGGTATAACCACATCCTTGAGGAATTTGTTCGTTCTCACACAATATCATAGATAGTGAAAAATGTCAAAACATGCGGACAGTTTTTTGAGCTACTGTATGTACACAATGCCATATAAAACAGTCTTGCCTGTTTACATTGAGACATGTCAGTAGACATTTCCTTTTTTCCTTTTTTTTAATGGATATTTGTACCCTGCAGTCTGACTACATGTCAACTATGCACACTTTCAGTGACTTCGCGTCCTACAGCACTTGTACATTGAGACTACGCATCTCATGGCTGTGCGGTGTCCCAAACGACCCTGTCATGCGGGTCCCTCGTCACATTCCCACTCTGATCACCTGCCACCTGTGACTCCTACAGACTCGCAGCCAATGACTATCATTTGTGAACTGTGGATGGTTCATCACAAACACCGAGCTTCTTGGACTTACCACTCAGTTGCACCTCCCCTTCTTGTTCTACCTGGCTGGCAGTGCTTTACCCAAACTATTTCATCTTCATCTCGACACTTGCTTGCCCAGGATCAAAGTCACCTGCATTCCCCTAGTGGTGCTGATCCTCCAGATCACAATCCCTTCATCACTGACGAACCTCTTTTCAGCAACTTCCTCTATGAGCCTGATGGTCCTATCAACCTTCCACACCTGCATCTGTCTGGCCTCCAGAAGAAGCAAAATCAATGGCAGAGATGGTCTCAAGAAGTCATTCCTTCCCTCATTGAACCTTACCTTGCCTACTGCCGACAATCAGAATCCTTGCAATCCAACCCTGACCTTGGTCTCCTCACCAGAGACAATTTACGTTGCAGTGTGTTTTGTCGCTTGCGATCACTGGCAGTCACCTGTGTACTCTTTGACCATGCATTCTGTCTTTTGTGGTGCAAGCATCTTCACTTATTTTTGCCATAAATATTAGGTTTGCAAGTCATCAGCATTACCTGCTGTGAGTGTTGTCCAGCACCACTCCAACTCATGACATGTGGGTTATTTGCATGTGCTCCTGTTACCCTGTCTCTTACAGTAGACATCCGTGTGTTGGAGCTAGTAAAAAATCTGTTTGTACAGATGACTCCCAACTCAACTGTGTGGTGTGATGTGCTAGAAATTTTTTTGAATGAGCAAGGTTATAAATTGAACACCAAGGTCAGTCTATCGCTGTTTACATTGTGTCATTGTGTTCACTCCAGTTGATAGGACAGTCTTAGATGCCAGTTTAGCAATGCGTATCATTGGTATACTGTTCTGACCATAATGGCATCAGACTACCTTACCACATTTATCTCTAAATCTCGGTGCGCTGGTGCAGAAGTAACAACTGACACACCACAACTACTAAGTCAGCCAAGTGCTTACCTTTCTTCACGTTGTCCTCTGTGCTTCAGTGGGAATGACTGGCAGCAGCATCGTGATCTGACCACAACATAAGACACTTAAATTTCACTCTATATTTTAGCTCATCATTTCATTAGGGTTGACTGCATTGTTTGTGTTGATGCCTGCTTCACCCAAAAGTGCTCCAACAACCCATGAAATGGTAGCATGCAAGATCCACCTAACCACACGCCAACTGTTTTTATCCCTGAACGTGAAGTCAAGTTGATGGAAGACCATGTCAATGACTGCCGTGGGGGTGGAACTGGGACACACAAATGACCAAGGCAGCCAGCTGAAGAGGTTCACGATGGGTATGAGGATGGGATGAGGATTCCAGTGTCTGTCTTGGATGGGTGCAGCAAGTCCTTTGTGGCAGCAGATGAAAAGCATGAAAAAGCAAGTACGTGCTTTTTTGCAGACACTGGACTCATGGCATTACTTTGTTGACACAATTGAGTGCTGTGGCTTGTTAACATGACCTCTGCTGGTGAGAAGCAATATTACTCCCTTGCATTAGTGAAGCGGCTCTTCAAGCATCTACTGCCTGATATGCTGGTGGGGTTGCTATATGACATTGGATGTCAACTTGAGCGTAGTTGTCAGAAGTGGGGCTTCCTGGATGACTCTATTCTATCATGTATCAGCTTCAGAATATCTGTGTTTCATGCATATGGTCACCAGTGGCCTTGTCAAATTGTCTACTACCCTCAAAAGTGTGCTGGGTTTGGGCTATCTGATGGAGAGGGCTGCAAGCGTCTATGGAGTGCCTTGAAACATCTCATTCCAGTGCTTCGAGTTTCTGGTGTACGTTACATGCTACTGTATGTTTTGTGCTGGCTGGTACTGAATGTTTTCTCTTTAGTATCACCAGTGGTTATTTGTACTGGATGTACAAGTGCACTACTTGGCTCTCAAGTCTCTGGATGCATCGGGGCAATGGTTAGTGCAGAAGTGGATGATTTGCCAGAGGAAGAAACAGGTGGCTCTGGATGGCCTGAGGGATCTTGGGTCTGATGAGGACATCCTCCAAGAGGAGTGGGCAGCCCAGATAGCTCATCAGACAAAGCCAATAGCTCATAAGTAATTTTCTGGATTTTATTTGACAACCTGTCATATTTATTTTTGTGTACAGGCAGATCTAAACATAAAGCTGCAGAGGCTATTGTGGGCGTTCTTGCATTGGAAAAGACCCTTGAAAGCCATCAGAACACCATACAGCAACTTGAACATCAGCTCATTAGCAACAATGTTGATGACATGACTACTTTCAATCTCCAGCTTCATGATGCACATGCCCGATGTGCCAAGGTTGTCAAGACCATTGGGCAGAGATGAGCTGCATTAGGTGTTTCAGAGTATGCCAATCTGCAAAAGTTGAAGAAGAATGTTTATCTTCAAGTTCGTATGAATGCCCGTGCTTTGAAAATGCAACTTCAAGAGCGACTCCAACAACAAAAATTCAAGCTGGAAAAATTGGAACGGTCCTATCAAAACACAGTCAATGGTACATTTAATTATTTTTCATTCATATTAATGATTTACATTGAGTTATAGAACTGAATGTACACAATCACACTGTCATATCCCATATGCCAGACATAGATCCCATCATATTCCCACGCTTTCCGGACCTGTTTCCGGACCCCATATCCGACTCATTCCTGGATCCCCTATCCTGTCCACCCTACACACATTCTGTCCAGCAAGACATCCGGACTTCACCTCCTCTTGGATTCCGGACTACATCCACCACCTCACATATCTCAGTCCTGTTTCCGCCCTGCCTTCTGGATCCCCAGATCTCTGGATATTAACTGTACTATCTCCGGACCTATTCCCACCCTCTGTCTGAGATCCTGCGCCTATCCCCATTTAGGCATCTCTGCCTTTCTGGTTCTCGGTTATCTCTGTTTCCGTCTTGCTGATTGATCCTTGTACTAGTTTCATCTCCGAGTTCATTTACTTATGTTCCGTCTTACTTACCAATGTGTTTCCGCATGCTCGTACATAGCCTTACTCCTTTGCTTACTGATCCTCTCAGATAGCCTCTAGTATATAACCCCTGTACAACTACAGTAGAGTCCTCAGTCTGAATATCATCTTAGTTCCTGCTCTCTCACCTTAGATCTGCCCAATCATCTTCTGGACTTCAGTCCATCTGAGTCTTGTCCTTTTCCGTAAGGCCTAGGGAAGGATTCCCTAGGCCGGAATTCCAGACCTTCGGATTTGCCCCCTATGTCTCTGTCCCAAGTCTAGGGATTGCTTCCCTAGGCTGGAGTCTTGCCTTTCCGGCACTTACCCTCTTTCCGGACTTAGGTCCACTTCCTGTCCCTCCGACTCTACCTTAGGGTAGTCTACCTCCATTTGCTTCTACATTGGACTTCGTCCAATGTAGCCCCTATTCCTTCCAGACCTCCAGACCTCCTGTCCTCTGTACCTCTGGACGTCCTGGTATCCTGTCCTTTGGACATTCTGCCCTCTGTACCTTTGGATGTTCCGTCCTCCATACCTCCAGACCTCCGGACCTCCATACTCCAGACCTCTGGACCTCCTATCCATCCATCCTGTTTTCCTGTAGAAGTATTACCTTGCAGCAGGAACTCTCCTGAGCATTTCCTGCATCCCTCCGGAACTCTCCCGCGCTCCTCCAGAAGTCCTCCTGCACTCTCCACCAGAGTAGCCAGCCTCTGGAAGTCCTCCAGACTTCATTGGACCATCATTGGACTTCCTCTGAAATGAAGGGCACATACTTGGGTAAGGGGCACAGCATACAAGCTGAGGCCAAGCCCCTCTGAGTCAGTCTCTCTCTCCTTTGAGCATGGTTCTTAACACACACAGAGGCCTCCATCAAGCGGCAAGAACCTATGATCCTCAAGATTGTCTCAACATACAACTCCTTGTGCGAGCAACTGCATGTGCTGATACATCAACACAAGGTGCCTGCTAATGCCATTCCACCCATACCTATCTCACGTGATGGTATCTTTCAGCTGGATGTTGATGATGACATTTGGCAAGATGTAGGTCTGGAAGATGAGACTGTGAACCCACCTTGATGGCTTGCCAATGACAATGTCCGTCAGGGAATTCATCTGTTACTTGATCTTGACTGCTGTTTGGAAGAAGAGGACAGGTTAAGACATGAATGCTGTGTTATGCAAGAGTGCATGATCATGGAGTGGACTGCACTTCAGGAGGCTCAAGAAGTCGCAAGTGAGTTGCCTACTTAATCATTATTGTTGGTATGTCCTAAAATATGGTGTTAGATGTTGATGTGGCATGGCACCTCAAGAAGCGTGCTGCACAGCTATCCCTCATGTGCTTTGAGTGGCAATCAAGAGTACGTCCCATACCCAGTGCATGGGAAATGCCTGATAGTTGGGGACCATCCTCCACTGATATTGCCCATGCTGGACATTCACTTTACCATGCAAAAACTGTGCAGCCTGTGAATGCTGACTCAGGGGAATTGTCAGAGGATGAGAGCAACAATGATGACATCGATGAGGGAGGAGTTGATGATGAGTTGATGGTAGCAATAGAGGAAGTTGCATATGCAAATGAATATCGGATTGTGGAATCAGATTCTGAAGGAGACCTAGAGTACTGGGATGAAGTACATGTGCCATCTTCTCCGACCTTGTATTAATTTTTTGTGTCAATGAATTTCATCAGTATTAGACACTTGGATATGAGGAGAGTAACAGATATTCAGCATGACTTGTCAACTGTAAGACATTTCAGCTTCAAATTAACCAAAGTAAACTCCATTAATGCTGTTTTTCTGGATCACATCAAGAGTGTTGGCAACTCAGTGAATTTGCAGGATGATATGGGGGCTGGATATTCCCAACTTGACAATATGGGGGTCTGGGACTTCACGATTTGAGAATATATATGGTCAGGGAATACCCGACATGACAATATGAGGGTCTGGATATTCCCTACTGAATAATGTAGGTGGACTGGGACTTCCCTACTTGACAATAAGGGGGGTCTGGATATTCCTGACTGAATAATTTGGGTGGTCTGGGAAGTCCCGACTTGACAATAAGGGGGGTCTGGAAATTCCCTACTGAATAATGTAGGTGGTCTGGGAAGTCCCAACTTGACAATAAGGGGGGCCTGGATATTCCCGAGTGAATAATTTAGGTGGACTGGGACATCCTGACCTGACAATAAGGGGGTCTGGATATTTCCGACTGAATAATTTGGTTGGTCTGGGACTTCCCAATGTCAGCATATATATGGTCTGGGATATCCCAAGTTCAGAATATATATAGTCTGGGAATCCCTGACTTGACAATAAGGGGGTCTGGATATTCCCACCAACACAATATGAGTAGTCTGGGAATCCCCAGCTTGACAATATGGGGGGCCTGGGAATTCCCCACCAAAGAATATGGGTTGTCTGGGAATCCCCGACTTGACAGAGAGTTGTTGAATCTGCAAATTCCAAGTTGGGACTTGGTTTGCCAGGGTACTCTTGCACACTGGGAATTCCTGGCACCTGAATATATGTAGTCTGGGCTTCCCAACTTGATAATTTGGGGTGTCTGGATATTCCCAACTAAAGAATTTTGGTGGGGCAGGAATTCCCAAATTGACACTATATATGGTCAGGGAATTCCTGACTTGATGAAGAGTTGGGGGGTCTGCAAATTCCAAGTGTAGGGACTTGACTAACCAGGTTACTATTGCACACTGGGAATTCCCAACTGAATAATTTGGGTGGTCTGGGACTTCCTGACTGCAGAATATATATGGTCTGGGAATCCCAACATGACAATATGGGGGGTCTGGATATTCCCCACCAAAGAATATGGGGGTCTGGACTTCCCTGACCTAACAATGTGGGGTCTGGATATTTCTGACTGCAGAATTTCAGTGGGCTGGGAATTCCCGGCATGAGAATATATGTGGGTTGGGACATCCCAACTTGACAATATGGGGGGTTTGGGTATTCCCCACTGAAGAATATGAGGGTCTGGGAATCCCCAACATGACAATGTGGGTCTGGATATTCCCGATGTGATAATATATATGTTCTGGGAATCCCCAACTGGACAGTATGTGGGCCTGGATACTCCCCACCAAAGAATAAGGGAGTGTGGAAATTCTTGGCTTGAGAATATATGTGGTCTGGATATTCCCGAATGAAGAATTTTGATGGTCCAGGAATCCCTGACTTGATAATATATGTGGGTGGTAAGTCCTGGCTGGAGCATATATATGGCCAGGAAATTCCGAACATGAGTATATGTGGCTGGGGAAATCCCATCATGACATATCATCACTTGAGCAGATATACTCATGATCCTCATACCACCCTACCATGATCCTGATAACACCTTCAGATGGTTCTCATACTGAGCCATCATGATCCCTATACTACCCTCTGATGGTTCTCATACCACCCTATGGTACCCTCCAATTGCTACACCTACAGAATCATCACTTGGGGATCACACCATTCAGATATTGATCAACCAATTCATGGTCTCAGCTACCCGCCCATGCCTACAGAATCATCACTTGGGGATCACACCATTCAGATATTGATCCACCAATGCCTGGTCTCAGCTACTCACCCACACCTACAGAATCATCACTTGGGGATCGCACCATTCAAATATTGATCAACCAATGCCTGGTCTCAGCTACTTGCCCATGCCTACAGAATCATCACTTGGGGATCGCACCATTCAAATATTGATCAACCAATGCCTGGTCTCAGCTACTTGCCCATGCCTACAGAATCATCACTTGGGGATCACACTATTCAGACCATCATGATCCCTATACTCCCCTCCGATGGTCTCCGATAACACCTTCAGATGGTTCTCATACCACCCTATACTACCCTCTGATGGTCCCTGTACCATCCTCCTATGATCCCTATACCACACCTTCATGACCCCTATACACCCTAATGATCCCAGCTATACCCCCCCAATATGGTAAAAAAATCAGCCCAAAAGACCCCTGACACCACTCACATTACAGGGAAAGCCCATGGGAATGTTCACAAAATTATGTCCCAGGTGGGCTGGGAAAGCATTGGCTTTGTCCCATAGGACTTATCCCATACCTACAGTACAATGGGAAAAACCAGAGGAATCACACCTCTTAGGTTAATACATGTATACAGGACTATCAACCTAATAGGTATACTTTTGGGGGTGACTGAAGTGCTAAAACACCCCTGACAATGACTCTAGTAAGCTAACATAACCTATAAAAAGGAGACTGACAACAAGCCATGGCAAAAAGAAAAACCCCCAATGAAAACAAATCGCTCACCCGCCAATGAACCACCATAACCCTACCAACACACTGAGCAACACCCAGACTCTGTCACTGTAAAACATGAGTAAAACAAGGCCACCCTGAGACCATCACCAAACCATGAGTATACTATCACCCAACCAAATCCCTGCATCCCACACACACATAAAAACTATCAACTAAACAGTAGTGAAAGTAAAAACAACAATGAAAACAGCAACGATAATACATCCCCAACTAAACACTTTTAGCAACCCCTACCCAGATAACAGAACTCCTCCACCCAGAATCACCTATCACACACCTACCACACCCACAAAGCCACCCCTTGACTTCCTCAAGACACACATGCAGCACCCCTATCCAAAAAGAACCCCCCACAGAAACACTTAAAAGCCCAACAACCAGAGACAAAACCCCAACCCCCTTGAAGATGAAGGATCTGTCCAGCATGAAAGCAGCTAACACCAACACCCGCCCCTCCCCAATGGGAACATGACAGCCCCTTCCCAGAAACCAATGTTTGGGTTGCAGTTCTTCCCCCCAGACATCCTACTTGATGAAGGGGAATACATAGCTCAAGAAGGGTCGCCCACCCCCTTGACACCTTCCCCTAACACCAGAACTGCCCTTCCACCAGTACTCCTCATGGCATCTGAGGCGGATAGAATGCCATCCACTGCCCAGACAGCCCCTCACTCCGCAGGTACAGATGTGGAAGTAACCCCAAAGAGGACCCCACCACCACCCCCTACTGTCTCTGATGACAAAGAAATGCTGGACTTCTTCCCTCCATGCTTTACGCCCACACCCACCCCAGCCTCCCCCCCAAACCTACCCCCCCCAAACAACCCCTCCCCCCCCTCTGAAGAAGAAATGCTCCATGCCCACCTTGTGGTGGTGGAAACCAATAGGTCTATCATTAAAACCACAGGCACAAACTCCATGTCAACTTCCCTGCAGTTCATGCCTGCCCCACAAGGAGGTTTCCCACACATTCATTTAGCACATGCTGCACAGCTGTTTGACTTCCAAGCTGGCAAGGTCATCACTGCCTGGTTAAAGGTACCCCACCCCAAAATTTTAATCAGAGTCTTCAACCATGACAGCAAAGACCCAGCTGTCAAAGGTCCTATCCTGGTTGAACACCTCTGCAAGGCAATCTCCACCATAGCTCAATCTAACCATCAAGAAGATCATGAGATCAAAGTCTCTCCACCCTGCCTGGAAACAACTAGGGAGAGAACAGACTACCCACTTAGCTTTCTCGCCTATAACATTTCAGAAGAGACTAAAAACATCATCTTGAACCAGCACATCTGGTCTTCAATGGAAATCACCTTTGTGGCCCACCCCTTCCAAGTCAACTCTCTGCCACTCCTTCTATTCTGCCTACATGGCTTCTCCACCACTGACATGAACACTGTCAGAACTGCCATAAACGATATCTGGACAGAGGATGTAACCCAATGGGACATTATGGACATCCTTTCAGAGAGTGAGATCCCAGAAGAATGAGTTCACTTCGTGGCGCAGGACTTCACCCAGTCCCTTTGGGTCGAGTGCCTGGACTTTAAGGTTAGCAGCAGCATACTCCTTCCCCATTACAACATTTTCGCCATAAGCCCCACCAACAACCCTGCTGTCTGGACTAAACTTAGAGCATATCTTCTCTCACTCAAATATCTGTCAGAACTTGAGGGTAGTGGCTCCTCAGTTAATTTCATCCCTTGCCCTCTATGCCACTCCATAGCTCACCCTTGCAGCCTCTGCCCCTTCCCTAACACTCCACTATGGAATGGTCCCAAACACAATCTGACCATGAAACCAACCAACTCCAACATGAGGGGTCATGGGAAAGGAAGGAGAACCACCGCCTGATACCTGTTACATGCTCGAATTTTGCACATACTCACACATACTTGCTACCTACATATCTACCTACCTGTCTCATACTGACCCATACACCCCACCCTACTACTAAACTACCCTCATTACCATCTGACCCTATCCACATGTAACCCACTCTGAATATAACCCCACCTTTACCAGAATTCCCTGACCCAAGCAAGCAGTCCCACCTGACAGAAGGACCACAACAATGCATATCTAACTCCATAGGATGAAGTTAGACCACCCTACAACTATGGCCCAAATATACTGACCGCTTGTCAGGACAGGAAAGCCATGGTAATCCTAGTCAGCACTAGCCAAAACGGAGGCCTATTTAGGCCATGGATTTGCTGTGCTAAGGAGCTGAAGTGACCGCAAGAGAAGTCGTGATTTCAGGACTCATGATTTTAGACAGCGCAAACATATATCCACCATGACTGCCTGGGATATGACAGTCCTCTCCTCCATATGGTCATACTGGAAGGAGCAGTAAATTGACCACCTTGCAAACTCAAAATAACACAATATTTTTTGGTTCTCTTCCTGGCCCTGGCTTAACCCTCCCGAATAGCAGAGGAGGAAGTCTTCACACTGCCAGGACATCCTCTGATGACACTTCTCAGGAGATTGGAGGTGGAAACCCCCAGACACCCCACCAGGCAAACAATGTGAATAACATCGCAAATGAGCGCACCTGCCCTAAAAAAAATCAAGGGCAAATGTTCTGATAGTGACCCTTAACATGAGAGGGTGAGCATCATTGGACTTAGAAAATAGTACAATCTCAAAATGGGCAACAATACAGCATGTAATGAGGGAAAAAAAGATAGGTATCCTCTGCATTCAAGAAATGCACCTATCGCATGAACACAAAGTGCAAGTAGAGGCACTGTACTCAAGAAGACTCAAAGTCTTTAACTCCTGCAACCCATTCTGTCCAGGAAATTCTGCTGGAGTCGCATTTGTTCTAAACAAGGAATTAATCAACAACATGGATGCAGAAGTAACTGAGATCATCCCCGGTAAAGCACTAGTTATAAATGTAAAGTGGCATAATGACAAACACATCACCATCCTCAACATATATGCACCAAATGACCCAACAAAGCATCCAGACTTCTGGAACAAGATTGCGAACACATGGATTGAAAAAGACCTACCCCAGCTTGACTTTATGATGGGTGACTTTAACCTAACAGAAGACACCCTAGATTGAGCACCGGCTAGATCAGACAATGAGAATGCTTCAAACGCACTGCAAGACCTAAGATATAAGTTAAACATGCAAGATACATGGAGATCCCAACACCCAACATCAAGAAACTTTACATTCTACAGTAACATGAACACATACTCACATCTCAATTGAATATACTCCGCCCTGCAACATGAATGTAATATACACCACTGGGAGACTTGCACAACTGTGATCCCATCAGATCACAAAATGGTACTAGCAAGATTCATACCTCAAAACGCCCCTTTTATTGGTAAGGGATGATGGTCCTGGCCACTGAGCCTGATAAACGATAAAAAACTGCTCAACAAAATAAGCGAACTCAGAATCGCTACTCAACAAAGAATAACTCACCAACACACAAACAGAGATGCCACATCAAACCCCCAAAAGACTTGGGAAGAATTCAAAACTGACATCAACAAAATGGCAAGAAAAATGGCAAAAGAACACCTTCACAAAATAAAGGTAAGAACAAAACAACTGGAAGATGACATAAAACACACCCTCAAGAATGGAGACCTAGACCATAATGAGAACACGAGATGCCACAAAGCCTGGATTGAAAGCGAACTAAACCACTTAGAAAGAAAAATGTTTAAAAATACACAACTACACTCACAAGCAAACTGGGCGCTAAAAGGAGAGACCATCAGTAAGTACTGGTCTAAGATGAACTCACCTAAGAAACCAAGGGATATTATACACAGTTTAAGAAAACCAAACTTGCACCATTTCACTAAATGCTCAGACGAGATGGCAGAATTTGCCTGCCTCCACCACGAAACTCTACAAACAGACAATCTCCCGCAAGAGATTGAAGACATAAGAACAACCATTAGAAAGAACTTCATGAAAAACATCCCAGATGACCAAAAACTAAAAAAACCAAAACTCACCATTACACAACCCATTACAGGAACATCATATACATGAGGCCCTTTTCTCATCGAAGTCCGGAAGTGCCACTGGAATAGATGGCATACCATACGAGGTGTGGAAAAGACTACACGAAAAACACACAGAGAATCAGAAAGAAGAAAAACCAAGCTTTGACATAATCAAAACACTTACATTAGTAATAAACAACATACAAACACATGATATCGACCCCACCTCCGAATTCACCCTAGGTTGGATGTGTCCAATATTTAAGAAAAAAGAAAGAACAGAAATAGAAAACTACCGCCCCATTACCCTACTAAACACAGATTATAAGATACTTACCAAAGCACTGGCTATGCAGTTAGCACGAGAAGTACATACATTAATCCATCCCGACCAAAGTGGGTTCATCCCACGAAGATCAATCTTCAACCCCATAAGGCTGGCCAAACTAATGATTGAATATGTGGATATTACTGAAGAAAACGGGGCATTAATTGCCCTCGATCAAGAAAAAGCCTATGACAAAATTAAACACAATTACTTACTAGAAACCCTCGAAAACTTTGGCCTCCCTCAAATATTCATCAAAACTGTCAAAGCCCTCTATGCAAACACATACACAAAAGTTGCCATAAATGGAGTCATGAGTGCCCCATTCAAAGTCACCAGGGGCGTGAGACAAGGAGACCCACTCTCCTGCCTCCTCTTTGACATAGCAATTGAGCCCCTAGCATGCGCATTAAGATCATCCAATAAACTAACAGGATATAACATACCAGGTATAGCAAATAAACTGATAGTGAACCTTTACGTGGACAACACAATGACATACCTCAATGAAAACAACAAATACAGCAACCTTGAGGATATCCTATCAAGCTGGTGCTTAGCTGCTGGTGCAAAATTTAATATGGAAAAACAGAAATCATACCCATTGGTTCAAAACAACACTGAGACTGAATTATAGAAACACACAAACTAAACCCAACTGACATGCCACTAGACAACACAGTAAAGATTGCCCCAGATGGCCACCCCATACGCTCACTAGGAGCATGGATCGGGAATAAAACAGACAATACAACACCATAGGAACCAATCCTAGACAAAATTAACATGACCCTAAACAGATAGAAAAAATGCCACCCCACCCTTGATGGCAAACAACTAATCATGCAAATGTTCATAGGGGGAATGACCCAATTCCTAACAAAAGCTCAGGGTATGCCCAAGAACATAGAAGTAGCACTTACCAAAATGATCCAAAACTTTGTATGGGATGACAGATGCTCCCCACCTATTAGCCTGGAACAATTGCAACACCTGAAAGAAGAAGGCAGAATTAATCTACTTGACATTAAATCAAGGAATGAAGCAATAGAAGTGATGTGGATCAAACCTTACCTTAATCTCTCCCCATCCAGACCTCATTGGGCCTTCATAGCAGACATAATGATACACAATCTGAACCTGAATAGAAATGAAACAATGACGACTAACCCATTCCTAATATCATGGGACCCACCAACAAAAGGCCCGAGAGCAAATGCCCTCCCAAATGAGATTAAAACTCTCCTGAAAACCACCAAACAATTTAATGTCAATTTCGCCCCAATCAAACTATCAAAAGAATTAAAGAGACAACTACCTGCCTGGTGCCATCCAGGAGCACCCAAAAAAACATATCACAAAACAAAAGATAAATGCTTACATGACACCCATAAGTTGCTAACCATCAAAAACCTAATTAAAATAAGTAAAATACTAACCGATATAAGGAATAACACCCAAAGACACCTCCCCCCAGAAGGACTGCACATGCACGCCCTGTAACAAAGACAGATGAGCTGGCTGCAAAAACCCTCACAAATGTGCAGCCACTGCGAGAGAAATCCTCAGCAAACTGGCACCAAAATATGACACAAAAACAAAACCAAAAAGAGACGAACTCTCACTGACCCACCATAGAAAAGAAAAAAACTCACAAGCCCATGAAAGCAGGAATGGAGAGATACTCTTCAACTCCACCACAATGATAAGAACAAGCCTGAAAGACTGCTTCAGAGTATTCACAGACCCCAAACAAAACTCTACATACAGTGGCTCAAAAAACTGTCCGCATGTTTTGACATTTTTCACTATCTATAATATTGTGTGAGAACGAACAAATGCCTCAAGGACATGCTTATACCACACTGTAGTATGGCTTCAGGGCTTTCATTTGAGCCCTACAGCGTGGGAATCGGTGGAGATATGGTGGAGATACAAGGCTCACAAAATGGTGACTCATGTGGACAGTTTTTTGACTCAAGTATTTTACAGTAATAACCAGGTATTCTAGTATTTTGTATGACCTCCCTTGGCTTTAATTACTGCCTCTATCCTTCTAGGCATACTCTCAATTAATTTCTGGCAATCCTCAGCTGTGATCTTCCCCCATTCCACTGCTACTCTCTCCCAAAGCTCCCATACTCCTTTAGGGGGGTTTTCATAGGCTTGAAGCTTTTTCTTGAGTGTTCCCCAGAGATGTTCAATGACATTGACATCAGGAGACTGTGCTGGCCAGTCAAGAACATTGATGTTATGTTCTTCAAACCATTCCTTAGCTCTTCTGGATGTGTGCTTAGGATCATTATCCTGTTGGAAAATGATATCTTCTTCATCAATCCCTAATTCTGCCAAGCTAGGCAGCAAGTGGTCATTTAAAATGTCCACATACTGCTCAGCATTCATCTTCCCCTCAACCTCAGCAAGCATTCCCACACCATTCCATCCCATACAGCCCCATACCATTAAAGAACCTCCTCCAAACTTGACAATCCCATTAACCTCTCTGTCTGTTAGGCCATCTCCCTTCTTTTTCCATACATATACCTTCCCATCTGACCCAATCCTATTGATTTTGGTCTCATCTGACCATATAACATGCTTCCAGTCCTCTACAGTCCAGTGTTGATGAGCTAAGGCAAAGGCTAGTCTTCTCTGCCTATGTTTGATGGAGAGAAGAGGCTTTTTCTTCTTTGTTACTGCCTTGAGATGAGCTGCCTTGAGAACATTCCTCACAGTTTGTGAAGAGACAGGGGTAGTGATGGTGGAATTGATATAATGGGTGGCTTGGACAGCATTATCAGCCTTTCCTGTAATGATATGTTGGATAATAGCCCTTTTGTCAGTAGAGGTAAGCTTGGATGGACGTCCTCCACAAGAGTTTTCCTTGTCTGGGTGGCTTTCTTTGATAAACTTGGCCACAGTGGACTTGGATACTCCAGTTCTAGAGGAAATTTGGCAAGTAGAGAGGCCAGCATAAGACAGAGAGAGGATATTATCTCTTTGAGCAGAGGAGATGGCTTTCATGGTGATTATGACTATGATACATGAGATATTCTGGTTTATATAGTTAGATATAGTCATAAAATAACATACTGACACCACTTCATAATTTATATAATAGTGGCATGATTTTTGTGGTGTCATAAATAATGATTTATATAGTTTTAATATACACTCAAAAAACTGTCCACATGAGTCATCATTTTATAAGCCTTATGTCTCCACCATATCTCCACCGATTCCCACGGTGTAGGGCTCAATCCAAAGCCCTGAAGCAGCACTACAATATGGTATTAGCATGTCCTTGAGGCATTTGTTCCTTCTCACACAATATCATAGATAGTGAAAAATGTCAAAACATGTGGACAGTTTTTTGAGCCACTGTACCCAGCACACAGACTCCAAAACCCGACACGTGGCCTAAACCTTGTAAATGAAAGAATAAACATCTTCACTGATGGGTCATGCACCAACAATGGTAAAGACAATGTGAAGAGCAGATGTGGAATATGGATCAAAGACGACCACCCCCTCAACGCATCGATCAGAATACCTGGGAACAACCAATCCAACTAAACTGCAGAGATCTTAGCCATCCTAGTAGCACTACAGAAAATTGAACCTTATGTACCCATAACCTTTATGACAGACTCAAAATACGCCATTAATAGTCTTACAAAATTCCTCCCCACATGGGAAGATGCAGGCTGGATTGGCATTGCAAATAGTGCTCATATAAAAGCCACCACATACCATCTATGAAAAAGATCAGCTCAAACAGGCTTCATATGGGTAAAAGGACATAGCGGCCTGTATGGAAATGACCAAGCTGACCATCTCACAAAAGAAGGAGCAGACAAAACAACCAAAGACCCCATCGACCTAACAGTCCCTAATGAATTTAACCTACAAGGAGTGAAATTAGCCACCATGACCCAAGCATTAGCATACAAAGGAATCAGATAACAGAAAAAAACAACAGCAAGATGTGCAACAACAAACAACCTTGATATAACAAGATACACGATACAAAACATAACAGGTAACCTAGAAACAGACGAAAGCATATGGCAAGGCAACAAAAACAAAGACTTACCAAAAAACATATGGCAATTCATCTTCAAAGCACTACACAGCACCCATAGAATTGGCGAATACTGGTCAAACATCCCCACCCTTGAGATCCACACAAAATGCACCCATTGCCATGCTGATGTCAAAGACCTGGAGCACATACTAACAGTCTGCCCTGAAAACGCTCAAACAACCATATGGAACATAGTGAAGAAAATACAGCCCACTGCAAACGGCCCCTGGCCACATATAACACTAGGTACAATCCTAGGCTGTGGAAATATCAAACTCACCCAGCAAAGGAATGAACATCAACAGGACCAACAATCACAACAACAACAACACCAGGAACCTAAGAAAGGAGCATCAAGACTACTACAAATTTTAATATCAGAATCCACCCACCTTATATGGGCCCTACAATGTGACACCACAATAAATGGAACAAGATATTCAAAAGAAAAAATCGAGAGCCAATGGATGTCCAAGATAAATAAAAGATTACAATGCAACAGATTAACAGCACAAAAGATAATACGCACCAAAGCTTTCAAGAATCTAATCTCTACCACATGGTCAGAAACAATAACAATAAATAAACCAACACAAAACTGGGTTACTGCCCTTGAGGTTTTAGTGGGTATTGAACCACCCAGGCCCTCTATGAACGAGGCAACCAGGTAGTAAATGAGTCCCACACGCCCCATGAAAATGGGTGTGCATAAGTGCATTTTTTCCTTGGACCAGAGTTTGTAGAACTCCACTATAGTGTGTACTTGTAGAACTAGACTTTGTCAGTTGCCACAATTACATATCACTTGTCTAAAATAAAAATAAAAATAAAAAAAATAAAAATAAAAAAATAACATTAAGTTAGTAATTATTTATTTTCACAATTGCTAATGTTATGAATCTTAAATCAACCATTTTGCAAAGCCAGCTATCCCAGCTTCCATGGTTCCGAGTGCAATTCAACAGATCTGTATTTACGTTTTGGAGACGGTAATTGAGGCCTTGAGGGTGGAAGTTCAACAGAAAAGGCTACCATGGGAGGCAGCTGACCTCAAGGCCTCAAGGTTATGAGGTTACCGCCAGTCACCAGTTCAGGTTCTCAGTGTCAAGATTGAATCTCCCTTCAACAATCTAGCCAATGCCCATCATGATATAGATGCAAAATTGATAATCGCATCAAGGGTCAAAGATCTTGTAAAATGGATGATGCCAGCGCTAACTCCTGAATTCTGACAGGTGGTATGCACAACCCATAACAAATGCATTGAGCAAGAATGAACATCATTCATTCATCATAATTATCGAGCCAAAATGGTTGTTTGTATTACACAGACTTCTCCACGAATGGAACACCCTCCAGTCACTCCCTAATAATCAAGGGTATGCCTAGATTCAAAGATAGAAAGTATGTCCACTTCTTCAATGGCAAACTTTACAGACTCATCTTCCCCTTCACCAGGGTATGATACCTATGCTCACTATGCCCATAACTTAATCCAAGCCTTTGATAATGAGCTGAAGGGCACAGAAACCCTCCCACCTAACATACCAAGGTCATTGACTGCTCCACTGATTCAGAATCAGGTAGCCAATATTAGCCCTGTAGGTCTGGTTGGAATCCTGGACACAGGTCAGCACTCTCCTGTTTTCATCATCATTTTGCTAATAATTGCTCTAGTGAATTATCAGACAGCAGTCGATATTAACTCTACAAAACTGGTTGGAATCCTGGGTGCAGGTCAGTGCCACTCTGTTTTAATCATCATTCTACTAATTCAAGTGAAATATCCTAACAGGACCAGGCAGATTATACACAGCTTTGATCCTCCAGGACCTCAGTATTCCATATCGCATCATCAATGCTCAAGGTAAAGTTGGAGGAAGACTCCTCACATACAAATTCCAAGATGGAACAGGATCACCCTACAATTATTTCAATATTGGTGCTATGTGAAAATCAGTTCCATTCAGCAAGTCATTAACCTCTTCGACTACCCACCTCTCAACAAGGATGGTATCTCTCTCAAGACGAAGGTCAAGCCATTCTTATTTGTAGGTGGCAGGAACAACAATACCATATACTCTTATAATGTGTTAAGGTTGTACTCAAGGGATAACTGGATCCAAAGGGCTTCGGCCTCAGCTCGTGCACTGTGCCCCTTACCCAAGTATTGCCCCTTATTTCAGGAAGGCAAGACTAATGCGTCTGGAAGGTCGGACAAGTATCGTAATGGATCCAGATGACTTCTGGATGTGGGATAGGTATCATTGGGCTAATCCAGACAAGTCCAGACTAGAAACTAACAGTAATAGACTGTTGGAGACAGAGGCGGATATGGATAGACTATAGGAATCAATCCTAAGTCTTGGAGGGTGACAAGAGTAGAGATACTCAAGTCTGGAGGATGGGAATGAGTAGAACTAAGATGATATTTGAACTGAGGTACTACAGAAAGTTACAGGAGGTTATATACTATAGGTATCTAATGGAATGATCAATCAGCAGAGTCCGAGGCTATGTATGAAGCATGTGGATAGTCTATTGGTAAGTAGAAATGGATCACAAATCATGAAATGGAAATGAAACATAGGTGACAGATCAGGGAGCAGGACAGATATACAGATAACTGAAATACCGGAGTTAGGGGGTTACCAAAAGGAGACAAGCGCTGGTTGTGGATTCAGATGAGTTGTGGACCAGACCGGACAAGTAGACAGATTGAATGACAAGATGTTGGAGGGAGATAAGATGTGGATAGGATTGGAGATAAGATGTGGATCTGAGATGAGATAAGGGTCAGATCTGAGATCCAGATATGCAGATATGACATAATGGGGTCACAGTGTGGCAGAACACGATGCCCCCAAGTGATCCCTTCAAGGCTGATCAGGTGATCCAAGACGTTGGTAACTCAAACCCATACATTGCTGTAGGTGTGAAGGCAATCATGGATGATGTCATTGGTCCCTTTGCAACACGCCTACTTGATGATTTGAAGACTGGAGGGTCAGAAGGTTGGAAATATATGATGAACTTTGACCACTACTCAACTTGTGCTTATATGCAGCTCAAGTACATACCAAGCCCAAGCCTTGGTCTACCCAACAAGTCTCTCTTGACAGATGTTGTTAACTGGTGTGAGACTTTTGATAAGTCCACTGGCTGGTATGATCACGCTTTCTCTGAGACCATCTTAGAGGCTGTTGCTTTCGGTTGGCATCCTGGACCTAACCCACCTCCCATGCAATGGTTTTGCATTGAGTACATACACACTCTCACATAAATCAAGCTGAGATGACTGATATTTTGCAGTGGTGGTGCCAATGAGATTGTGGTTTGCATGAAACAATATATTTTCAGGAATAACAAAGACATTATCACATACAACTCCAGAGTGATGGCCATTGGAGTTAAGGAGGATAACTCTGGCATGGATGTCATTACAAACAACAAGGATCGTCACGAATTCTCGCATGTCATCTCTACTATCCCCTTACCTGTTCTCCACACTGTTGACCTCAGCCAAGCTGGTCTCTCCCCCATGCAGTTGAATGCTTTATGAACATTGAACTATGGCCTCTCTGTTAAGATTGGAATGCAGTTCAGAACTGTGTGGTGGACAACTGGGATGGATTTAAGTGGAAATCCTCTGAATATAGTTGGAGGACAGATGTACACTGATAGACCTTTGCACACTGTTGTTTATCCTTCCTTTGGAAGCATCCAGGCTGGGATGATGACCACACTTATTGCCAGCTACTGCTGGACAGAGGATGCTACTAGGCTGGGTGCATTGATAGGCAAAGACAATGCAATGCTGGTGCAGCTTGTGTTGAAGGAGCTGGCAGACCTGCACAACATTGATATAACATATCTGCATAACCAGCTGATTGAATGCAAGGGATGGAGTTGGTCCCATGATCCATATATGATGGGTCAGTATCATGCAGCTGAGTCTTTCGATCATCTCACTTATATTCTTTTTTCAAGGTGTCTTTGCTTTCTTTGGACCTGGAAAGTTCGGAAATCTTTACACAAGCCTCAACAATCCTGCTGTGGGAGGTTATCTTTATTTCGCTGGCGAAGCCATCAGTGTACAGCATGCTTGGGTGGAGGGTGCATTGGATAGCGCTTGGAGAGCCGTCCATGAAATGCTTGTTTTCCCCTCTTTTCAATCCTACCGAGACAAGTTCTTTGAGAATTGGAGTAAATCCTGAATGGGTTACACAGAGTGTATTAAAAGCACCTACTAATTGTCATGGTGGGGATTCAGAACTCCCTGCTCGTGCACCCAAACCGCAGGACAATCTTGTCTGGGAGCACATTGTGCTCACACACCCAGAGCTGTTTAAAGAATAGGCCTTTCATTACTCAATGTTGTCATGAACTGCATATCTCTGCCTGTTTGCGCTGTAACTTGTATCATTACAACGAATGACTGTTTGGTTATGTGTTGTGCATACTACCTGTCCAAATTCAATATTCAAGAGTTAGCAGAACACCACTACGGAGTTATAAGGTCAAGCAACCTGGCACAAGTCATGGGTGCCCTGTTATGGGTGGTGAGTACTACCATTCCAAAGTAGAAATACAGCTCCAAAATTATGTTGAGAAGAACAAGATACATGCCACTAACTTCAGGCTAACAGCAGAGCCAGGTCAGCTGCACAGTGCACATACCTTGTTTTCAGCAGCTTTTACTCACCTCACTCCACTCATCTTACAAGATCTAGGGTCCAAGAGTTTCAGTTACATCTTGATGCCAGAGCTGGGGCACATCAGCTGGGAAGTGATCTATTCTATATCAGAGTCATAGCTTTAAGGGGCCTCCTCTTTTGAACTCTCACCTTTTCTGTTGGACTTCCACCCTCGAGGCTGCAATGCCTGCATCTATGGTACATATACAGTAAACCCAATTCTCAATGGTTTTCGGAACCTTGGAAATGCTGAGTTCATGGCGACATGCATACACTTAGCTAACACAGCTTCAGAGTGTCAATGTCATTTAAAGGTTCTTAAGACTTATTTGACAGTTGAGTGCTGAGCTTGTTCATCTTCCTTGTTGGAATCTGTCTACTGCAACTTATACAATGGCCTACCAATCCAAACCTACTTTCAATGGGGTGTATCGCATCAAAGTTCTCAATCAGGATCTTGTCATCGAAAGCGCTCCTGGTTATAACCCAGGGTTGAAGCTTGCTTCACCTTCTTTAACTAGCAACAAACAAAAAGTACGTTAACTGATCACATCTTGGTTTATTATATGCTCAGTTCATGCAGTGGACCCTTACCCAAGTGTTGGGGCAAAGCAATGTCTGGATGATGGTCAGCATCGAGGATGGGTATGGTGTGACCTACAAGAAGACTGCAGACACCTATTGGGGTTACGGATACCCTTATCCTCAGAATGGTTCCTCCTTGAACTGGTCTATATTGGAATGAACCAGTGATGGTCAAACTTTCTTGAAGTCTGTGTCCTAACATGATGTCGCTAAAAGTTGTACTTCATGTGTGTTACAGGATAAAGCTAAGTGGCAAATTGAACTGCTTCAACTCCTGTGACCCAGGATCAGATGCTGTTTGTGTCCAAGTCTACTTTCCTGACATTTTCTAATGCCCTTCATAGGTCCACTTTTACTATGACCATGCTCATGTCATATGTCCCCTCTACTCATTTTGTACTTCTACATAATCATCATCTAAAGTACGATGGTCCCAAACAATGCTTCGTTTTTGAGTTAGTTCCAGATGTTAAGCCTTCTGCACCACTGTGAGGATGATTTCATTGCATGAAAGCTGCATGATGCTGATTGTAAATTCGACTCAGGGATATCATGTTCCTCCAAGATGCTACAGGGAGTCAATAGCAGTATATTGACACTGTGTGCAACAGGATCACCCAGATTTGCAATACACTTCTATCTGGGGGGAAATTCACTCCAGGAGATCTCAGATTTGGTCTTGTTGCCTTCCACAATCATCCTCCTCAAGATCGGAGCTTCATCATCCAGGAATATCCTTTCACAACCGATTTTGGAAGCATCGCGACGAATTTAGGTGGCTTAACAGCGACAGGTGGTGGAGATGGACCTGAATCTCAAAGTGATGCTTTGTCCGCTGCCACCAGGGCTGACTGGAAGGACAAAGCAACAAAGGTTGTGGTGCTGATTACTGATTCACCCCTGCATGGAATTGGAGAGGATGGAGATGCCTTTCCTAAAGGATGTCCACTTCATAAATCATACTTGTGTTCTTCAGTCGTAATGAATCAGACTAATGCCAATACAGAGATCAACCCGCTCCATATTGTGACGAGGATGGGAAAAGCTAGTATCACTTTGGTATGTCCAACATTCCACATCTTGTGCTAGAGTTTAATATCAATACAGCATGTGATTGCATGCGAGCCTACTCTGAGCCAGTATTACAAGGTGAGATCATTGTCTTTGTGCTGCCATGTCAGATGTGTCATTGATTACGCAGAGAGCATGTGATTTCTATGAAGGATTGGTAAGAAAACCGGGTAAAATCATCACAGCTTTGATTGTACATTCATGGGTTAACTATTTGTGATAGAGGGAAAGTGGTCAACCTCGGTGATGTCAGCGTGCTGCCCACTCTCATCGCTTGTTCCGCTTTAGAGGCAGTTGACAGCGAGAATTATGTTGCCAAGTATCAGGCTGAAGTCCACAGCATGGTGAATGATCAGAAGATGAGCACCAGCAACATTTCTCAGAAGCTATACAGGAACTTCGCGGCTGCAGGCATCCAACACAGCACCCTTGTTGTCGATAATATGTATGAAGAGTGTACGCAAGGAGATCGGAATGCCGACATATGGTTTAATGCTGAGAATCTCAACAAAGCGAAGAACAATATTCAGGAGGTAAAATATCAATAACTCTTGTGTTTTAAATTCTCAAAATGCCGTCCAGGTTGAAGGCAACCATATTCTCGAAAAGTACCAGACTGCTGGGGTAGAACAATCAGCTGCTGTAGTGATGCAACTGATCAGCTTAGCTCAGGTAATTTTCACCCCACTCATATCAAAGTTTATAGTGACCCCTTTACAAGGTCGAGACTGTCATTCAGAAGTGTCTTATGAGAGAATCATGAACTTAAAGACCATGTTGTTCTCACGGATACCAACATGTATTAGTATCACCTGGCTGGAGTTATGTGACACCAATGGCAAATATCATCGAATTGAAATATCAGGGTTTGCGGAGCTATGGTGCTGTTCACTTGTGTACTTTGTGAGTTGAACTCGAAAATTTTCATCACCTATCAGAAATTAGACCCGAAATTTCTGTATCCTCAGTCTCGATGCTCACTCACACACATGTTGTGTATGTACGTATGGGCTGAGAAGGCAGCAGCCAGGAAAACAAATACTCCTTTGGCATCTCCACCTGAACTGGTGCTCCCTGACATATTGCTCACCTGACCCCAAACCAATTGAAATTTCCACCCACTTCTGAGTCTGAAGTTGCCATGACAGTCCCAGAGTTGCATAACGAGACTACAGAAGATGATTGATCAGAAACATAAAATTAAATATGCGCACTGAACCCCAGATCTACATAGTCTCTCCTAATCAGACAAGAAAGACAGTCATTCCTTCTATATCACAGCCCAGACCAGAGCATGGCCACTATCACTCACTTTTCAGATGAGAAAATGAGATCGACTTGGCAGGATTTAGAAGGTGGTGCAAAGCTCTGAGTCCAGCCACAACCATATAGTATGGTAGAAATACCAAAAACTATAGATTATGACCACAACTGCAGATGTTTTACGATATGAGATCCATTCAGACAGATTCACAAATTCGCATGCACCATTGTCACCAGATGGAGACAAGACTAGGGTACTGAGTCATGGGTTAGGACGGATGTAGGAAGCTCACCAAGTAGAGGATAAGTGGTATTGAATTTGGGCTGCCTAGGGAGATTCAATCTTGATGGGGGCCAGCAGCTGAGAACCTGCCATATAGTTTTCATTGATGCATTGATCATCCTTTATTGCAAGAGATTTGTGACAAACCCCCTGCAATATGCGGGGTAATGGGGGGAAATGACAACATGCGGAAGCTAGATCTGCAATGAGATCAGGGGGTATGGTAGATGTGACACTGTACTACATAGTATGCACGTACTGGGACATTGCATTACTACAAAGTCACTCTGGTATCCTCTACTCTTCTCGATATTGTGTCCTCTTGTAGGATGTGAATGATTGGTTCCAGGATTATAGGGCACTCGTATGGAGACCTCCAGCAGTAGCACTAGCAGAGCATCGAGTCACTGGCCCCTGATGGAAAGAGTACTTCAACATCACTGAAAACCGGTTAACCCAGTATGACAATATTGACCTTATAAGGTAGCGAAATCTGTGTTGCCCTTATATTCCAATATATCGGCCTACCTATCAAGTATCATATTCTTGATCTGTAAGCTTGTTTTTCATCTGCTTTTGCGTTTGACAAATCAATCTATGAGTATATCAAGTTGTGAGCTAGTGTTCAAAGTTATACATTATGTATCTCAAACACAAATCATACTACCAAGCTTTTGCCTTTTCATCTTATATTTTCCACTTTGATAAGTCATTATCATCTCATGTCGAATTCTAAGCTAGCGGTCTAATTTTTGCATCTATGCATCAAAAGTGCTCAATACTATATATCAGTGCAGAATGGTAGGACGTCGAGATTACATGTTACTGTAGGCATACACCCAACCATCCACACACCCAGTAGGACGACAGCGAAAAACTATATTCGTTATCTACAAAATACATATGTAAAGTAATCCATTATTATAAAAATTGCTAGCTCAACTGAGGGAACACTGAGCGAGTAGGACAGAATTGATGTCCAGATGACTAATACATCTATATGATGAATGTGAGTCCTTTCGGGCTAACATCTAACACAACCAACATGCCAAATAACAATGGACAGAATAACAACGAAAATGCCATATGTGAATTGCATCTATACATTTGATTGATTACTTACATAGACACAGAGAGCACTGGTGGCCCAAATTACAAGGGCACGCAGTTTTGAAATACCAGATTACTTTCTGGTATGTTTCATCAACGTCCCTCAAATGTGATGCATTGAACTTATTAGGCCGCAATCTGGGCAATGATGCCCATCGCATGCACAAGAGCCAACAAGGCATTACAGAACAACACGCAACTGCTTGGTCTGGTTGAGCCTCCAGTTTGGACAGATGAGGAAAAAGCATTCCTGGTGCTCTGGATCTCAAGAGAGAGGAGGATTTTGGAGATGGTGTTGACACATTTGGAGGTTTCACTGGGCTTGATGAGTCCGTCCTAGAGAATTTTCAGCTTTTGTATGACTGCACATAATCCCATCCCAATCTAAATGCATTGATGCTCTTACCTTTGGGCATTTCGTCCTTCAGGGCACTAAACTTAACATAGACAAAACCTTTTGGCCTTCCTGATTCACGATCTGTTGGAACATGAACACCTTTAGTGTCACCATGCTTGCCAAAGACTTTGCCCACAGTGACTCATAAGATGCTGTTTCAATTCTCCAAAGTCCAAGCAGAAGATTCGGTGTCCTGGAAGCTCAAGGCATAATCTGCACCATCCAGTTCCATCCAGACAATCAATGTATCTGGTGGTTGCGTGAGTGGGTATCAGCAGATCCTTGTAAATACCAAATGGACCTTGTTGGTGTTGATAGACGTCAGTGGTGCAAATTTGAGTAGTCAGGATGAGTTTGTCGAAATGGACTTCTGAGCGAGCAATAAGGAAAGCCTCGTTGGTCTCATTCTCAAATTGTCCGTAACAAAAAGCGGTCCCTTGGTCAGCCCATTGTGAGCCAATAAGTTTGTAAACCTTTGTAGAACATGGCAAATGTCAGTCAGAGTTGGCCCTTAATGAATGCATGAAAACAAGACAGGGAGAAGGAGGAAGAGGAAGAGGAAGAGGAAGAGGAAGAGGAAGAGGAAGAGGAAGAGGAAGAGGAAGAGGAAGAGGAAGAGGAAGAGGAAGAGGAAGAGGAAGAGGAAGAGGAAGAGGAAGAGGAAGAGGAAGAGGAAGAGGAAGAGGGTGACAAGGGGGAGACAAGAAGGTGAGGAGGGGGAGGGAGGAGGAGGGGGAGGAGGGGGAGGAGGGGGAGGAGGGGGAGGAGGGGAGGAGGGGAGGAGGGGAGGGGGAATGTGGCTGAAGAGAGTCGACCTTAAAATTTATATTCTGGTCCTTCATCTTCAGAGTCTTCATATTCCTCCAAGTCACTGCCTTCACCAGATATGTGGACATCCTCGTCTTCATCATCTCATGCATCATTATCTTCATCATCATCATCTTCTTCTTCATTATCCTCATCATCATCATTTTCTTCACCTCGAGTTTGATTCTGACAGTCTCCAGCATTGGTGTTGCTCATGACAATGTCCAATTCATCATCACAGCTTCCTGGTCCATGTTCGCACTCAGTGTCCTTCAACATGTTATACTGAACCACATGGCCAACACCTATGCCTGTGAAACAAGCAAACATATCACAATCTGCAAAACTATATATCCCAAACTGTTATCGATCAGGACATCAACAAAGTTGACTTACTCACATATTAACATAGAAGGCAGCCCAGTCATTTACTTCTCCAAATGGTCGCGCAACAGTTGGGCCATGCCAAAGAAGAGTATCTGTGTGGCCATCAGCAAAGCAGGGTATAAGATGACAGGCTCTAAGAACAACAGAGGGATCAAGGAAACCAAATGCAGAGGGTGAGTCCAGTATGAATCCAACTTTCGGAAGACGACCCTCCCTGATGCTCCAGTGGTAACACAGGACTACACCAAACCATTGAACCCACAAGAATTCCATGGACTGAGGTGAGTGATTACAAACATCAGGGCCAACATGGAGCACCTGTATGGTAAAAGCACCTAAAACTTGGGCATACCAAGATGGATGAGTGTCACCATCATGTTCTCTCAACAAAGTCATTACAACACCACTGTACCCTGGTTTCAGGGTATCTTGATCATGACGGACATCATAGGTCGTGTAGTTGATTTGGAGGTACTTGGCTTGGGAGACCTTGTTCAGGTTGTTGATGAAGCATACACTGTTTCGTTCCACATCAGTGAAAACCCTCTCATCACCATCATAATCCAAGCTGAGCAGTCGTGAAAGAAGATGGTCTTTCAGATTAGGAACGAAGCCCTTTTGGTTTCTGTTAGCAGTGAAGTTTTAGTAGACTAACATCTTACCTTGATAGCTGGATCACCCTTGTGTTCACTCAGGTAACGGGCTAGATTCAGGAAGTTGGATGTATTGGACATAAAGTGGTGAGCCTCAATTGGTAGGTCACTGGTATGTATATCCTGGAGGGGGGCTGTAGATTGCTGCTGCCGGCAGATGCGAGTACATCTTCTTTCCTGTTTAGCAAGTTGCTTCGAGACATCTTGCTTATTTGTATTTTGATACAGCATTTTTATGAGATGGTGGGAAAGCTTGCCCTGTAAAATGCAGAATGTTAAGACAGTCAGATACTTGAACATCAGCTACAACTATGTACAATCTGAGTCATATATGAATCCATTGTTCCAAATAGTCTAATGGAGCCCACGTAATTGCCAAGCACATGCAATTTGTATGTTGAGAGATTGAAAGTCCTGGGACGAGCACCCAATGATCTTGTTCCCCCATTGGTGGACTTTAGATTAGCTTCATGCCTCCTCTGACGTGCAGCAACTTCATGTGGAAGTTCTACAGTCTGAAAAGCTGAGCATGTAAACTGCTGGAATTTTCGAAGTTGCTTTCCTAAACCTTCCAGTGCCTGATCGAGTCGAGCTAGCGAATCATCCGTGTGAAGCCGAAGCTTGGCCAAGGCATGCCATTCAGCCAGTCAAAAAAGAAGAAGACAGACAACATTGTCATGCTGTGCAGGGAATAACCCTTCGAATGCAGGGATTGCACACTGCTCAGAAATGGGAAGTCAGTGTTTGGAAAATGGCAAAGTTCACAGACCAACTAACCTGTAAAACATCCTCGAAGTGCCATGCAGCACTATGCTGCACATCTGACACACTGGATGGAAAACGCCGAATTGCACCCCTGCCAAAGGAAGGGATTGAGCGGAAGCTGTGGTAAGAAAGAGTCCATGTCAGAAATAAAATCAGTAGTCTTTAAACAAACCAAATGTCTTTACTGTTCATTCAGGACAGTTATTGTTTCAGGATTTATGGCATAAAGGAGCCTGATGAGATGCTTAAAAACGGACTTGAATACACCCAGTTCAAACTCATGGAAAAGGTCGACAACGAGCATCAGGAAAAAATTTAAACCAAGGAAGCCTAGCCGATCTGCAAAGGTGTTCTAAAGATGCAATGTAAATAAATAGCTAACTATCAAGATGAAATGGGCTCACAAAGGTAGGAACAAGGGAGAACTCTTTTAGAAGATGCTCTACAGCAGCACCTTTGATAGGGAGGCCTAAGTTGTAGATGGCATCACATGCAATGGTGATTTTGTCTCCAAGATATTGTCATACTCTTGAAACTCTTGCTGACATATCAGCGATGAGCCCAATGCGCCAAAAATATGATTTTGTGAGGAGACATCATGGGCATGGGCAAATTCCCTTATCATGAATGGTTGCAATAAGAACTCTGTTGGCGGCATCTTGGTTAGTAAAAGGGAAGTCAGAAGGATATAGTTTGCTTACTTTTCTAGGTAGTCTGCAGAATAGGTAAATATCCTAGGAAATACTCTGCGGTATACCCCATTGTAGCACTTGATGACGATGCCATTTTTGTACGCTTCAACAAAATCATCATCTATCAGAATACACCAGATAGCGTGAAACAGCTCTTGCTTGCAATGAGCTAGAACATTGTCATAACTCTTCCTTTTAACTAGGGTAATCTGTGCAATAAATTGATTGATCACTTCCAGTAGCTATGAAACACAACTGTTAGTATAACCACCTAGTAGCAGGTAGTGTTTGGGAGCACTTACAGTAGGAATGAATGCTACAGGATGGCATGCACCGGAGGTAGGGCAGGCGTGCATGTACTTGGACTGGTTTCTGAAAAATAGATAAACCGGCCATGCCAAAGCATTCCCAAACTGCACTAAGTGTGTTGAATCCGACCAAAACATAAGCCCAGCAATGACTCTCTCCAAGGTACAACTGTCACTTCTCTTCTCCTTCTGCAAATCGTCATGTGCTTTAATCCATGCATCTGACATATAGAGCTCATCATAGAGACACTGCTCTTAACTGGTTATAGGGGACGTCCAAAAGTGCCTGAAGGGAGTGAAGTGAAACCATTTTGATGCTGCCTTGGAGAAAGCAGCATGAATCATGGCTGTGAGTGGACGGTACTGGAACCCTGGAACAGTAAATGGCTGTCCATTCCTGCTTGGATTTCTCTCCCTAGTCAGCACCAGAATCTCTGCAGCTGTCTCTTTCCAACCATCCCTTTGGAAGATATCATTGTCATCAAGACTGGCTTCAGATGAATCAAAATGCCCCATTTCTGTATGGGTGTCGAAGCCATTCAGATCCTGTACACTGAAATCTTCCACTGATAGGACTTCCTTGACTAGTCGAGTTACCTTAGCTTTGGACAATTGGTTACTTCCTGTCATCATCCAAGTCATGAGGCACCAGATGCTCATGTTTCGCCAAGGCCAAGGAGGTGGCTTTGGGGAAGATGCTACCCTGGTATTGGATGGTTCAGGGTTCGAATCTGGATGAAAGTTGGATAGCTGGTCTGCAGAGACAAATGCATCCAGGTCATGTGTTGGTCAATGATGGTACTCCCTTCCAATATCAAATAGATTTACGGATGTCCATAAAGAGTCAAAAACATAGAGAATTACTTGGCGAATGGCTGGTGGTGGTGGTGGTTGGACAGGGGGAGGTGGCACAGGAGGCTCATCTCTAAATCATGCAGGTAACTGGTGAGTCCGAGTGGGGTGAGTGCCTTCAGGAGTAGGAGTTAATATAGGTGGCTCAGACTGCACCTCTTGTGGGATGCTAGGTAGTCTAGGCTCCGTTGATAGTTGAGGTGAGAGAGGGTAATGCTGAGGGGTTGTATCACATGATGCAACGGTATCACTGCTGCTAGGGGGTGTGGTCATAACACTGCATGAAGACCCAGCTGCAGCAAGCTAGTCTCGTCAAATGAAGCTTGGGGTAGGGTGAAGCAGAAGACTCACTTGAGTAGTGCTGAGCTTTATTTTCTTTGACATAGACTCCTCTTGCATGACTTCTGCAGCTCATTTGAAATGTAGCAACTGGAGTGTCAGCTGCCATTGCCAATGGGAACAACTTTTCTGGTGGCACATTAACCCACTTGGCAATGAAAATGACCAGCTGCAGGTTGAATGGCACTTGAAGTAGTGGCTCATCAGGATGACAAGAAGAGAGAATGTAGCTAGGAGCAAAATAAAGTAAGTGAGGACTCTAGATCTGGCCCTCATGTGCACTCAGCAGTATGATCTGGCTTGAAAGTCGCATCAAATGAAATCTTTGGCTCGCATGGGAAATGGCAATTGGTGACATACTTTAGTACAGCCTTGAACAGCATGACTCGGCTACTCCAAGTTGGAGCTGAAGCATGAACTTCAGTTCAATCTACTCAACAAAAACTGAAGTCGCTGCAAGGTCTTGTTGAAATATTGGGTATCCTGGCACTAGCACTCTGACCCAAAATGACATGCAATGCTGTATCTCAGAACTTGCTGGTTCAAGTCACACACATCAAGCACACCATGACTGCGATGCTCCCAACAGAACTCGAGAGACAGATATTCATTCTGGCCACTGACTCCATGCAAAGAGCATTCTCTTCCTCATTTTTATTTCCTTTCCCTGACTTGGATTTTGGCCTTTCCTCTGCTCTTAACTTGCCATGAAAGTGAAATCATTCTTTGACCATGGACAACCATTCTCTGGCTGGAGGCACTTGGCCTTATCAATGCGCTCAGCAGTGCTGTCCCCACCCTTCCGCTGGACATGCAGAGATTTATCCAACTCTTTGGTGGCCTCATCTTGCCCTTCATGCCACATCTTTATGTATCAGCATCACCGTTTCTTACCTGCCTTCACATTCTCACCCACCCGACTCTCCTTGCGTCCTTGTCACCAGCCAGTCATGGCCCACACAGTCCCTGCCCTTCTGCTCAGATGTGCCGCTTCCTGTCTTCTAGAAAGTTGAAATGGGAGCCATACATCATGGTGGTGAGAGGCAGGGAATGAGTCACAGAGTAAGTTCGTCACAGAGGGTATGTATGCTTTTACACTCTGAATGTTCTACCAGATACTAGTCTTCGAATTCTACGCTTTTCACTGCATTGCAGATCTGCTGAAGAACTGTTGTCTGTTTCTCAATGGCTTCCGCAACCTTCAGGAGGACTTTAAGGGACTGTACTGAACCCCCCATGCCTTCAACTCCCCTTCCTAGCTTCCTATGTTTCTGTAGTGGCATTTCAGTGGCAGGCATTGGTGCTGTGCACTGTGCATTTGTAATATCAAGTCCAAAACTCCTCTGATCCTGCATGCAACTGCAGGCAAGTATTTTGAAGCAGTGGTATTGCCAATATTGAGCTGGCACTCACAGAGTCTTGATCGGAGTTGAGTGTTTTTTGCTTTGAATGTGACAGTGGCTCATGAGCCTTTTTGCTCATGGTCTCCCCATCCTGGAATCAGAACTGTTAGAATGGCCATGTTCAATCTGGAGGTCACATACATCTTGATGTTGCTCCAGGTCCGAAGGAGGTTCAGGCAACTTGTAACACCCACATGTGTATGTAGGTGTGCCTTGCCCATACCCTGTGGGCCCTGGGCAAACTGCCTTATGACTTTCAGGTGTAGTGCCCCGTGAGTACACATCTATGACACATTCATCCAGGTTATCTGCTGCTCCATCATGGTAGTTGGGGTGACAGGAGGTGACACTGTCTTGATGAGGGTCAGACAACATTTTTATGCTACTATGTATCCTCAAGGGTGATGATATTTAAACTCTCACAAACCTATAACTAATGCCCTGACAGCCTTCCTACATCCTGGAGCATGTGCCCATGGCCAGTGTCACCTTCAATTTTCTGACTCAGGGCTAGGCCACTACAGTGCATGGAGCAGTGCCAGGGGAGAAAAATGCCAGTGTGTCCCATCTGGCTCTCCGTTACTGACTTAACTTAGTCACAGATGTATTAATGGTGCATATGGCAAGTTGCCCTAGTTCCAGGATATGGAAATTTTCAAGTTGTATCCAAAGTATTTATCCCCATTCTCTTTAGTTTTTCAATGTTCATCTATGATTTAGTTCTGAACAGCTCACTGACACATAAATCAGCAAGATCTTATACACAGTATGAATCAGCATAGGATCAAACTTGAATGTGCACTGATTCCTTTATATTACGCAGGCTAATGAAATTTTCTTGTTCCTCCACTCCACGCCTTTCAAATGCAAGGTCTATTTCAGATGTCGCAAACTCCTCTCTCATACAATGACTTACCTGTTGATATTGTAGCTTCCTTGAAGAGACAAATTGATGTTCTTCAGGCGCAAAATGAAGAGCTCCACAAGGAACCTTGCAAAGAGAAAAGGTGTGTCCAACCTTCAAACACATGTCCATGCTATTGATTTAACCGCAGTAACTGCTACCATCTTGAGGGTAGAGTGATTGGACTGCCAGTTTTGTCGGAAATTTGCAAAATCTATTCCAATGCTTCATTGTTGAGATGTTGTTGAGATGGCGTTGAAATTCATATTGTCATGATCATGTAAGATTGATTGCTGAGTTTCAATGTATCACAATGTGATTGCAAAGTGCTTGCAATGCATCCTTACCTCTGTTTGCGCTCTCATCATCTGTATTCCTCCATTTCTTTGCTCACATCAATTCTGTAGATACCTCATATATATCTTTTGACATCATGGGCTCCAACAGGGCCAAATTCTGCGATCTGTGTGAACAGAGCATTAAACCACGCAGCTGGGTCACTCACCGGAAAGCCTGCGAGAAGAACTCCCAGAAATGAGCCCAGGATCAGCACATTGCAGACTCAATTAGGCAGCAAAAAGGTGTGTTGTTTGAATACTCCAATTTTGTTTCATATCCTGACTAAATGCAGCAGGTCTTCTTGGTCCTGGTTCCAATGGTACTGCTGTCAATGTGGTGGTGGGTCACAGTCTCAATCTGCAGCTTGAGACACAGGGTAAGTTTTGCTGTTTATTATTCTTTCAATGCATTGTGTCATTAATTTTACTTATTTGTTCATCGATAGTCCAGTGAGACCCTTCAGCATCGAGTTTCCATGATGTCGATAATCCAGGCCCTTATTTTGGTGAGTTTGATTATTTCTTTGGGTGTTTTGTTGTATATCATTAATATGGATTTCAGACGAGCAACCGGCTATCCCTGATGATGATGGGAACCTTCAGTATCGTGAATATCAGCTTGATGACATCAAGGTCGAGCACCATCCCAAGAGTGGGATCCCAACCAAAATCTTTGCTTTCAGTGATTTCATGTGTCACCCTGCACATCATTCCTAATGGTCTGCTCCAGAACCGAATGCAAAGCCTTGGCGTCCTTTCAGGTCTCGTTTGGAGTTTGACATTGCTGAAATCGCCCTCGAAGTGGTGCTCAATAATGAGCAAACAGACCGTCTCATTGATATATGCTGTCGCTGCGCAGTGCAGTCGGAGAAATTCACATTCAAGAACCACAAGGATGTTTGCGCCAAGTGGGACGCAGTTTCTCAGTGCCTTACAGGGGTTGTTTTGCTCATTGTTGTATGATTCTCATTGGACTAATGTTTGAGCTTAGTTTACAAAGGACGTGATTTGGATACCCTTTGCAGATAAAACATGGGACTTTGACGTCTACCATCGTGATCTTTGGGAGTGGGCTACTGACCTCCTCTGTGATCCTCATCTGTTTCCTTATTTTCATTTTGATGCCCAGTGCTTGGTGAAGTTCAATGGCCAGTCTTTCGAACAATTCATAGACAAGCCTTTTACTGCTCAAGACTTTTGGGATGCTCAAGCATGTACCATTCATATATGTTGTATGGTAATCTTGATGGAATCTCAATGTAATTCGTAGTCGCAGCTGCCACATAGTGCTAAGCCCCTTGCCTTCATATTGTACACTGACAAAACAAAACTATCTAGTTTTGGAACTGCAAAAGGCTATCCCATTGTTGCTCGATTAGCGAACTTACCCACCCACATTCACAACAGTCAAGGAATGGGTGGTGGTTACATTGTTGGGTGGCTTCCTGTGGTATTACAATATGTACAATGTCACGTGCATCACTTTGTACTAATTCTATTCATAGGTGAAGGAAGATAAAGCCCATGCCGGCAAGCTGGCATGGGCTAACTTCAAGGCCACAGTATGGCATAAATCCTTTGAAAGGATACTGTCTTTGCTCACTGCAAAATCAAAAACTGGTCAATGGTTGGAGTGTCTAGATATTGTTCAGTGCTGGTTTTTCCTGCTAATACTCATTTTATCTTCCAATTTTGAGGAACAGTGAGCTTCAAACTTTTGGACTGACGTTTCGCTAACTTACCATGTTTTAAGGTCAACAATGGCGCTTACTCACGGTGTTAGGGCCTTATGGCCTTGCCCAGTCTGTCTTGTTCCCCATGATAAACTTTCTGATATGTTGCACTGCTATCCATGGTGCACATCTCATGACTCGGAGGCTATTCTAGCAACCACATGAGAAAGGGAGGCTGCAGAAGAGAGGGAGGAGGTATTGAAAGACTATGGACTTCGTGATGTCATTGTGAGCTTATCTTTACTCTCGTGCTACATTGTTTTAATGTTGTCTTAGAATTCATTTTCAACAGTGTCCTCTACAGATGTGCATCATGCATTGTCTTGGGACAAATTGCACTTTCACTCTGGCGGTCTATGGTCTGATCATTTATGGGTCGAGCTTCAGAAGTATATTAATAGTCTTGGATGAGAGAAAACATCTCAAGTAGACAAGAGGTAAGTCATTTATAATTCATTTTGACTCGAATTGACATGAATTTACACAGTTATCAAGCATTTCCCCACTGGCGAGACCAAAAACATCCAAACCAGGTCATGAATATCTCGTTTACTGACAACTCCACGCATGAAGACATTTCGAAGGTTCTTAATTTCTTTCACTCTACCTTGCATCTACTAAAATATCACTACCAGATGATAGTATATGCGACCCACAATATATTGACAGAGGCATACTGTCCTCTCGGTTACCTGCTCCTTCATTGTGTCCAACTTTACCTTGAACTTGATATGTACGCCTCACTCGAAGTTCACATGATGGAGACCATTAGCAGTGGCCAACACACACACCTTGCATTTGCGGCTCTTTTGCAGGTATGTTTCATATACTATTTACTGCTTCCAATAGGTAACTAATTCCTATTAGCAATACATTAACAAAACAGCCAAGAGTGACAAGAACTGGAATTTCCTGAAGTTGCACATGGGCTTGCACATTTTCAATGATGTCGAGGCAAAAGGAGCAACACGCAACTACAATACCAAGCCAAACAAGAAGATGCATGGCTCGTTAAAGGACTCATATTTGCTGCACACGAACTTTCATGATGTAGCAGAACAGGTGCATTTCAATTTAAAAAAAATGATCTGTTATAATACTGCAACTTGATTCAACTTTGACAGATCCTCCATATCAATATGTGGCAGGTGGCTGCAGATCATATATGCCACCGCTTATTTGAATTTGACGATCATCAACACCAATTGGATGAAGAAGACTTACTGGAGGAAGAAGACTTCCTCGCCACTGTCATTGAGCGCCCTGTCTCAACAAGTAACTCCTTTCACATGAAACTCAGATCGAAGCAACCTCCGCTGACCTTTGATGTGATTCAGATGGCTCATCAAGCAGACCAAGCCTTCATTAATTTCCGTGTCAAGCTCAATGATTTTCTCTATGTTCTTTTACCCTCATTGAGCATTCCATTGCCTGAAGGCAAACATATTCATCTCCGAGGAACTGATGAGGTATGTTTGCCTCAGTTCATTTTTTGCTGTGCTGACATACTACGCGCAGATTACAGAGCACCGCTTTATTTGCATCAATTATGAATCGATGGTCAATTGGCATCAAAATACAGACTATCTTCGTTCCAACCCTCATTTCTTTGGTTCACCACACTTTGACTGCATCTTCATTCGGTTGACTGAGAATAAAGTCATTTTTGGCTGGCTGGTCTTCTGTTTCGAATGTCTGGTTGGGAATAACACATTTCCCCTGGCCCTTGTTCACCCTTTTGATGTTCCTACTGGTTTGCACACTCGAAAGGACAAGGATCTCAACCTTTACAGAGTTCGTGCAAGACCACGAGCACAGGCACAGTTTTTTCCTGTTAGATCATTCATATGTGGGGCCCTTCTGATAGTGGATGGACCTTCTGATTATCTCATAGTTGATACCGCAGATACTGACATGTTTCTTCACATAAAGATGATGCATCTGGAGCCAGGGCACATCATGCACATTTGATTATTTGTCTTAATGAGAACCTTTTTGCTTCATTGGCCGCCATCATGGACACCTTTAGTTCTCAACTTTAACTTAATCTAACTAATCCTTTCACTCCTACTAGATATTTCATTACCAGATTGTAAGGTACGTGCTATTGACTTTCATTCATATGTCACAGAACACTGATTATACTAGTAGTGCAGCTCCCTGGACCCCCGCCTCGATTACTATGGCACCCTGCACAAACCAGCCTCCACGATCAGGTTCAGCTTAAAAGGCTATACCACAGCATATCCACCCTAGAAAAAAAGATATTAAACGAGGACCCCAATGATCTCATAGATGAAGAGCATGCTGTTCTCCAAGGATTCAGATGAGGACACGAAGTTAGCAATGAAGACCTCCAGCAGCAAAAATGGACAAAGCTGATCTTAGACCATGAATGGCAAGTCATTCTCCAGTTTTCATCATATCATTGATTGAATGGGTATTACAGACTCGCTGAGATAATGCATAATCTGATGGAGATCTCCCTTGCACTGAGCATTCTAGCTTCCCTCCAAATAATCCCAACCAAGTACAATATCATCATTCATATCTGGACCCACACATTCCACAAACTCCTGGAGGCCTTAGGTGAGCCTCGTTTTTCTCGCCCTCACTCTTGAACACCTCCAAGACTTTATATATTATGCCTACACCTTCTACACCTGCCTTCTAGAGGAGCCATCTTTGCGTTTGTTCCAATCAGGCTGGCTCAAGGCTCATGGCAATCTTGTGTGAAATGGATGAAGCTGATCTCAGACCATTAACAGCAAGTCGCTCTCCGGTTTTCATCATGATATCATTGACTTAATGTGTGCAGACTCGCTGATATAATACATAATAAGCTGATGGAGATCTCTCTCACACTGAGCATTCCAGCTTCCCTCCAGGTAATCCCAACCAAGTACAATATCATCATTTGTCTTTGGACGCATGCATTCTGCAAACTCCTCAACCTCTTGTGAGTCAACTCTCCCCATCTGGTCATCAACTGCGCACCTGAACTATTCGTCCTTCTACACAGCATGCTATTCACTAACATCCAACTTGACAACTTTTCACCAACCCTCACTCACTTCATCAAGCACATCAAAATCGAGGGAGCCGAGGAATGCAAGTGGATTATGATGGCAGGCACAGGTGGTCCAGCTGTAAAAGTTGCTAAGAAGTGTCAAGTTGTGCCTGCATTCCATGATGAAGACAGTGAAGAGAAATGGATGGATGTGGATGATGAAGGTGCCTCACAAGCATCTCCAGCTCTATCAGACGCAAACACGCCTGCAGAGTTTCCAGTGTCATTCAAACTGGCATTGGAACTTGCATTTTCGATGCTCTCATTCATTCTCCGCAATCCAATGTGGAAGGCCTCACCTTTTGCCCATTCTACTCTCAATCCTTATATCTCAGTCATGCTCACCTTCTTGGCTACCATCACAAAACATGCAGAGACACTTTCTGTAATGGAACATTTGATACCTTGGCATGATCTTGCACAGTTTTTCACCAACCCTCCCCCCCCCCCCCATGATATCTTTACCACACAGGGATTGGTCATCCCAACTGCTGGCCGTGAGCGGTGGTCGATGCTGATGAGTGGTTGTGCCCCACCTCTCTCTGAAGACTGGTGCCTTAGTGGGATGGAGTGGATCAGTCAAAAAGTCTTTGAGCGTGGATACTGGAAGAGTGGAGAGGAGAGACAGATGTCAATGGAGGTGGAGATCCTGGATGTGGAAGAAGGCGGTCAACTCACTGATGGGATTATTGAAGATGAAGATGACGAAGAGGATGGCCACTCCCATGTCAATGGGGAGAGCTTGTGTGGGGAGACAAGCAAGAGATGGAACTGTCTTGTGTGCTGTCACAGACAGGAAGTATGTGGGTTGAAATGGGCGAGAGATGGTGGGCCATTGGCAAGTGGGGGGAATGACAACAAAGTGTGTATATGGGATCTACAAGGTTCAAAACGTGCCTCTGTTACTGAAGTTCAACATCAGGATCAGGGAGTGTGGAGGGCGCAGGAGGGAGCGGAAGTGGAGATGCGCCACTCTGGAAATTCCACCAACACACAGCAGTGGTGAGTAGGCCTTTCTTTGGTGTTATTCGGCTGGCGATAAATTGCTTGGGTGCTGGTGTTGTCAAGTTCAATGGTGCTAGAATTAGACACTGATGTATATTCCTAGGTGAGACCATCATAACAGGTGCTGGAGATGAGACACTTAGGTTCTGGAATGCATTTCTGAAGAAAGAGGGTGGAGAGAAATGGGAGACGAGGTTGGATTATGGGAGGCTTATCAGGTGATCTCACTGCTCGAGGTTATTAGGGGATCCTGAAATACACATGGCAGTTTCCTGAACCATGCATGGCGGATTCCCAGACTACGCATCACATCCAGGGAACTTGGTGGACGTTGCACACTGCGTTTGGTGTAGACGCTGCTCAGGGCATCTGTTGTGATTGCTGCACTCCTGACATCATGCTCTCATCTATACACTATATCCGCAAGCTAACATTGCACCACATCATGGCATATGACCACCAACCATACCTGCCATGTTACTATATCACTCACTCACTCACCCAAACCAAACCACACCAAACCAACTACTTCAACAACCCAAATCAACATGTCTACATGGCTTGCTCAGTGCATATATGCACCCAGCCGATCTACTTTGCATGCTCAGTGCACATGCCAAGCTCACATTCGCATCTATATGTCCTTTGTTCATATGTTGATTTCTTGCTCAAGTTCTACTTCATTTTTCATCTTTTCATATCTGTGCACTCACTCTTTTGTCGTGTCTCGTCTTGTAAGTCACCTTGATCTTCATGAATGACATGATCTCACTCACTTTTTTTCACTAGCATCCAATTCAATGCTTCTTGTAGAGCTATCTGTTTGCTTTTCTCGTTTCATTGCTATACTATGGGTGTGTGACACAAGACCTTGTCTTGGTTATATGCTACACCACCACATGCGCAGCTCCTTTCATAAGGACTTCATCAATCAGCAAACATTGCTTGTTCTCCACGAACTAAATGTTTCTTATCAACCACTACACCAAACCACTTTTTTACCAGCCACCAACAAAATCTTTGAAGCACACACAGAACTTATCAAGAAATGTACCTTCTCAACTGACACACATGTGATATAAAAGGCTCTGGTCATGGTTTGCTGCTGTTGATACAGACTGATCGGGCATGATCACTGCTGTCGAGCTTGGTGCATCTTTTCAGAGTGACATGAGGGTTTTTGCTGATTGTGATCTGTTCGGGATTGTTGGTGATTAGAGAGAGCATTGATCAATGGGGACTGGACTCGTGAGTTTTTTGCTTGACTTTTTGAGTTTGGATAAGAGCTGATGATGGTGGTGTAGCATTTGATTTGGACACTGAAGCTCCTTATGAGCATGTTTGTGAGTCTCTTCCTTCTGACCATACTTCTTTGGTTGATTGTTCATCAGCTGTGACAGGATGTCAATCATGACGACTCTGTGGACGTCAATGTCGATGATGAAGACACTGAGTCTAAGGAAACATCAGAACAGAGTGAAGAGGACAAAAATGATCATGAGGAAGTCAAGGATCTCAAGGTGAGTTGCCTCATTGGTGAATTTTGGATGGTATTTGATGATGTGAACAGGCATGCTGGAGGTACTTGCGATCACTTCTCGTTTCAGGTCAGCGTGCACCTGCCCACGTGCCCAAACAGCAGTCTCATCCAGCCTGTTCCCAGAAAATTGTGTCAATGCCATCTTTGAACATTGTGGCAGGTTATACTATTCTTGTGCTGGACACCAACATCATTTTATCTTCCTTATTGGCTGTCACATCCATCATCAAAAGTCTCTGATGGACTGTCATCCTACCAGTTCTGGTTATCATGGAGCTTGATGGCCTATCCTTGAATCCATCTCAGCTTGGTGAAGCTGCTCAAGAGGCCATTGCCTACATAACCTCACACATCCACTCACACCTGGATGTCACTGAGTGTATGAACCGAACAGGTTGATCTCATCAATGAAGACTCATGGGATCACTGCATAGACGATTTGATTCTCAAAGCCACAATCTGGCAAGATCAGTATGGGGTGGACCGCTCTGCACTATTAAAGAATATGCCACCTGTGCGAGACAATGCCAATGCTGTCAAGGTGGTGTTACTGTCTCTAGATTGTCTCTGTAAGTCCTTAACTTTTTGATGTCGCCCACAACAGCTCATTTTTACGCAGTCTGTTTGAAAGCCTGTTCACACCAACTTGCAGCAGCTGGCAAGAAAGATCTTGCTGCTATACTCACATCTGGAATGTAATGCATGCTTGCAGCTTCATGAGATTGATTTTGTATGTTTCCTAACATTGAGTGCGCCTCTTACACGTGGCAGAATGTCTATCAGCGGTGGTTGGGCCGAAGTTACTCGTGGCAGGCTATCCTGCTCTTGTACTAGACCCTGATGATATCCCATCATCTAGGAGCTCAAAATGTAATATTCCAGCCCATGATTTAGACATTACGTGCTGATTATTACTTCGCAGTGTTGATTTCATTTGTTGTATTAAATTATCAAAGGTCACCTCCAGGCTATCACGCCTTCCTTCGTAACCGATAGTCAGAGCATAGGCACATTTTTCTTGGCACTGCTGATACATTGCTGCAACTTCTGTTGCATCAAGCATGAGGCAGGACAATTTACCTTATATATGGCGCTGTCATGCTGACCATTTCTCATCTCCTTGTATCTTTTTAGCACCTTGGACCATGTCTCATTTCTCTCAAAACACGTCTGACTCAGATGATGAATGGGACATGGAGCCTATCATTGAATCTGTTGCAATTCCAGGGCCAAACACCTCAAAGGGAGACTTCATGGATGTAAGTTTTAGATGTTAAGATCAATTTACCTATCTAACTCTACTCTTACTCTAGGCACTCAAGGCGCTGCAAATCCAGGTTCAGAAGCTCGCTGAGGAAAATCGCACTCTTCGTGAGGAGAACAAGGTTCTCATTGCCAAGAAGCCTAAATGCAAACGTTGCACAGAGGCTCCCAATGAACTCCTGGCCCACAAGCAAACCATCACACTTTATGCCCATAAATACGGCATGACTGTTGAAATGTTCCCTAATGCTGACCTTTTCAGCAAACAATGTCCTGAGAATCCAACTCCATTCAACAGCCAAGACCAGTATTTAATAGCAATGACCCAGGAATCAGCATTTTTAGATGAACTATTTCAGCACTTTCCTGATCATTTACATGGCATTATGGAAAGTTCATACTTCAGTGATCTTGTACATATTACATGTTTCAATACTATTTGTTAAACTAACAATCATCCTCCAGGTAATGAAGTCCATTTCCGAGGCTCACTCATCAGAAATCAACAAACTGCATAGCATTGTGGGCAATATATTCGACCTTCCAGGAGTATACTTCAGCAATACCCAGTACCACAGAGCCAATGTCACTGAAATACAGAAAATGCTTGGAGTGTCAGTGGCGAATCCAAAGTACAAGACATTTCTGCCAGTCCTGTTCCTTGGAATGCAAGAGGACCCTACCTTGAAGACTGTGTTCAGAAACTGGGAACTTTTGGCTAAGGTATGTGTTTCTTTTGGTCAATGAGCATGTCATAGTGACATTAATATATCTCTGAATAGATTCTGAAGGCCGCACTTTGCAGTGTTACTTCACTTCACCAAGAGACCACTGGTGGACCAAAGACCAACACCCGGAAGTGGAACCTCGAGCACATTATGCCAGGGTCTATTGCATGGGCTGCTGTCATTGTAAGTTTTTATCTATGCTATGTTGAATGTTCTCACTCAGTCAATACTATTGCAGGCAATCTTTTTGCTATCACCTGATACCGAATTTCAGAAGTCGGGCACAGGAAAGTCCTCTGGCATCAACTACAAGGACCTTTTCTTTCACTACAAGAAACTCTTGCTCACCAAGTGGGACAGCCGCCACATCAAGACCATTGTGCAAAACATCGACCAAGAAGTTTTCGGCGCCATGAAATCATCTGCTTCTGCAGCCACTCAAGAAGATCACTCCAGCAAAGTCATTCACGCAATGAATGCACTCGATATTGATAGCGACAATGAGTCAGACATCTCTGAACCTACTCCAACGTCTTCCGCAGTCCAGAGTACCACTGCCTTTCATTCCAACACTGTTGAGGTGGCACAGCCTCCTGCTGCTCTCAGCACTGTTTCATCACTCAGTACTACTTCTACTCTCAGTGCTACTTTCTGAGCTACTGTTCAGGGCGACATGGCAGTTTCAGCAGCTACTAATACAGCTGTAGTACAGGATGCAGATGTGGAACAGCCACCAGCTTGAGGGAGAGGGAGAGGAAGGGCTAGGGCAAAGAAGCCTGCAGCTACAGGTGTTCGACGCAGTACTCGTGCTGCTTAGGATACTATTAGTAGATATACTAGTCTTTTTTTCATTTCATATGTAATGTTACATCTTTGATTCACCTTTCACGTGCACCAAATCTTATTAGTCTATGCTACTTGCTATTGCCTTATAGGTAGCCAAAAACGATGGTTCAAATACAATCAAGTTACCCTATATAAAAAGACCCTTTAGCCTAATGGTTTTGTCGTGGTAAGTCCTAAGTATCACATGACCTTAAGCTTAAGCTAATAACTACTACACAGTCGAGCATTCGAAACCTACCAAGTACAGACTATATAATAGACAAGGTAAGCATTAACACAAACCAGATAAGATAGTAAACTAACTAACATAACATAACAGGACCTAATAAGCATAAGCTAAAAGATAAGATAGCAATGTAGCAAAGGTGATAACAGTAAGCAATACAAACACAATACAATATAACTAACTAATAAGCATAGGGCAATAGAAACCAAAAGATAAGATGGCAACGTAGCAAATAGAAAAAGGGGCTTGTAAGATAAGGTCCAGTATTCCAAGAAGTGGTGACATGGGGGCATCATTACAACCAATTGCTGTACAAACAGTCCATTACAATGATTAATATTGATTTAAACCTATTTCAATTACCATTACAATTGGCATTGCAATGATGGTTGCAATGCCCATTACAAGGTGCACTCTATTATTAAAATCTATTTCAAGCAGCAGTTTGTATTTAAAAATCTCAATGCTTTGTAATGCATTGAAAGCTAGATTAGGAATTTCTGACATTGTCTGACTGGTTATATTGGACAATTAGTTGCAGAACATGATCAACATATGGTACTTGGTGCTGTCAGCGAATCTGATGCAGACAAGTTCAACTCTGAGGATCCCGAGTAAGTCATTTTCCATTGCCAGTGACTAAAGTTAACAGTTAAATTTTATTAGTGATAATAGATGGCACAGATCATTCAAGAAACTTCTTGTATCATGCCCATCTGTAGGTAAACTAACAAAGTCATCGGTCGAGGACCATGACCTGGCATTTGCATACAGCCAGGTGAGACATCGCAATGAGTAGGCCTTGCTTCACTAACTCTCTATTCTAGCTGATTAAAGGAGCTGATTCAGCTAGGGCAGATGATACAACAAAACTCAAGATGCTTGTCATTTCTTGGTTATCAGAGTGTACCCCACCACCAGACCCCATTCTTTACCCTTATGACAAGACTGGCCATGGTTTCTACAATGATGCAACAGGAAGGCTTCTATGTCCTGTGGATCACGACTGGAACAACTCTGAGTAAGTTTTATTTGTTGGGCAACACCTTTGTTGACCAATTTAACAGTGTTCGACGATATATTAGGGACTACCACCCTGATTATAGGGTGACGGCTTACTCTTGGCCAACATTCTTGTATGATGGACGTTACGATGCTAGGAATCCTAGAGATGGCCTGTTTAAAGGGAAGTTGCTATTAAAGGTATGATTCACTGTGCAGATGATCAGCACTTTCCTGAAATGAGCTACAGACATTTAAAGCCATATTTACATCTCCCACCTCTGCAGAGCTTGATGACCCAGAGCAGACTGGTTCTGATGAGGTTTCTGCACATGGACATTCAAAGCGCTGAACAACCTGGACAAGTGGCGAGTGGCGCACATGCTGTGATGTTGCAGGGCTACTCAACATGAAATCCACTCAACCGCGGGCAATTGCATATGCCGCTGTCCAGGTATGAAGTATGACTTCTGATTGGCACCTTGCATTGTTAACATGGTGGCTTAGCTTTGCATTGCTTTGTCCAGTGCTAGCTCATGGCGGATCATGGATGATGATTTCAACAGCGAAGTTTTCTATAACCATATTGTTGATTTCTTTGAGCTTCCCCCAACACAAGATGCAGCAAATGAAGTAGATGATATTTTACTATGGTGGAACCTGTCATATCCCACAATCCAGACCCACGTTCCATCATATTCCCACGCCTTCCGAGCCTACATCCGGACCCCACTTCATATCCAGCTCATTCCCAGATCCCCTTCCACTGTGCTCCATACCTCAGCAGGATCGACTATGCTCCTGATTTACCCCTGAGCTCTGGACCTCCAGATCCTCACTGCTAGCCTGATCCGTACAACCCTATCCTGTCCACTCTATGTGCACTCCATCCAGCAAGACATCCAGACTTCACCTCATCTCAGATTCCAGACTATATCCACCTTCTCATATTCCGGTCCTGTATCCACCTTGTCTTCCAGATCCCCAGATCTCTGGACCTCCGGATCTTAACTCCAGACCTATTTCCACCCTCTGTCCGATATCCTGCACCTACCCCCATTTAGGCATTCTCTGCCTTCTGGCTTTCAGTTACCTCTTGTTCCATCTTGCTTATTGATCCTTGTATGAGTCCTCATCTCCGAGTTCATTTACTTATGTTCTGACTTACTTACTAATGTGTTTCCACATGCTCATACATAGCCTTGCTCCTTTGCTTACTGATCCCCTCAGATATTGTTCAGTATATAACCCCTGTAGATACTCCTGTAGTTCCTCAGTTTGAATATCAACTTAGACTTGCCCAATCCTCTCTTGGACTTTGGTCCACCTAAGTCTGTCCTACCCACCAGGCCTAGGGATTGATTCCCTAGGCTGGAGCTCCGCCTTTCCAGCACTTACCCTCTTTCCAGACTTAGGTCCAATCCCTGTCTCTCCAACTCTACCTTAGGGTAGTCCACCTCTGTTTGTTTCTACATCGGATAAAGTCCAATGTAGCCCCTATTCCTTTCAGACCTCCGGACCTCCTGTCCCTCATACCTCCAGGCATCCTGTCCTTCAGACATTCTGCCCTCCGTACCTTCAGACATCCTGTCCCTCTGTCCTCTGTCATCCTGCCCTCCTGTCCTCCTGTCCTCCTGTCCTCCTGTCCTCCTGTCCTCCTGTCCTCCTGTCCTCCTGTCCTCCTGTCCTCCTGTCCTCCTGTCCTCCTGTCCTCCTGTCCTCCTGTCCTCCTGTCCTCCTGTCCTCCTGTCCTCCTGTCCTCCTGACCTTTGGACCTCCTATCCTTCCATCCTGTTTCCTGTAGAAGTATTACCTTGCAGTGGGAACTCTCCTGAGCACTTCCTGCATTCCTCCAGAACTCTCCTGTGCTCCTCCGGAAGTCCTCTAGTGCTCTCCAGCAGAGTAGCCAGCCTCCAGAAGTCCTCTGGACTTCGTCAGACCATCATTGGACCTCATACAAAATGAAGGGCACATACTCAGGTAAGGGGCACAGTGTATGAGCTGAGGCCAAGCCCCTCTGAGTCAGTCTCTCTCCCCCTTGAGCAACATGGTTCTTAACAGAACCAGTGAGTAGCCTGCTGCTGCTCTTTGTCGTCCATCTCATTATATTGTATATCAGCAAAGTTTTCAGTCACAAGTTTGTGTCTGTTTATCACCCCCAAAGGGTTGAACAGTTATCAGTTGCTCGGACATGGGCTTGACAAGCCTAACTTGCTTCTCCCTCCCTTCACTATCACCCTCCTTCTGTTGTCTCTGTCACCCTCCTTCTGCTGTCTCCGTCACCCTCCTTCCGCCGTCTCCATCACCCTCCTTCCACTATCTCCATCCTTCTACCATGTCTCTCTTTCTGTTGTCTCCGTCTCCCTCCTTCTACCATCTCTCTCATTCTACCATCTTCCTCTCTCTGTTGTCTTCATCTCCCTCCCTCTGCTGTCTCCCTTCTGCTGCCGTCTCCCTTCCTCTATCGTCTCCCTTCCTCTATCGTCTCCCTTCCTCTACCGTCTCCCTTCCTCTGCTGTCTCCCCCCTTACACCATCTCCCCCCTTCTGCCTTCTGCCTCCTTTCGCTGTTTCCTTCCCTCTACTATCTCCATCTCCCTCCCTTTTCCATCTCCTTCCCTCTACTGTCTCCCTCCCTCAGCTACCATCTCTGTCTCCCTCCCCTTCTGCCATCTCCCCATCAATGACACTGTTGCTATGGTTCCTACATATAATACTTGCTACTTGTATAAGTAGTACATACCATCTGATTTGTATGTGTCCCATGGGTGAAGCTACACAAACAATAGCATTGTGATTTGTTTCTGGTTTATTGTGATTTATGTGCACTATATTTTGTACATTGCAATGGAAATTTGGCATTGTATAGTTGAGGATACAATACCTGTTTGTCATTCATTAGCCGGTTCTCAATAAATTGTTTGCACTGGGACATCAAAACTGTATTGCTCTCATGAAGCAATTGCCCATATATGTTGCATATAGCAAAACATAGCATATCTTTTACATTAGTAAATGAAGACTCATGGTGTCAGAAACTTTGTATAAGATAATTTATGTCTGGTATTTTTCGTCGGTCTACACATGGAACAACTTTACTTACTTCATCTGCCAGACACATGAGAACCATACCTAGATTCATCCGACTAACACTCAATATACTCATCTATGTGACAGATAGCAAAACACAACACATCTTTTACTTTAGTAAATGAAGACTCGTAGTGTCAAAAACTTTGTACAAGATAATTTATGTCTAGTATTCTTTACTAGTATAGACATGAAACAACTTTACTTACTTCATCGGCCAGACACGTGAGAACAATTGTCAGTATTCAGGTGTGATAGTCCCAATCACTATCAGGTTGGACATGATTAGTAATACTAAAAACCAAGTTTCAGTATTATCATACCTAGATTCATCCAATTAGTGCTAAATATAGGTCATCACGATTGTCATTACTCAAGGAGGATAACAATGCTGATGTGACTGGCGGGTCTGTCTAAATATGATATAAATTAATCACAAATCAAGCATCCGTAAATAAGCTGCACGACCGGCAACAATGCTCTGAAGCGTGGAAACTGCATACTATAAACATATCAAGCATGTTTATCAATCTGTTTTAGTTTTTACACAGCCAAATTCATTTGACTGATGCCAGATACAGGTTATCGTGATAAAGATTGGTCACAAGGGATAACAATATATACCTATACAAGACTATAGCTTCTGCAGCGCCATATTTTATCCGATTATAGACATTGTTGGGTTTATATTGTGTATACAAGGGTTTATCATAGATCTTGGGTTTCAGTGATGGAAGTTCGAACACTTCTTGGACGATCACGTGATTATTGTTTGTAGTAATTTCAATATTACCGTGCTCATGCCAGTAGCCTAGCGAGCAGATCGAAAGCTTGCAGGAGTTGACTTGTAAAGTCAGAGATCCCTGAGTCAGTTTTTCCGTACTAGTTGATGACCTCTATACGTCGACATAATTGCTTGCAATCGATTGACAATTGCCCATCTTGCCTCACTGCTATGTCCTCCATCTTCTTCAGCGCAACACTTATTTTCAAGTCTCACATATAAAGCGTCTTTTCGCCTCAGCACGTTACCACGCGTCGTCCATCAGGGAAAACTACGCCTGCAGATATGTGGCTCGTTCTTTGAACTCTCGAAGGGATGTGATGCTTGGACTGACCTGCGTCATTTTGCTGAAGGTTCTCTGTGTTGAATTTTCCGTGGCTTGTTCTGGTGCGCGTACTGTGTATTTTATGTCGTCTCATACATCCTTGTGTTTTAGCCGCCCAGAATAAGTTGTTCGCTTCTGCACTTCCATTATGCTGCAGCCAGGATCTCCTTCCCTGACAGTGTATGGTCCCTGCGCCTCCACTAATGTGCACATGGGGTCCAACTCTTATATCCCCTCCCATCTAATCGTGCAGTTGCTCCTTCCCATAGCTCGGATGTGGCTGAAAGCTGTTTATCGCGCACTCGCTTAAATACTTACATCTCGGGTACGTTATGGGCTCGGCTTCATGGATTTAGCTTGCTGCCATATTGATCCTGTCGACTCCCTAGCATGAATAGAAGAATTACCTTGTTCGTCACAGCGAACGGTAGTTGGTTTGTAGATGCAAAGGAGCGTAGGGATGAATCCATCGAGAAAATGCCATGGGATTCGCTAGCTGCTTTGATGACAATTGTCATCTGAAGGTCCGATTGGATTTTAGAATGTCAACAAAATGCCACGACGGTCTCAAAATGAGCAGTGCCCGTGTCTGAAACGAGCAGGTACGTCTGATCTTCCCCGCCAACTCTCAGTGTATCTCATTGTTTAAGTGGCTGCAATGTTTGCAGTGGACACTCAACACACTCACTTTCTGGTAGAACAGGTTACATGTTCGAATATCAGCTGAAATAACTATACTGCATCTAATAGATAAAATCGAGTTCGATTCGAAGAAGCTGAAGGTTAGCTTGACAGGTATGAATGACCCTTACTTCATTGTTTAACAAATTTGGAGGCCCCAGAAATGTCAGTTTCTTCCAACGTCAAGTACTCGAACATTACTCCATTCATTGATCTGAGACCTCTACGGAAACTTGGTGATGCTCCCTCGCTTGAACACCGTCGTTCCCGAAGATGAATATGGTCATTTTACTGATTCGATGTAGTGACTTTGCAAAACCATACTACAGAAGAAGCGAGATCATGTTTTCTCGCTCTTGTGTACATCCTTCGTTTAACATGTTCCAATATCCATCAGATCTTCAACTGCGTGGTGACCCAGTTTGGTGATTTTATTCGGAATAATTCAGAGTCGCTCATGAATGGCATTACAACAAGACGCAGGATCGTATATCATTTCGATACATTTGGCGCCAAAACGACCGTTTTTGTGGAGGCCAGACTGCACATTAGAAGTAATGAAGATCGTTCGAATGTCGTTGCCCTAGTGATAGCGGGATATGACGGTCAGGGATTCCTTCAACACAGGAGTTCTCATCAAGTTTTCGAACCCACAGCTTGCGACTGGAGCAACATGTGAGTCAACGCTAGTATGCCAATCTACAGCATGCTCTGCGACGGAAGCACCAAGCCATGCAATTTCTCGATGGGTGTTGTCCGAGGAAGTCGCTTCTGTGCGGCGGGAGGACTTGCACTTGATGGTTTCTCGTCAAAACCCGCTGCGCGTCCTTTCATCCATAGCCTGTGCCCGATATACAAAACCATATTCAACCTGCTGGTAGTCGCCTATGTCACGAGCTTAAAGGTGTTCTATGATCACTTACTGCCCGAATCCAGAGATACGCAGGAGAAGAGCTCAGATCGCTGAGACTCTGAAAAAGCGCTCAAGTTTACTGAGGGGCATTGGAAAAGTCCCAGGCTGCGGAAGTGCAGTTATGATTTTTGTCAGAAAATTTAAATTTCCCTGTGAGCTAACCTATCAACAGTACAGAAGTAGTACCGATTGTCGAGGAATATATCAACACACCTCTAATTGATAGCTGGGATGACGGCGAGGTCTCGGAAGTGTATCGTTTATCGCCCTTTAAATTGCAGTAGCTAGAAACGCCCACGATTGAGTTCGAATTATTGAGTCGTTCTTCGCTGTGTATTACGTAAGCTACGATGTAAATCCATTTACTACCAAAAAAGCGGTACGATTCATGCACATGTGCATGTTATGCTCATATCCTGGCGCCTCTTTTGACAACCAGTGAAATCAAGGTATCTTGACGGGCAACATATAGCGAATCAGGTTCCATGTCTTTGATTATCGACTGAATTTGCGCTTAATCCATTTCGCCATTCCCTCAACTTTCCGGCACCTCGAATCTACCGCATACTATGCCTCGCCCGTCGCGTCATCTTTGGGCCTGGGCATGCATATACTAGGCTTAGCTGCTGGTTCCCTTTCCGGCCAACTCCAGGGACCGCTGAAATAGCCACTTCATCGGTGCTTTTTCACGAGTCTGTTCGTGGTCGTCGTCTCAGGCTTCAAATCTTCAGATCTCAATCCTCAGGACCTTATAAATGTTGCTGTGCAATGATTCTTTGCACTGTCTCATAAATCGTCGTGTTGAAGATGGGATATATGAATTTCCATTAGTATCTCACATCCGAGTCTGTCGGCAACCTAGAGGGCAACAAACCTTACCCCAAGCGGCCCAGGCCTGTCTATGGTCCAAGAGCGAAACGGTCGTTCGTCACAACAAGGGGTAATATGGGGTAATATATCGGTAAAGTGTCGAACAGCCGCCCCTTGTTATGACGCACTGGTGTCCCCCACTGTCAAAGCTTATCTGCCACTTTGTATTTAACGCAGGGGGAAACTACATTAGATCATTTGCAAACTCCATGGCCACACCAACCATCCCTTTGGAGCTCACACCTAGAGTTATCGCACGGCGCATGGTATGTTAACCGCCTACTTGTATCTGACCTTATCCTCACAAAGTGCTATCAATCAAATCCTCATTAGGACACGCGCCAGCTGCATGGTCCTGACTTCCCTGACACGCTCTCGGATGTGTCTTATCCTCCCCAATTACAGAAACCTAGACCGCTTTTGTTCTGGTTTGGTTATCCTATCGACTTTGGGAAGCTCGAAGCTTTCGTGAAAGAACAGAGTCCTCTCTACCCTGATCTCTCTCAGGATCGTACTCGCAGCGAGGGGATCAACCATGCCTGGAATCGCATCTTCATCATCGGCGTCATCCGCAAGATCTTTGGGGAGTCGACTCGATTGATACCTGTGTATGGCCGCAGGGAGGGAAAACCCATCATAGTCATGTCTTTCTACTGCAACTTTGACGCTCCAGGGAGAGTGGTGCATGAGAACGAGAAGGCGTTTGCCCTTAAGTTCACCAGTTTGGAAGGGGAACCAAGATGGTACCTTGACTGGCGTCGCAACCCGGTCCCTGATCCCCCGGACCGAGTCGAGGTGCGTTAAAATGGATATTATCCTTGCCAACCGTTGACTTTACTTTGTATTCCTACCTAGAAATCCACTGTATGATCTTTATGTCTCACTTATGCCGTGTATGACCGTAAAATAGCTATCAGCCTATGTACTAGCATGTATGATAAGAGTCGGCCGCAATGAACACCTTGATGTATTTTGAGATAACGTGCTGTTGCACGGATGACTCGCGACATACAGATCATTGTGAGCAACATAGCCATACATTTTTGTTGCACGATACCAGTTATGAAATCTACATAAAGAATCCTAAAATCAACCACTACAAAACCCACTATGTAAGGCGGTGTGAAATGCATATCTCGATAAAATGTATTTATGAGGGATGTCCGTCAATTGCATACAGTAATTTTAAATAAATGTTGGCCACCCACGAAATCAGGAATGAAATGAATAGTCTGTAATGAAATCAACAGATAGTCTGTAATAAAATTAAGAAGAAATCAGTAGAGCATCATAACGCCCCCAATCAGTGCAGCTCCCACAGATACACTGATGGCTGTGACCTGGTTCCTGATACCGGCCCATCCCGGGCTTGCAACACCATTCGTAGAAGGCCCAAATGTTTGTGCGAATTGTGAGAGAGAATTTGGTACGCCGCTAACGGTCACTGTTGGGGCTGAAGCGGGACTCGGGTTGCTCCCTGTGGCATTGGCGTCCACAACGGTGAAACGGGAGGAAACGGAGTAGGTAATGCCAGCCGTGGAATTGATGCAAATCAGGAAGTAGTCGTCGCCTGCTGGTACGTCTTGGAGGACAACGTTGAGGGCACTCGTGGTGATAGGCACTATTAGTGACAATCAGAGCTGTCCTACGTAAGAGAAAATAGTAGTATGAAGGCTTACATCCTTTTGCCACAAAATAAATACCAACCCGGCTAAGTCGCGTTATCTCAATATCGAAGCTATCAATGCCATCCTCCAAGCCTAACGTCCATGAAACCGGATAAGGTGAACCATTCTTCCAAGACGTGGATGATCCGGGCTGATTCACAACAAAATCTGACGCCCAGCCCGGTCATCTGTCAGTACCCATTGCGGCAATGAGAAAGGCCTAGAGCACACTCACAGGCATCAACAGAGATAAGTGATGAGAGCATCAGCATTAAAATGAATGGAACGGTTTGCCAAGAGCGAAGACACCCTAAGAGAAGCATCGTTGGACGCGGCGTGGACGGACTGGGCGAGGGCCTGACTGTTCTAAAACGAGTGCGGTGGTAAGAGTGCGGAGTAAGGAGCACAGGAAGGGCATTCGCATGCACCCATTGGCCTCGTGTTAGTGAACGCCCAGGTACAATGTTGATCGGGATTTGTCATTGTTTGCAATTTTCAGGGATCCAATGGTCCAAGCCTTATAATTAACGTTCAACTTCACTATAACAACCTACATATATTCATAGACATATCTTATATACCTCTTTCATCAGCTGCTCACTCTCCAGATGCCTTGCGACTCTCGCGCAACACGGCGCCTCGGCCTATTCCAAAAGCGATGCGGCGACACATTCGGTACTATAGTGATCGCTATTAGGAGTTGATCGTTCGAACGTTGAGTTCTAGAATAATGACTGGCAGTATGAATTAACCGTTGTTAATTTACCCCCATGTAGCGTGTGAGCTTTGGCGTACTTTGGGAGGGTCTATCTGGGAATCGTTAATTCCGGGAGTGGCACGTGGCCGTGATATAGATATCCGAGCTCGTTGTTTCTCACAGCTGCAGCATGCTGCCTGTCGTCGGCCCCTGGCAGCGCCAATGTACACAGGCATGCTTCGGTCCCGTGCCCCCAGCCCTCTTTTTACCCAACCCCTTACTCCAGCTCCTTCGGATATTCGGCTTCCCCATCTTCGGAGATCTTTCTTCATCTTCACCACCACCTTCGAATCCTTCGTTTTGTTATTTTCAGGGGCACGGCACTGCGAGCGGTGTTAGTGGTGCACGATAATATGGCTTGAGGCGCTACATAGGGTAAGATGATGTTCTGACTTTCTGCACTTTGGGAGGCTGTAGCCGCTGGCCATCATTTCCGATCATGAAAACGTCATACAGATTCCAGAACGAAAGCACTGGAAAGTGAATCGTGATTACTAGGCTAACGGAACAAAAGACAAACTACCGCAGCTCTTCGCAACCTTCCAGAGTTTGAGACAGTGAAGAAAAATTCGTTTGTGCTTGCTGTATCCAGTGGTATTGAATTCCGTTCACCTTTTCTACCATTCTGGCGCTAAACAAGCTTCGCAGCCTGCTTTTGCACCCATCAAGAAGACTGCGGTCAAAAGTTCGTCTTGGTCTCTACCTGATCCTTCTGATTGGAACCAGTGGGACTGGCCCACCCTGATTCACGTATGGCAGTTGTTTGAAAGCTTCTGAACGCATTGTGAATTTACCTCCACAAATTCTCCGATACTATCTCATGCTCCTTGTACATCGTCATCGCCATTAATGCTGACTTTCACGCTGCGAGTGTCGGAACATTCAAAAATCGCCATACACTAGCAATTTGTTGCAGACAGAGCAAGATCCCAGTGGGCAGTCCGCGCGCAGGACCGGGCGTAAAGTTACATGGAATATCTTGGATGCTGCTATCTCGAGCCATTATCGGATTCGCGGCCCGATGACCTCGCAATGAGTAAAAAAGCGTTGGTCGTGCGTGCAGGTCGGAGCACTCACACCTAAAATTTGTTCCCACGATTATTCGGTAGTCTAACCTACAGTACTTCTGTCTCATGACACACGAGTCACAGCGAGCAAATGAGACAGCACAACACCATAACACGATCATCGAAAGGTTCAAGTAGATGAATGGTATTAATTCGAATATTTTGTCCAGATTAAATTTGAATAATCTACATCATGCAGCGAGATACAAGCCCAGATGCTGGCAAGATGTAACAAAAATTGAAAACAAAATTGAACATCAAAAACACGTATCCACGTCTAAAAAGATTGGGGTTGTGTGCTGTGTCGGTTCAAGTTTGATATAGGTCTCAGATGCCCAAATTGATGCGTTGATGTCAGCCACAAGCGCGTCTGAGTCGCGTTTGCTAATCACGCGCCTGTGTATTGAGGTACTGCGCTGCCTCGTCTCAATATTAATGCTGTCTTCAATCGATCCCTCGTGCCTCTTCTAGTGACTGTCACTTGCTCAAATGCTCAGCTCAAAGCAATTTCTAAATAAACGAAAAAGTGTTCACCTGCACCTTCTGCATGCACGGCAACAAATCAAGGCCACCGAGAAGGAAAATCGTGGATTCAGAGCAAAATAATTACGACACGAACAGAGACTTGTAGTGGGAGTGTGCTTGCGAGCATAAAGTCTCACTTGAACGAGGCTGTTGAAAAGCTGTCTATATGCACTCTCGAGGTCCATCAGCAGAAACAAGAACTTGCGAAGAAGACAACACTACTCGCCAATGCAAATGGCACAATAATTTCGTTGCAAGCAAGCCTGGGATGGCCCGGGCATTCACGTGGTTGGGGGTGGAGTTCAGAGGGACTAGAGATCAGTCTCAGCGTTGTAGACAGAACCACTATGGCATTGATAATACCTAAGAGACGAGTCTGAAGACGAAACAACGTAAGTGAGAGACAGTGTGCAAAGTACATGGACTGTACCTCAATGTTGTAGACAGAACCGCTGAGGTACAAATAAAGCGACACGAGATTATATAGTACAGTATAGAGTCCATGTTGAACGTTGCACATCCAACAATACGAATACTCCACAGGGAGCTTATCAAGGAGAACGTGCTGTAGGACCATATATCCGTCACGTAGTGAAGAACGTATGGTTGGAGCTAGTTGCGTTATCAATCTATTCGAAACAGTGAGGATGCAAAGATGAGACACGAGAATTCAGTCGCACCGAATCCCGCAAGAGGCCAAGAACCAAGGCTAGACCTTCGAGATTCCGCCCCAGAGTGTATTCGGGAGAAGATAGGACTAACCCAGTACCATCTGTATGCCTTTCGTACACGAAGAATATCCACTGTTCTCCGCTGGTGACAACACCCCTGATGACAGATAAGCTATCATAAAGTTAGACTACGTCACGGAACATAGAACGACAGAGAACTAACCCCTGCAATTGGCAATACGAAGCCGCAGCAATTGCAGCCTGAGACAGAGCGGCCCGAACGTTATCGCGCTTGGCTTCGAAGATGTTGGACGTCATTGGTCCCTTGATGTTTCCGGGATTCGCCAGTGCTGTGGTCGGGTCGCCCAGGAGGTATTCTAAAGAACGATTTTAGCACGCGACATAAAATAACTGACCGGTGTACTGGGCGGGGAGTTTAGTCACCAGGAAGTCGACGACGCCACTAAACGAATACTTGCCAGAGTCTCGGTGGAAGATCGTTCTAGGGATAGGGAATTCTGGAATTATGTTCACCGTCGTGTCACCCGAACACATGACCGATACAACTCTCAACAAGAGTATGTTGATCAAGATGCGACATCCAGCTTCCGTCTTTGGAGTTTAAATGAATATACATGGAGCCTAGCCATCGTAACATAGGCTACCACCGTTGCGACGTGGCCGCGCACTAAACTTATCAGAAATCGTGCAGTATCAATCGGAAGACACCCTGATATTTCGGCCAATCCAAGGTTTTCGACTTCTTGCCTCTTGTCGCTGATCAGAAAAAGTGGACCAGACGATATCCTCAATGAAATGAGCGTTATTGGATCTACCTTGGAGAAGGAAGTGTGGTAAGGAGAGGCTGATCAGCCCTGTGAACAATTCAGCGTCATTCAACCTTCATCACCTTAACGTCTTCCGATTTGTCACGCAGTTCTTGGAGTTTATCGATCAGACCAGCAGGTAAATCCTCGTCTCCTTCATCAAGGTTGGCACGAAATTCCTGGAGCTTACGAAGCAATTCGTTTGTATCTCCTGCAGTTAGGTCTGAAAGCTTTCGTCGTTTGGAAATGGGAGGCATAATGTGAGATACACCGACAGATGCGAGAGACAGGGGTTTGATTGTCGGCGTTGATTGCGGCTCAAGCGCTCATGCGTGAGTTGAAGATCAAGCTTGGGTGGCTTGCATATGTCGCCTAAACTGCGAACGTGACACGTAAGTGACGTGACGGCTCATGCCAGTGGAGGGGAGGTTTGTTTCTTGAAGTGTCGCATGACCTCGATCAAGTTTTGTGCCCAGTCGACAACCAAAAGTCCCTGCAGCTCCGCTTTTCCACGCACATAGCTGCCACCCAGGGGTAAATCTCAGTGCCATTCATTGCGTCCTGCAGCTACCTTCTGCTTACAATTTTGTGGCTGGCCCATCTGAGTTTCCGCTGGCTCTGACTCTCTACACTCGGGTTGTCACTCCACCCGCGTGATCCTCTCTAATAATTCTCCTACGCTATCTCATACTCCAGCTCCTTGTGGATCGCCATTCACTTCCAAAGTGCTTCTTGCATAGTCGAACATGCGCACGCGGTTTCAATCAAGACCAGAACTCAACACGATCCTTTCCTAAAGGCCAAGAGAGACGTCCAAGCGATAGGCAGGATATCCATGGAATACAAAATACTATGGTTTGTGGGAAAATGTAAGGGTGAATTTTTATGCATGCGCGCAGCAAGGAAATCGATGCCAGATAGGATTGGATGATTAACAATAAAATAACGTCGGGCCTAAGCTCCCGTGAAACGTTCAAAGAGAAGCACTGGGATGCCAATGTGAGAATTCCTCAATAACCTGACGTTTGCTAATTGTGACGTAGGTTTATGTAACTGTTCCCACCTTTGGATATACTTAGGTACATAATTATACCCCATCTTGGAATGCGACAGTCAAGAATAGTCAAGAATTCGTAGTCAATTGATAATATCCAGCTGTTGCACGAAGCGCATGCATGACGAGATCACCCACGTACGTATCACTGTGTAATCACCTTCTACGTTCCGATCCATTTCAATTATCATTACGGCAAGATCATGATGGCTAGCGGCGCACCACCCACCTGAAAGACGCCCGCGTCTTTTGTGTATGTCGCAACACCATGTCGTGTCCTTGCGCTCACCATTTTCCCCTGCACAGCAATCTGTATTGTACGCGTCCGTTGCTCACTGCAGCAGAACGTTCAACATAGCTTTCCTTCCGCTGAAGGATTTGTCAACGTGTGTCGTGCTGAAAGAATCTGATTGACGCCTGAGCAGAAGCGAACAGACCCTTCATTTATGCACTTGTAGTACGCATGCCGTACCCGTCATGCGCGACCCACCTTGTAGATAGTCTTATAAACCCGAACGGACGCCCGGGTGAGCACTAGCTTCCTGCTACCTCCGTTCTCCCTGAGCAGCGGTTGCCATGAACCTCCTTTCATATTTTTGGCTTTTAACCACCATCTGGTCATGTCTGGCTGTAGCTCCTTCAAGGACGATCTCCAAGAGAGGTAGCAGCTCATTCGTGAGCTCTAGTAAAGATGGGTTTTCTGTCAACGGGAGGTAAGCGTGATACCTTTTATCAACATATCATGTGCAAACACATTGCACCATAGCTCACTTAGATTCGTCGGGACAAACTTGTACTGGCTGTCGACGTTGGAATCGAACGATGACATCTGGAATGTGCTGAAGAACATATCTGATACCGGTATCAAGGTCGTTAGGATTTGGGCATTTAACGGTTCGTTCATCGTCTGTCTACCGAGATTCGCGATTTTAGTGTCTTGATTGACAGATGTGGAAACCATTCCGGAGACCGGAACGTGGTTTCAGTTGGTACAGAACGGCACTACCACAATCAACGATGGACCAAATGGACTGCAGAAACTTGATACAGTGGTTCAAATGGCAGAACAACAAGGGCTATATGTTATCTTGTCACTAACGAATAACTGGAATCCAGTACCTAACACGACATCATCCAGCACTGCATCACCTGATGTGCTTGCGTCTGTCAGTATTCCGCGTAACACTCTTTCAAACGACTACGGTAAGTCAACACTGCACTTGATGTTCAAGACAAATCAACGATTTTACAGGCGGTATGGATCTATACGTCCGCCAGTTCGGACTTCAGAACCACGACGATTTCTACACGAACGACAGTATCTTAACCGCCTTCCAGAATTACACCAAGCAGATCGTATCACGCTATTTCAACAGCCCTGCTGTGTTCAGTTGGGAGCTTGCAAATGACGCCAGGTAATTCACCCTGTGTATCTACCGCCTTGGAACATGTCCCTTATCATGTGTCAGATGCAACTCGACCATTCCCACTAGTCCAACGTGTACCACACAAACCGTCACACAGTGGCACGCTGTGATGGCTGCATTCATCGCGTCCCTCGATCCCAACCACATCGTCTCCGCTGGGTAAGTATCATACAGTGTTGTTTTAGGGTTGTGATTCTCAATTTCCCGTAGAACGTCTGGATTCCAATGCACAGATTGTCCGAAGTTGTACCCCATTACACCAACAGCTTCGCCTACACCCTCTCCCGCACCCGGCAAGAAGCGCAGAAGCGTCGCCCCTTTGACAAAAGAGCAGATCATAAGGCAGCGTGCTGAGTCGAGACGCCAAAACAGGGCGGCCGCTAAGCGTGCAGGAACTTTGAAGGAAGATGGGATAATGATAAGAGGTCGCTGGGTATCTACAGGTGCTTTGGTCAATGTCATCGAATGGCGATGTTTCTTATCATTTTTCAGCAACGCGAGAAGTCTCCAGCTCGATTGGCCCCACAACGGATGGTTCATCTGGTGTCGACAGCCAGGACATCCTTAACATTCCCAACATAGGCTTCGGTTCCTTCCAAGTATTTCCCGACCAGAACACGTACGCTCCCAATGACCCAAACCTTAACACCGTCCAAAACAAGATCAACTCGAGTCTTACGTGGATCCAGCAATCAGCTCAGTCTGCTGCTGCGTGAGTTCGAATTCGGCTCAGTCAATAACTAGCTTACATTCTTTTCAGCGTTGGGAAACCTGTTGTCCTCAACGCATTCGGTCTGGTCACCCAATCCAATTTGAACAGCTACGTCCCGTTCAACTTGACTTATGCTCCTTACGCATCCAGCACAGGTAATGTTGTCGCAGTTCAACGGTCGACAACCACGTACTCACGTTCTTATCCTCGCAGCGGTCACGGGTGTCACCGCAGCAGTCTTGGACGCCACTTCAACGACAGATTTTGCCGATGACACACAACAAGAACAGGGTTACAGCTCGTTTTTGCAGAGTGCGTGAATACAACAGTGACAATGTCCAATCATGCTAAGCTCTATTGCAGTGGGCAACAGCGCAGGATTGGCAGGCATCATGCAATACCAGGTCAATACTTTTCTTTCTCGTGATGTATTTGATTAACGCTCGTTCTAGTGGGGCTCGACCGGCATCACCCAATCAAGCACTGCTATCCAGTTAGACACAACCAACTCCGAGTCCCCAACACCAGGGACAACAACGGGAGAATCGCCCAACGATGGTTATTCTATGTACGCACTCCATTGTGATATCAATCGACTTGTTAGCTCACTGAATTTTCTAGTGCTAACAACACAGCCATTCAACAAATTTTGCAGCAGGGCGCGCAGGCGATGGCTGCAGATTCATGAGGACTGTTGATTCTTGTTTGCATTCATTGGTTTTTTTCTTTTGTATATCAGTTCTTTTTCTTCAAAGACACTCTGTTTTTTCATATCATGATCCTACGTGGCACAGACGATCGTAGAGCCGGACCATTTGTTTCTCGCATTTGATACGTACGTCCTTGGGGTCGGGGCGGATTCCATACCTTCTTGAATTCAGACGAGTTCAGATGCTGTATTGGTATTAAATACGTCGATATGGAATGTAAGTTAAGTGTTGTAATTTACAGCAGTTTGCGAAACTAATGGCACTGGCGTGTTGTGGGAAAATCACGACTGAGATTTGGGACTTAGTTTTTTTTTACCATTCTGTGTTACATAATGCCGCATCACACGGAGATCTTCATTTTGTTCTTTGGTGATTTTACGGAGCTTTTTGAGGGAGACGCCCGCACGATGGAGCTCACGGTGGGTGGTGGTGTAGTGGAGTGCAATGAAGCGGTTGCATAACATGAGTCGAGTGATCTCGTCGAGAAACCAATCTGGCCGGTGGTGGACCAGTTCCACGAGGTACTGAACATCCTCAAGATTCAGCTTCCTCGGACGACCTGTGAATTCACTCCGTGGTTTGACTACATCGCCGGTGTGCTGATAGAGCTTTCGGATGCGGAAGAATGTGCGTCTCGAGAAGCCGACGCAATCAAGGATTTCACGAAGACTAAGGATATCTTGCTCATACAGGCGAATGGCAGCGGGTTTGACGTCGGATGAGATCTTTCGGTTGACCATACTAGGTGTATTGTTGTCCGACGTGGTGCAATTGTTTGAATTTTTCTCTAAGTCTCAAAACGGTGAAAATTTTCAAAGTCCCAAATCCTCAACTATGACTTTCCCACAACATGCCAGTGCCATTATATACGCACACAGCTGTAACAGGTGAATCACCCAAATAGAGTCATAATCATAGTTTGTGCGCGTGATAATTATAAGTTGATATCTATTGAGGGAGCGCAGTAAGTTAGCACCAGCCCAGATTCACAGAAAAGAAAAGTCAAGTCCTAGTCAATCTGGTATGATAGTCCTGGATACTAGACGTGATTTCCGGATACTTGTTTCGCCTTTTCAGCTTCTCCATCACTAGACCGACATTCTTGCGAATCTCCCCAAGGTCAGCCGCTGAAATATCTTCCTGTTCTGCACATTCGACAATAGCAGGGAAAGCGGTGATACATTCAGCTTCATCATAAAGCTTCAAGTCCAATGCAGCCTGCCAGGCCGACTTGACAAGCGACGGGAACTGGTCGGCTGTCACTGCCTCAAACGCAGTTCCAGCTACATCTGGACTCGAAGAACGAACTCGCCCGAATATCGCAGCGAGATGGAAAGGGGCTGGTGAGTTTTCGTCGAGGTTGTTCAAGATAGAAATGCAGTATCCGATGTGTCGATCAGTGACTAGGCGTTTACACCACTCTGTGTTGGAAGTAAGAGCCATGATGAGCCGTAGGTAAGCGTCATCTCTCCAATAGTTGAAGTTGATATCGGGTTTGTCGTCTTCGCGACATCCAGCGGCACGAACAGGACAAATGGCCGTCAGAAGAGCAGGAGAGAATTTTGTGAGGAGTATCTGGCGTATATTCTCGTCTTCTATGGCGTCAATGTTGGCGAGTGCCAGTCGAGAGTCTGAAACAGCCCGTAAAGCTGCATAGCGAAGGCGACGAGGGCTGGATGAATCCATGGCAGATATGAGCGCGCGTATGTAAACAGCGTCTCGAGCACGGGTGCCAAGTCCCTTCATAGCGCTCAGTGCTAATAAAGCATCTCCCATTGCTGTGTGATCCTGGGAGCAAGACACGAGGTAGTCGACCAGCCAATCGAAATCAGCCGCCGTACGGCGATCGCCGGTCCACGTGAATTGGCCGCGCCAAATGATCGAGTCGTGGTCTGGACTGATGAATCCGTCCCCAGCTGCAGCAATCATCATGCGCAATGCAGTGCGTGCGTCTGCCCGACACCTCTCCCTCTCCCGGCCAGATAACGTTGACAGTTGGCAGGCAAAGGCCTTGCACTGGTCAAAGCTTCGTGGAAGAATGACGCTACGCCACTGATGCCAAATTCTCAACTGCTGAGAAGCAGTTCGGGTACTGGAATCATCTCCAATTGGCAGAACAGTCAGACACAAATGGTTTAAAGCTCGCCCACAGGCGACTGCTCTATCTTCTTCTGAGTGCCGGAGTCTCCCTTCAGCGTCGAAACAGGCTAAAAATGTGTCTCGAAGTCGTTGACAGTGAGACGTGATGTCTGAGTTCGGTGACCATGTCATGGTGGGAATGAGTGAAGCTGTGCTTGCAATGTCGTCTGGATCTGTGGATGTCGCAAGTACCCAACATATGGCAGATTCTGTTCTAGGGTCACCGGAAGGCTTGGGATTGAATAGTCGTTGTATGAGCCTTGAGATGGACGCTCTGATGCCGCGGAGGAAAGAGTGAAAGCTTGCGCGCAGCGTGTGCATGTCTTTGTCGTTGTTTTTAATAACCATGCTTACTGCCCACATGAATGCACCAGCCATGCGAAGTATTAAGGCAGCGGACGTTTGGAAGGGACAATCTGGGGATAAAAAGGATGCAAGGAGGGTGCACCAGTGGAAGAGGAAGCCGAGCACCGTGGTCGCAATGATGACGGATGTCATGGTCCGCTGCTGCGTCCACACGTACGAGGAGAGGGAAATTCCGAATAGCAATAACGAAATTTCTAAAAGGACCGGGAACGTTTGCAGCACGGCATCAAAATGCCACGCCTTGAGGCTGTCAAACTTTTGTTGTCTGCTCTTGCCCCGCTCCTCGAGGGATCCGCGCCCGAACCGTTTAAGCTTGTAGAAGCGAAGCCACTGCTTGCCCAAAACAGCTCCGAATGCCGCGAGAAGGCTGAATGAAAGGCTGGCATAAGCAAGAGTCTGGAACCATACTTGTCCTTTGGGATATGCAGGTGGGACGGGAAGTGGATAATTATCTGTGACAGGGGTCCCGTGGTTGTTCATTACCATCAACGTGATGATCTGCGTCAATAAAGCATTTGTAGTAGTAGCACCGCTAGGCCCCATAATGGCGATGAACGCCGTATTCACTGCAGAAAATAGGCCAGCCTAAAGACTAGTTATCACCCTGTTGCTAACGCGCGAGCTTATGGCTTACAAAAATCAGGATGATATCCATATCACCATCATAGTGCTCCAAAAACTCGTTGTCGTGTTGTGATGCGACTTTTTGGTATACCGTCCAGAATCGCGATCGCTCGTCATTTGCTCCCTTTTCCACAATGTTGGAATTTTGAAGAGTGTCGAGGATTTGCTGCAACAGCCTAAGCAGATTTTCAGCACGCGCACTGGAGGCCACCGGTCAAGCTGCTTACGGCTCAGGTAATTTGTCACTATCGAGCGTGGACTGAGCACTTGGCGAAGTAAACTTTGCATGCTGTGCAACAAAGGACTGAGATGATAGGCCCCGAACTCTAAGTTCAATTTCAGATGTGCTACAGGTACGTAAAACGCACACACTTACGGTCGAAATGTGCCATTTGCTCGAGGATAACGCATGTCGTTTGGTTCTCTGCATCCTGGTTAGCTACAGCGACATCGTGGAAGCAGGTAAACCCTACGAAAAATAAATGGTCCTACGGGCCCCTCTGTCAGGAACGAAAGCATCGGTGTCCATTGAATGATGACGGAAATTGCTGCGATCGTGTTAGTGTGTGGTCTTTTGAAGTAGCCCAATGTTGCGGCCCACCTTCAGATGCAGTAGCCTCGTTGTAGACAACGAGGCTACTATAGACGCGCCACAGTCAACCAGGCTCAACCACAGTGTATAAGATGCGATGATAACGCTCCGGTGAACATGGCTATGAATCTCATGACGCCTGCTGAGTTTTGTCGCTACCGAACACGCAGTGATCAGAACGATCTGCGGTGTGGAGTCACTGCTAAAAATAGAAACTACAATACGAAAGCAGCATGGTATAAGCACCGTATACCCTGCATTTGACGCCTTGAATTCGAATTGACAGCAATATACCAGCATTATCTTAATGACACAGCATGCTCATCGAAGCCGCAAGGCAGCCATATTGAATTGGCGCCATTCAGTGGAGACACAGCAGCGACTTGAATGAGAACGTCATGTTCTTGCGAAGGATGATCAGTATGCAATCTGCTGTGGTAGTTGGGTGGCGCTTTACTGACAGCTGGCACGACATGGGTAGTGCCTGCCTACCACTGAAAGCATAGCATTGTGGTCTGCCCATGTGTTTCGAGGATATGTCGTAATTCCGCGAACTTGTCTTGTCATCGTCTGATAGTTGTTGGAGAGTTCGTCCACAGCGTGGGGTTTCCAGTCACTGTCACACTAGACCGCAAACAGGCGGGCACGGTGACACTCCTTCCAAAGCGATTTACTCTAAGCTATTCCTCAGATTTCGCGCCTACAGAAAGTTATCCAATGAGCAGAACATCAAGGGGGTCGAGCCATTGTAAAAGTACATTCAACATCTTTGTTTTTGAAACTAGTGTTTATCATACCAGATGTCGTATTGCGTCTTCGCACCCTGAGGGACTCCAACCACACTGCCGTGTGGTACTTGATCCTTCGATATGGCCACTGCTCGATCTCTATCGACCCATCATCTAAGCGGATGACACTCCAGACACTCTCGTCGATGCGCACCAGCCGTACATTGGAAAAGACGTGGTCGATCACATTGATAACGGAACGTATCGGAAAGTTTGTCATACCAACAAACGTGAGAAGAGGAGGGACTCCGGGACGTAATTGCTATAATGAAACACATCAATGCTGCTGGCTCTTCTTGTTAATGACGGGCGTCCCCAACTCACGTTTACGAAAAGAAGAAAGTCCTCTGCGGGTGGTATCATAATCTCCATCGTGAGCGCACGAACACTCCGCGGAATAAGCCACCCTGCTAGCGAAGGAGAAAGATCTCTAGGATAAGTGATACAAAGACTGCGGAGGTTTATTAGGGAAGGTAGTACACCCCAAGCAGACGCGTCAAAACCAATGCGACGATGGTCCGCGCTAGGCACGATGAGGTGGAAGGAATGAAGATGTTTGCGATCTCTCAAGAATTCCGATATAGCGGGCACGAGGTCCCTGTCTGTGACATGCCGGTGCAGACTGACAATCTTGAGAGCAAAGTGCGTCAGAAACGGAAGTGAGGACCTATACAGGCGGAACGTCTCTGATGGAGTGCATTCCAGAACACCTGACAATGTCAGTGACTCCAGCTGGTGACCGGTGGACAAGATCTCTGAGAAGACCTGACTGTCTGCGGAAAAACAACCTTCGAACTCGATGATGGTCAAGTGGCGGATTGAGATGACATCCGTTGGAAATGTCCAGTTTGCGTTCTTGATGACCAGTGAGCGCAGGCTGTCGTGACTCTGTGATATAAAGTCGCGGGTAGACGTGCTATTCCCTCCCTCGGCTGTGACGGAGAAATGTGTGATGTGCTTGAATGGTGGGATGTTGATGTCCCCTGGACGATTAACGAGACTGTGTGGAGCGTGAACTTGCAGGCCATTTTTTAAAGGAAAGGAAGCACGAAACGACGCACTTAATGGATAAGCTATAAAGACGATGGTTTGAGGCACACATCGTTTCAAGCATACGGTTGATTAATTCATTGTTGCCCGAACAATGCGCACTGCGAAGGTTGCAGAGCTTAGGCAGAGAGTTGATTAACATTCCTAGAAGGGATTGAGACATGGTAGCATTGAAGAATGAGCACGAACCAGTCTGAAACGCCAACGTGTGCGACGTGTCCGAAACGACAGCATATACGCTTAAGCTTCTGACCTGCGAGGCAAAGACAGGATCTACGAGAATGCGGGTAAGAATATCCGCACTTCGCTGGTAGTGCCAGGCGTCGAGCTCCTGGTCATCGCGACCGCCATGGACACCCCTGCATCTGTCATCGGCTCTGGGGGTTCCGGCGACGCCGTAAAATGTAGATCGATCTCGCGGAAAATAAGCTGACTTGCGATACGAGAGAGTACATGTGGGATCGATAAAAGAGACTTGAGATCACGTTTGGGAAGATAGAGAGCAACCTCTCTCCAGACTTCCGCAGAAAACCGAGGCGGTCCATCAGGTTCCCTAATAAGCTTGACAGTATTTGCTAAAGGGCCATCATAAAAAGGTTGCTCAACTTACCATTTCTTGTCGTAGATGTTCAGATTGTATTATGGCTTTAACGTCCTGATTTGCGGGATCTGAAGATAGAACGGACAGCAAATCTGAAAGATAGTGATGTCAGTTGCACGGAGTCTAAGGGCATGCACGAATTTGACCTTGTTGTGCAGAAGTTCGGTACCCAGCTGCTAAACGGGTTTTGGCACGTAACAGGAGAGCTCTTGCAACATCTGGTGGTGGAACGCCCGAGACTTGGAGAAACGACTGAATAGCATTTTCCATGACAATTCGGGACCTTTGTGATGCACATCAAATTTAGATTTTATATAAGTAGAGTAATGGCAGAACACGTACCCTTCGGACGGCAGATGCTGCAAAGCGTGGAGCAGAACATCAGCCTTTTGAGTGTCGGATAGACATCCAGTCACATCGCGGATGCTGGCATCAAGAATGCGAGGATTAAAAACATTCATGAGGAGAGAATTTCCTTGGGACTATTGCTCCGTTAGTACGAGGTGAAAATAGAGGGCTTGAGTGCGGCCCAAAGGACTTTGTGTGGTAACTATGTTATACGCTCACTAGGTTTTTGTGGATCCAGAACCATCATGATGATCGCACGATGGTCTGAGAGTCTCGACCCGAGACGTTTTGGGACACTTTCCCAGCTATGTTCCAGAAGCGGATTGATCCAGACTTTGAAACTGCAACGCCGAATTCGACTCAGACGTGACTCAGGCCTTGGCGGTTAACTTCAGGAATGAGTTCCATCATATTGGTTGGTTCAACTTGGTACGTAATTACTTAGAGACTTGAGCGCTCGAACTCGTGACGGTTGGCACGTATTTGGTTAGATCTGATTAGTACCTGGCACTTGCTCGGCGCCCTACCATCTGCAACACTGCGCACGGAGCGCTCACTACGCGACATTGAACATTAAAAGGAGCTGCCGATCTGGTCCCTTACTATGTATATGACTTCATCTATCACTTAGACTCCATTGCTTCGACCTGCCAGCACGCCAAACATTGGACTTCGCACTCGGATTATAGGAAGTTAGTCTCTACTAATAGGAATGAAGTGCCATTTCAATTTTCAGTCCGAGTCTGGACCTTCACGCGCACGCGTGAAGATATCGAGGGAAGCGTTATCCAACTCAAGACACGCCTTAGACTAGATTCGCATGAGGATCTACTTGCGGTTCGGGAAAGGCATCTGTATGTGGTATTCCTACGTGTAATTTTGTGAATTGATATCTTGACAATGTCATAGACGTGCTCGTCAAGCGAAACTTCAAACTTCAAGCGCCACTGCATGTTTTGTCGGAAGGACAATCCCGGTCCTATGTCCTCGGCTGTTTGAACCTACTGCCCCGATGGACAGACCTTCGACCTTATTGGTGTCATAATTGTGTTGACATGGCTTTGAAGGTGTCGCAGACTCGCGCAGAAGGCAATGGTCATGCCGTACGCACACTTTGATTAGCGCCCAAAATGAGTAACAAGTATAAAAACTTCTGCACATGTAGACTCGAGCCCACAACTCTCCAGCACTCCACAATGTCGAACCATCAAGCGCTTATCGAAGCACTCTTGATGAAATCAATCCTTGGTCAAGAGCTAGTGGATACGAAGTTTCACATATTCTCAGGCCGCTCAGCACATCCACGTAAAGTCATCCGACTCCAAGCCTTGTCCGCCAACGACGTTGTTCTGACAGCGCGCTCCGAATTTTTTGCCCAACGTAAGTTTTTTCTTGTGAATATGGTGAGCGAGCTCATTAGAGTCGACAGTACTGTCCAGAGCGAGGTCCCCTGACGCCACATTTGTCGACTTCGATGGTGGCTCGCATTCGAGGATGGCATGACACTTGATGACTACGGATACGCATCTGACAGCGATCTTGAAGATGAAGAAGAGGTCAAAGCTAGTCAGACCCCTCCCAGTGATCTCAAGGGTGAGTGATTTAAAACAATATCAGCAACGTAATTCTCGATATTTCTCGCAAGGAAACACCAACGAATCAGATGATGACGATGATGATGATGATGACGACGACGACATGACGAAGATTTACTGGTTGTGGCGGACGCTAGGTCCGAAATCGACGCCCTAACCATCCCACTACAGGCAGCACCGCCCATCGCCCCAATTCAACATAAACCACGAGTCGTCAACTGCCGGAACATACTCGTGCGAGACACGGCCTTTAGGACGTAAGTTGCATGTCATCACAATCGTGGCGGGCCTTTAATTTCGTATATGCAGATTCAAAGCGCTCTTGCTGTATCTGTATACGGACAAGATCGTCTTTCTCTCCACTCAAGTCTCAGGGACCGTCCAGAACTGACGTGGAGACCCCAAAACCTAGCACTTCGTGGCCTTGCTCACCAAAGTCGATGTATCGTTTAGCCTCCATGGTTCAAGTAAATTTACCTGGTGTTCTCCACATATACTAATACACAATTGTCAGGTTCGACTCGACAGTCTTCGTGACCAAGCTTTGCGTGCAATACATCGTAGTTTGGATGCGGGGAATATTCTGCAAGAACTTTCTTCTCCATTTACATCCAAGTTGGTCATTTTTTGATCAGGCCATAGCAGTGTTAATCAGCTTTGCAGTGTCAGGTATGCCGCCATCTTGCAAATGAATGTAGAAGTCCTACTCCAGCATATCGCTTCCGTTCCTGTCATCCAGAATATCCCTTCGCTGCTCAGGAGGATTGCTGACTCGCAATTGCCCCATGGAGCAGACATTGTCATTGATCTGTACCAGAAATCTCTGCTGCGGTACCATCCTCGGGCGCTTGCACTTGCGAATATGCCGATCGAGAGCACGCCGCCTCCTCAGAGTACTACCGGTGACTTAAAATCCGGCAAAAGTAATAGCAAGAAGAAGAAGAAACAGTAGTGTCTAGTGTAAGTTTTCATTGTATATATTGTTTCTGAATCTCGCTGTCGATCTTGCTGTCGCAATAGATTAATTTATGGAGAATGTTAACTGCACGACACTCAGTCAGTCAAACACAGAAGGGTCACCTCCTTCGAAGATGGTTGCTATTAATTGATTCATCGTCTGGATGAACCTGCTCGAGTTTCTATGCATGAGATTGTAGACTTGTGACCAGCCCGCGGCAACCTGGTTCGAGGCTATCAAACCATTCAAGAAGGAAGGCAGTCAACGTCTCGCATATTTCCTCTTGAATGTTCTGGTACGGGGCACTACGATGGACCACACTTGAAATGAATGATCCAGATACGAAGCCAAGGTTGACCCGTCGAGCTCGGTCCCGCTGAACAGCGTCCATATCTTGGACTTGCATTTTGCTTTGCCCTCATAGATTCAGTGAGATCATGTATAGACCGATATAACTTACTCGAAGGTCCGTTGGGTGTTACGGGCCATTCCCATCGCTAACATTGCGACAACCACTCTCGTTTCGTCACACCCCCCACCAGTCAGGATATATAACGTCGCGTAGCGTGTAACTTGCTTACACTAATGAATCTGTATGTCAAGAATAATCATCACAACCTGAAAGGGAACGACTGTCTTCATGTAAAGTCGTTAGACGTTTCAGCCTGCCATATGGTGCAAGTATGGTGGCTAGCACCAGTAGAGATATTTTGCAACATTAAATAACTTACATACCACGACGATAACACTGCCCAGACCCGCACTATTCGAACACACAGTAAACAAGTACTACGACGAAACTTGAAATAAATACAAACGAATTCTCCTGCACTCTGCGGACTACCCGACAAGTGTACATTATATCGAAGATCTCCCGTGTTACACACTACTGCTGGTCGTCACATGGACGCGCTCCTGGAAAGCAATTGAAGTCATAGCGGTTGTTGTATCGGAGTCGGCTACGAGCTTGGCGTGATATTCTCGAACGTCAAGGATGAGGCGTGGTCCTAGCACAAATATTTGCACGAACACCAATATCTGAGCAAGACCAAGATAAGTCTGAGATTCCAGGGAGTATGGGTCCTAGAGAAATGACGAATTATGGCTGTATGCAGAGGTTAATGACAGATCAGCATACCGCTGAGAGTGTTGGAGAAAATAAACCGATATGGAAGCAAGCAATGGCAACAAAGCTAACACGTGCAGAACGTGAGTGGAAAAGGAGAGCCGAATTCAAATTATGAGCTCACCTTGCAAAGTAACTAACGTGGGTTTGCATTAATACCGTAAAACAGTCCTCGATAATACCTCTTGTTGAGCCTTTTCGCAGTTCACGGAAGTGCTTTACGGCAATCCAAACTGCGAGACACAGTGCAAGGACCTCCCATACAGTGCCAAGTATCCAAGTCATGGAACCCAGAAATAGAATTTTTCCTGTATAGTCAATAATGCACTGGTAAGTGCCGGAGAGAATGAGTTCCTCTGTGTCAATGAGCCTGATGCACTTAATTATCTCATCCATAATTAAATCTTACCCCCTGAATAGTGCATCATCGTGATTATGAGTATCCCTGCGTTGCTGATTCTGATGGCCAGAAAGATGACAACGAGAAATATCAGCACCTTTCTAGATCGCTGATACATGGCGTGTAACCGAACAATCATGATGACTTGCATGATGTTTCAGTCAAGTCAATATCATGGATGTGTATAGCTCACCGCCCAGTATTACATCTACAACTTCACTTATCCAATCAAGTGTGATGTTTATAATAAGGCCTGACAAATCCAGCAACATTGATTATCAGCCTCGGAGGACCACAGACTCGAGACAAACTCACAGCTGTGGGAGTTGTTATATTGAACCAACAGATTGCTTGAGAATCTCGTTCACCTCTGCATGGTAGTTCAGTTGTTTGGACGGGAATAGAAGGCATCGGTGTAGAATGCTCACTGCATCTGTCTCCGAAATTGTTGGAACACCGACTGTATGTCGCCTGTCATAAGAAAGAAACAGGGCCTGTGCGGGGGGACATACCCAACATGACCATCCTGATCGTGAGAGAATGAGCAACATCAATGGCTTAAACTTCCAAACGTACACAGCATATCCTATTCCAGCATAGCGCACCTAGGATATTTTGAAGTCAACAGGGGTTGGACTTGCTAAGCGTAAATATTAAAACACAAGGCACATACACTGAGATAGAGAAAAGTCATCAGGGACCAGCGTTGCCTCTGCCACAAACAAGTTGTATTTTCACGTCGTTCCTTTGATATGGGAGTCTACTCACCCATATCAGTTCAACCTGCAACACAATTCTAAGCGAGTTAGCTGCCTGGTAATGGATCGACCTACCTCTTGTCCAAACGTAAGTGCTGGAAAAACTGTAAAGATATCAACAGTTTTTCCATACTCAATTTTCCTCACCCCAATCGTACATTATCACAGCATAGCTAACAACTGCGAAATGGCAGCGAAGGTCAGTCACTGGTATCATACGGCTGACTCTCCACGAACCTACAAAATAGCTGCCAACGAGACTCGCATTGATGAGTGGCCACCAACTGGGATCATTCGAGACTAGGGTCATACTATTAGAGGATGGAGGTGAGCAAGCAGGGGAACTCAGTGGACGTACAATGATCGCGTTCGTGCTTGATATACCACAAGCCAGTGCTTACATCGCCGACGAAGTGTTTCAGCATAAATCCTAAAGTAGAAAAGGAATATGCATCCAGGGAAACCAATGGGATCAAAGTAACGGTTGTTGGTGAAATCGCAAAGCAGTGACTTGGACGGAATGTTTGAACGCCGCATGCAAAAGACCGGAGAACTGTTTGTCATTTCGGCAACGTGCCGTGGCGTTGCAGTGCGGTCTTCGAAGTATTCTTTTGGTATTCGGTATTCTTGCTACAGTCAAGTGACCTCGGCCCGTTAATAACGCCATGTGGCTCATTGATCCGACACAGACATCGTGGGACACATGTCACTGGTTTATACCTGTGTCACAATTGACAGTGTCTGCCACGACCTTACTTCTGAGTCATGTGCGCGTTGATTAGTACTAATGCGCTCAAAAGTACATACACGCACCAATACTATCAAATTCCCTGTAATAAAACACGATCGACATGTAGCGACGAGGGAAGTCGTGCAAAGACAGTAGGAGGTTGTACAGAGAAGGGGGAAAAGGCGCGGTTGTACAAAAGAGGAAAGGGTTGTTGTGCAAAGAAAGAAAGATCAAGTGATGTGGACAGGAACGGAGGTAATAGGAATGAAAGCGATGACGAATGGGCAGTGATGATACATGCTTGAATGCGAAGTTAATAAATATGTGATGACTCCAGTTTGGTGGTTCATAAGCAATGGATGCACTGGCGAATAGACAGATCAAGGTCGAGCTCGAGCTCGAGGAGCAAATAACCGGTTGGAAGAGGGAGAATTAGGGAAATCTCCCGTTCGTTGAAAAGTGAATTTCCTCCATCCATGAAAAAACCGCGTCCCAGGGAGATACAGAGACCGATATTGATGAGATAAAGAAACCGGAAAATAGGGTGTGAACTGCGCGTTTCGTGACACAAGTGAGAATGAGAGCTGAGGAGAACGAATGAGTGTGTAAGCGTGCATTATGACGCATAATAGCGAACGAATGAGCGGATGTGTGGGCATCCTAAGAAATAAAGGATAAAATATGGATTGCCAGGATATATAAAGTGAGGGACATGTGAGACATACCTTTGACGATCGGAAAACGAAAAAGACCGGTCAGGAGCGAAGGGATGAACGAGACGGGCAGAAGAAATAGGCGGGAGGTCAAAGTGTGGAGTGGAGGCGAATAGGACGAACAGAAATGAAAGCTCGCAAACAAAATATCGAAGCCAGGACAGTGTCAAAAAGGCGACAGCAAGAGAAGATTAAGAAAAATAAGCAACTTGTGGACGGTGAACAAAAAGACGCAAAGTAAGAAAAATGTCATACAGAAAATTGAGGAAAGAAAGAAATCAAAGGACTCGTCAGATGAAGGAGATAGAGCGATCGTGAAAACATAGAAGTAAATCCAACGTGACATACAAAAATGAAGTCAGAGGGGATGGAGCAATCAAAAATAAAGCATCAAAGATAAGATAAGAAACGTCTGCTCACACTGGACACCGGAGTTCAGGACCGAACCTCGAGGGGTTTCGCACGAGGTTGCGGTGGATGAGCCTTGGCTTCGTCTTCGGTTCCTGGATCCTTCTTCTTTGCCTTGGGTTTCGCCTTCGGCACGGACACAGGCAAGGCAGGTGTAAAGAGCGAGATGGTTGTTGCAGTAGTCTCTACGCTCACCATCGAAAATTCATTATCATTATCCGACAAGCTAGAGGAAACCTTGGGCAGTGAAAAAGCGCCCTGCCCGACTCGCGTTTCCTAGTCAGATCCTTGTGCACAGGCGATGTAGTAGTAATTTGCGTCGATGCCAAAACTGGCAGGGTCCGTCGTGTATGCACATCTGAGGACGCGATTAACGACCACGAAGGTTTCCTCGTACGGGGTTTCTTCGCACGTTGAGAACGTGCTTTCTCCTCTTCGTCAGAGGAGACGGATAGGGAAAGCATGTGTCCCTAGGCTGCCTGATATACATAGCTGCATGATTGTGGTGGTGGGTAACACTCGAGGTTTATATGGGGGTGTCTTTGGCAGGAGATTAGGAATAAAGCGGGGATTTTTTTTCATAGGACGTTGACACTCTTCGTTGACGGTGTCCTTGTATTAGCAGGCCGTATAGGGACTTTCTTGACCTTTATACCAACGGTAGCTGCGTCAGGATACCCTCCGCTACAGCGAAATTCGGTAGCCTTCAACAGATTCTCGCCGTCACCTTCCGGGTCCGCGCGCATGTCACAGAAGCTTGTGAGGGTCAACGTGGACGATTTATGCAGAAACGGGAATGCCAAAGGTAGAATTCGAATTCGAGGACGTAGTGGATTGCTCTGAGAGGCATTAAGTGTTGATGAGCTGGGTGCCGAGGGAGTAAGGGAATGTTCCGTTGGACGATGCAAATGAGCAGGACGTAGGTACAGGTGGTGGAAAGTGTGCTCGTGTCGTTACAGACGGTGCAAAAGGCTGAGTATAATGAGATAAGGGGACAGAGCGTAGGGAGGGACAAACCGAGCAATGCTCTCATCATGGTAGGTTGAAGTACATCTGGAAGTATCATTTCGTTCAGCACATTTGCTCAAATCTGCCGGATGATGTACATTGCCGTTGAGAAAGATGATGTCCTCGTCAATAATAAACTTCCACCGCTCCTCCATTGCTCTTGCACGGACCAGGTCGAGCAATTTAGCGCACGTCACGGTAACAGGATTGGGCTAGTCATTTGGGCCGTTGGCAGTAGTGTAATCTTGTCAAGAAGGTTCAGAGGTGGAATTGAGCCGTTGAAAGGCATAATAAGATGAGAAAGTAGCATATCCAAGGTCTCAGGCGAATTTTGAGTCAGTCACTTGACGAAAATCAAAATTCAACTCACCCTCCAAGCAACCTGACCTCATCCTCCTTCCACTCTGCGCTAAGGTCGTCAAAGTCATAGTTTGAGCTATTCCATAATTACAACTGTTCCTAGTTGGGGCTGGAGGCGAAATGAAAATATGAGACGCAACTGAGCCACGAGAAGGAGTCCGTAGAGCAGTAGAAACGAAAGAACTTGTTGAAAGATGCGGTCTGATAACTGAAGGAATACTAGGTGGAGCAGAGGGAGAAACAAGAGTGCTGAACGTTGAGTTGGACTTGGAGAACTTCGAATATGGCTCTGCAATGCATTGAGCACTGATGAACTAGGCATCGAGGGAGCACGTGAATGTCCTGTTGGACGACGCAAGTGAGCAGGGTGCTGGTGAACAGACTGTGGCCCTGGAAGCGGAATATTTATGCCTACCGTGAATGAGGGGGGATCCCATCGACCGATCTCAGGCTGATCAGTCACCATAACCAGTATTCAAACATTCATACTCTGCGCCTTTCCCAGCTATCGCTATTATACATTTCTGAGTGTGTTGCACGTCTCGTACATTTGAAATACCATCGCGATATGACATAACTCATTTAGTAATATACCTTATCATTAAAATAAAACCCAATGAATTCAACTGTAGAGCTCTTACATAATATTAATTTAAATGTCGCAGCGCTAAGTCCACACCTCCATCTGACCAGTACCGTGAACGAGTGTCAATTTTGCACCCTCGGAAACAAGGTAGGCCATACCCTAATTCTTGGGATCCTATCCGATTCGTGAGCGATTCCGAAAGTAAATAAATGATCTTTGTGCCAAACGCATGGTATTCCCAAGTAAGTCATGTTCTACTGCAACTAGCTACCGAGCTTCTTCATGACTCCGTACCCTAGTCTCATCCCCATTGACAATGGTGCATGCGGATCTGTTCGGATGGATCTCTTATCTACGGTCGTGGTCATGGTTTAGCTTGAATGACGCAGCAGAAAAGTGATCGATAGTGGCCAGCTATGTAGGTTGCAGACGTCTGATTCCATGTTTCTGATCGATCTTTTTCCGCAGTCACGTTATACTCTTCTCTACTTCTATTATTATATGGCGCCTGCCACTTGGTTCATCGGCGCTTCAACGTTTCAACGCTCAGTGGCAGGTATGCTCTTTGGATGTGTCTTTTATTCCTACTTAGGACAGCCATCATGCATCATGCACGCCCCTTAGATTGTTCATCGTTGAATCTGGGAGATTTCTAGGATAATGCGGACACTCACCCGGGATGGTCTTCACATAATGCAACGCCGTATTATCGCGATGAATACCCTTCGGTTTTCCAAACTTTCGAGAAGCCCGATGCCCTCCGGTTTCTGGTTTGATCGATAAGATACATATGTACTCTCTCACCTATTTAATCTTCCCTAGGGATTTTCATCCTCGTTATCTTCACATCCGAGTACTAATTACTGGACCAAATGGATGATCTTCAGTATTCTCTCGATCTTTTCAAACATCTAGGACGTCGCTCAGTCTTACCTTTGGTTTCGCGCCCTATTTCTACGATATGCCAAGCTGCAGCGACTGGCGACCTTCCTGACCTGAATAACGTTCAAGGCGACGCGATTTATCTCTTTCCTAAAGTAAATGACCCGTTCAATTAGCTCTTCTTTCAAGCATCCTCAAACATGTCCGCTGACGATTTATTTTAACAGAATGCCGAGAACTTCGTATTTTTCAGGATCAACAACGTAACATCGTTCAGAACTGCTCTGTGGTCCTTTAAGCCAACGACTGCGGAAGACGTGAAAAATAATCTTATCTCGATCGCTGTGGCAAAAGCAAACGCTCGTGATGCAAGCAGTGTCCCGACAGTCGATATCGCGCAATACCAGATTTCATTCAGCCGTGCCGGCCTGTATTTCCTCGGCGTGAACGAGGGCACTGGAGATGTTCGCTTCGATAAGCGCTGCATGAATGACGACAAGGAACTCATTGGCGATACAAAACAATGGGACCCTATGTTTGTCAAAGCAACACCTGACCCGGTGAACGGATCAGTGCGTAATGATACCGGAGCTCTGCATGGCGTCATCACTGTCGCCGGAAGTAGTGAGTACTTATTATTTTGAAGGAATTGACCTTCTTGATGCACGTTTGGTGAAGGCGCCGAGACTTGCACCAAAGCTTCACACGATGTCATAGACCTATTTGGCTCATCGATAACGGTTGCCGGCGGCAAGCCAGTGGAAGGAAGGGCTCGACCACCCCCCTACAAAGGGCATGAGCATTTCGGCTTTCGAGATGGGATCTCCCAACCTTGTCTACGGTGAGTATTTTCCAGACGTCGCGTTTGTACAATAGGACTTCAACATTCCATCAGGGGCCTCGTTATTCCTCGCGCTGGCCAGGTTCAAGTTGATCCTGGGGTGATTATAATGGGTTATCCAGGCGATCCTGTACGGGACAATCCGACTACCAAAGTGAAACGTCCGGCCTGGACCAAGGATGGGACGATTTTGGTATTCAGGAAGCTTGAGCAATCTGTTATCTCTTTCGAGGATTACGTGCAAAGGAATGGACCCCGTTGGCGCGAGTTCATTCCCGGAGGCGATATATCTCCTCCACTCAACAAACAAGAAGCTGAAGATCTCTTTGGGGCACGGTTTATTGGGAGGTGGAAATCGGTGCGATACAGCAACGCTCTTTACACTCGTGCATTGGGCTCATTGAACACACGTTTGTGACAGGGCGCACCCCTTGCTAAATGCCCCTTCCGCGACAACCAAAAAATGGCGCTTGACCCGGACCTCATCAATGACTTTGACTACGTCGTTCGCGATAACCCGAATATATCACAATATGAACCTAGTGATTATCACTGCCCATTCACTGCACACACGCGCAAGATCGCGCCACGTAATTTGAATCCTTTCATCGATGCTAAATTCCTCGGATCGGGTTCACTCGTACGTGCAGGGCTTCCGTATGGCGACGAGGTGAGAAAATTCAGACATTGTGCCATTATTGCTCCTCCTGATGTGTGCTGTCTCCTTCCCCCAGGTTACTGATCAAGAACGACGCGATGTAGCAAGCGGAAGCGATGAGTTACCTCGCGGGCTTCTGTTCAATTGCTATATGTCCGACTTGGACTCAGGATTCGTTCGTCATATGATTGGATACGCGAGAAATGATTACTGGCCCATGACGTCCCTGGTACCACAGAAGAAGGGTAACTAATTTAAAGAAGTCCTTCGCCTGTATGCCACTCTAACTAATAGATTCCAATTTCGGTTAGGTCAGGACCCTGTCATTGGTAGCCCGCCTGTGTACAGACCTGCTCAACTCGAAAGCACATCTCCCTTAGTAAATTCCGGGGATAAAGTCGACCTACAACTCGCCGATGCGGATGGTGCGGCGTTCGAGGTGTGCGGATTCGCTAAGGTTACCCCTAAGGGTGTGATTCCCCCACCTGGTGAACCAAACCCTTACTTCGTTAGTGCGAGGGGAGGAGAATACTTTTTTGTTCCTTCTGTCTCGACCTTGAAAAGTTGGGCTAGCGCAACCACTACTACGACGTAGGTTCTTCCTTCTTTCTGATGTCAATTCATTGATTGGTCTTTTCACCGGCAGCATTTTAGAAACTGCTGACGTCGACGCAACAGCCGAAGATGCCAGCAAGAATTTATATGGCCGTTTGTCATCCTCTGGTCAGGTTAACACCTTCACTGTTGAGGACATATACGTCGCGAATGAGCACGGTGACAAGAATGTTCAAATCTGTCTCAACGCAGAACAGATGGACGACAATACGACATCCCAGATCAAAGAGGTCAGTCTTCCGATTTCCGTTGGCCCTGCTAGATATGACAGCTGGTGCAGGTTACTGGTTTCCGTCTCAAACGCGAGTGCTGCCAGGGTGGGACACTGGCAATGAGTTCAAAGATACAGCCCGTTAGCCTCAGCCAGGTATGTAATTTTCTCTTGCTCTCCAGTGCTCAAGTGACGGTTATATTCCGTGACAGGTTGAAACAGTAGTGAGGATGTGTTTGGCGCGGGCGACGTGAACCTTTTGTTCACCAGGAAATGTTAATGCAATATTTGTCTCTTGTAATACCGTCCGATTTTCAATGTCTCAAGTGTCGAACAGTGATACAGCTGGCGACGTAGTAACTATTACGCTTAAGAAAACAACGCCTTGCTTCCTGACCGCTCCTTCCGAGATAATATGGTCACTGCTGCATCTTTCGAAGGACCAGTACGCATCGTTATACTCTCATTGATATCACCGATCGTTTGTATATGCATGAGTTCACTGTATATCCAATGTACAGTCTCCCGTGGAGCTATAAACTGAACCATGGTCATCTGATGATCTGCCACCTCCAGCAGCTCATGTATGTATTCACATCCCTCTACAATATCCCTCCACGATTCATTCGCTCGTTATTCTCCCGATGTCAGCCTCTTGTACCGATCGTCCTGGCCGTATTCGTATTATAAAAAGGCTGTTGGTCGAATGCGTTTGTTGCTTTACAGGTGATTCCCACCATTCAAGTTGTGCCGGACTATGGTGAACTCTGATTCTCCTATATCTCTGAAAGACGAGACCAGCGCGGCATAGTGAGCATGTTATCCAGTATCTACAACATTGTTTCTGTCATGAGACATAGATGGTCGTGATGACGAGTTACCTACCTCCCGATGCATAAGGTTTTCATTCTTCTGCGAAATCCTGCGGGCCTGATGCAATTGGACTAAAAGAATTTTAGTGTACCTGCTCACTTCATGTGACGGAGTACGAGTCCGAATCACCCCACCCAAGTATATTACCCCCATCACGCACAACAGAAAGCTTATGACGAGACTATGTCCAACATAGGGTCTACGACCCCAAAGGGCCCCACTCTGAAGCAAAAAAAAAAAGAATTTTAGTCGAACGTAAGGGATATGCTACCTGCGAGAAGCCCTTGCTGAAGATGGACACCCCGCGAGTGACTGTACTGTGCCATTCCAGGACGGTACCGAACACGTCGAATAAGCAGGCGTCAATTCGCGGAGGTCAAGTCCTTTGGTATTCGTCATGGTCGAACTCGCTGGTGTTTACAAGGGATGAGGTTACATGGCAGCATCAGGTGTTACCCTTCGGATGTCCGTCCCGGGAACTTCACTGATGGCTGACCCTGCAATCACTGCAGTGCGAGCGCGGGTCGTCGAAAACATGTCAATTGAATTGACGTTGTCTGTAACAGCATACGATGTCATTCATCCGAGAAAAAACCTGCGCTCCTAAATAGTTGCACCGACATATCTGAGTTTCATTCCACAAGACAGACGACATGGCACAGCAAAAGACGTACACGATGTCGAATTCAGTGTCGCATACCTGTACAGAGTCTCTCCTTTGTAAGTACTAAGCAGCATCACACGCGCGCTCTGGCGTAGAGTTCGCCGCTCAGGCTCATGTATATCATTCACACGTACTAGCAAGGCAGGAAAACCGTTATTGGCGATGAGCATCAGGAGATGTAGGAATACCAAAACTGAATTCAGGCAAGTTTGAGGTGTCATCGAAGAGCCACGAACAAAATTTGATTATGCAAAATGCAAAATTGTCCGGATTCTCTGGAAGGACTGAGCAGGGGAAAGCGCGTAGCAAGATGCAGAGAAAGTGCAATCACCATAACAATCTAAAATCGCATGTGTTAGCGCATAGAATCAAAATCGAAGAATTGGATATCACATACCAGAGGGTGTCAGTGTTATCCTATGCCAAAGCTTGTAAGTTGCGAAAACACTAGGGACTGACCTTAGCCTACATATGCCTCCAAGTGTACTTCACTCACTGAGGACCCTGTGTGCCGAGATCCACAGTGGTAAATCAAGGGTCGTGCTTACATCCGACAGAAGTATGAGCTTTGTGATCGCATGTCATTCATGTGATTGATACAGGGACGGCGACGGGAACTAAACCGAGGGGTGTAGTGGCCACGCATTAAGATATAGGTGTTAACGCTGTGGCGCATGTGACAAGCATTAAAATGAACATCGAAACATCAAAAGATATATCTGCGCAATTCAGAAGCAGCCACATAACTAGCTGCCTCCATGCTCTCCGGGGGTAAGCTGCCCTGTGTGTATCAGTTGAATCAGTTCAGCGGAGGACGGGAAGAAAGATAGTCCTCACCGCCTAACTAGCCCTCATTAGTGTTGTGAGTACCCGCTGCAGTGTTGCGCTATAAATGGATGCATTAAACCCGGAACATAGTAGGAAAAAATCGAGCAAACGCACTTCTTTACCATGCGCGAGAGGAACATTGATAATGGGCGGCAATACAAGACCTGCACTAGTGAACCATAGGTGGCGTGTGCGGGCGTTGAATACAATAGCAGATGATTAGGCGGTGGGTTGTCGAGACTGAAAAAATGTAAGTGAGAATGCGATGACGGCAGTCGACACTTACGTTCTGGTGGGGATGGATATCTGGCGCCTGAGTCACAGCATGCGCAGAGGCAGAGCGATTGGGGGGTGTGGTTGACGTCGCAGGGAACTGTCAAGTCGACATCAAAAGAAACTGGGACGGGTAGATCAACTTCGCACATCCAGAGGATCACAAGGCTGGTCGTTCTGAATAGTAGGAACAGCTACGTTTGGGCGAGAGGAGGAGGGAATGAGTCTGCAAATGTGACATAGAAGAAGGCAAGCCTGGGCAAATTTATCCAACAAAATTCATGGTGCAAGGTTGATAGTAGCCTCAATGCACTCGAAAACTGAATTTGCTAGAGCGGATGCATTACATAATCTCAATTCACAAGCTCCGACTCCGAGTCGACGAGTTATTTGTTTGTTCAACATGATGTAGTAGTCTCTTCATTATGAGAAGTCATGAAGTAAAATGCAGCTATAGCATGATGGTTTTATGGCATGATCTGCTAACCAGCAGCCTGCGTCCCACTGCTTACGGAGATATCAACGATCATCATTGAGGTATCCGATTATATCATTTGTTTCAATCGTACTCACTTACCGTCAGTCATGCAGAAAGCTCTCTGTCGGACGAAAGAGATTAGGATGAGCACGGGGATTGCGCTACCACGGACAATCCTTCTCCCCCGATCTAGATGAGGCGACCAAAGAATACAGCGCAGTCTTGGGCCCTAAGCTAACTCACCAAAGGTTAGCCTGTTTTATCGATATCAATCCTCGTTCACACCGCATCGATGATTGAGCACAGGATGTATCATGTGAATTTTTACCACCATCCTCGCCTCTCAATGCACATCTCCATCAGATGTCTACATTCTATTAAACTCCTCAGACTTCATATCGCACGATCTCAGTGTCAACACGGTCTTTGATGGATGTCAAAGCGATCTCTCGAATCCATCCCCGTATCGACTCGCGCTTGTGCTGCGGAGATGTTCGCAAAGGACGTCTCATAGGTACGTGCTAATTTGCTCAAACAAGACCGATGACGCTTATGTCATGCAGGAATATCATAACGCGATTTGAATTCTACCGTTTCATGAACGACCCCCAAACACAGCAAAAGATTGTAGAGACGCATTAGTGTTTCTGGGAGGAAAGGATCAAGTCCAAATGGCAAAACCGTACGTGTTATACCTCCGTCGCAGTTCCTACGCTCGTTTCACGTATGAAGATATCTTTGACGTGTTGATGATACGTGATCTGTCTCGGGGGCACGTCCTAGACTTCAACTCATATGCATCCCGAACAGATCCCTTCCTCTTCACGTACGAAGAGCTCTTGTCAGTCTTCACACAGGGGTTGAGTTCGTCTAAGCTCCATATCGTCAACTCACCTTTACACCCGACCGCAATATGCAATGTACCAGGATAGAATGGGCAAGCCGTATAGGGATAGAACGTAGTGAAGAGAAGCTTGTTGTATGCCCCATTGTAGTCATTTTCATTGGTCGTATCAGCTGGAATATAAGCAAATGTATCAAGCACATGCTCCCAACGAGGCAACATTATTGACAAAAGAAGAAATATCGTAGGCAAACTGGATACGTGATTGTTGTTGTGGTTGAGCATTGGATAGAACGTAGTGCAGAGAAGTTTGAAGTATGCCCCATTGTAGTCATTTTCATTGGTCGTATCAGCTTGTTCGGCAGACGACCTGGACTGTGAGCAATAAACCGGTCCAATGACATTCAGGCGCGTCGAAACGAGTATCAATCAGGCATGATGTACGATCCGCGTGGGGTCGAATGACCACAGCTTCAAAGAAGAGTCTTTGACATATGGAAGTGGTCGGTGCCTTGACACTGCGATCACATTTTGGCTCTCAGAATCCGACTCTTGGTCTGTTGAATCCCCGTCGGAACTATTAGAATCACCCTCCCCCATGTCCTCATCAAAATGGCGTGAGCCTGATGCTGACAGAAGATTAGAATGTAAGGGCTGAAATGCCACGCAGCCAACCACGTCTTCGGTCACAAAGATCAGTTATAAAGGGATGAACGCGGGTGTTCGGTATACTTGCCTCTGTGTGCATTGAAAGTCATCTCTGGGCGATATTTTGCGGCGAAATCACTGATGACTGTTCAGGATCCAGTTCGTCCGAATCTCCAAGATCAAACATCGAAACACATCCATTCTATAACCAGATTGTTAGCCAGAAAGTTTGAATGGCGGATATCTGTGAAAGTCGAGTACCTGATCACCGACGCTTAACCATCTCCCAGCGCAATCTATGTCGAATTCGATTTTTTGATTGGTTAAGGTTTTGCAAGAATCAGGGGACGTCCTGAAAACTTTCACGGGTACAGACGTATCGCTGCGAAGGTCCCATGCATATATAGCATCGTGTCGACGAAATGCAGCATACAAAATATGCGGTTTTGTCGGGTTAAACTTCAGCTGTGGGGAATGAGATAAGCTCTACCACTACTTCTCCAGGCGACATGCCTGCGTGACTCCGGATTGAGAATATGCGCCTCCGATAGGCATGATAGCTGCTTGATTTGACTCCGAATACAGCGCAATATTATCCATTGCTTGTAAGGAAGGTGTTAGGCTGCCGATTGCGTAGTAGTCATAAGAGGAGGAGAAAGCTATGCTGGATATGATACCTGAAATTGGATCAACATTCATACGATCTGGTAAATCTAATATCTTGCCTTTGAGGCCATCCTTGCTCTTCTTGGAAGGCGTGGTCGGGAGCCGATCGCCCTCCCCAGGTTGTTGTATGTCGAATATCTCGATGGCATCCTCGAAACCGCAGTAGAGCCTTGATGTGGATGATGATGATGATGATCAAATACAAACGGAGTTTTCATGACAGGCTTACTTGTCGGCTGTTAAGTTGAACGCGAGACTATGAGGAGCGATGAACCTCTCACGATGATCGATAATCGGGTACGAGGCCCTCAGCTAGTAGGGTCGATCAGCGGTCCGACAAAAACGTATATGAGCACTACCCTTCCATCCGAAGCGTCCAAAAGCTTCAGTGGACAGTCACGCACAGAAGCGACGAAACAGTAAGCTGGAGCATTGTTAGATGATGCCCCTGGATACCAAGCAAAATTGACGACCGCTGAGGGCTGTGAGAATGTACGCTTATGCTGAGCGGAGAACTGTGTGCCTTCAGGATGCTTTGATAGGTGAAAGGATAAATTATGCGCAATACGACTGACCTTGAATGTCTGAACTTCAGGATTTATATCTGAGATTGTAGATGATGACTCGGACAACAACGATGCTTACAAACTAAACAGCTGAAATGCTCTGTTTTCGCACTGGACGAGGAAGCTGGATCCATCTGCACACCTTCAGTGTTTTGATGTTCGAATGGTGCTCAAAGTAGTTGACTGAAAGACGTACCACCTGGCGCAACGAGCGAAGTTGTCTGCGAAATCAGGATCCACGTCCAGATTGTTTGTTAGGACAAGATCTGGAGGGTAGGAGACGTCAAGCTGAGCAGGCTTCCACTCCATCTTGTCATTCGCTGAGCCGCAACTACTAGTAGTGAGTGGTTTGCCTTGTCAAATGAAAGCTTGGCACTGAGTGAGTTTTACATAATCATGTACATTTTGCGTCCAACTTCAAGTTGACTCGAAGCTTTGGCAAGGACCCATTCAAATAAATGTCGATCTTCGAGCGCATGTACTCTTTCTTCACCTTTGAGCAAAGAGTATATAGAGCTCCAGGACAGTCATTCGGGCTTCTGCTCGTATAGGATTCGGACTACATATCTTGATTCTTGTCTTCAAGTCAATGGCTCAAACAATTGGGCGACCTTCAATTTGCTTCATAAACATGGTCCATGCTATCACGGACGTCGCAAAGTATCAACTAGTGCTATCCTTGGTGAAGACTGTGAAGTTCACCCTGCTCAGCTCTGCGCCATCGAGTCGAGGTACGAGTCACTCCCGGTGTGTCTAAGCGGCGAAGTTAATATCATCCATCATTCTTAGACGACATGATGGCCAATCGATTCAAGCTAACCCACAGGATGAACGATCGTATTTCTACTATTAGGCTGTGAGGGCAAACCGGCATTCTTTGAGTTCTATATGCCTGTGTACTTTGATCCCGACTTACTAGTGATTTGCAGCCAATTCTCATTTTCAGTAGAGACGATATCAAGCAATACTTATGCTAATACCTGTGAAACATATTTTCACGTTAAGTTTCGATCAGGATCGGAGAGAACAGAATATCATGGAGTCAATCTCAATTCGTCGGTTGATGCTGCCGTGATGATCCAGGTTGAGACTGTTTGGAGTCGTACCAGAGGACATGTTAACGCTTCAAAACTTAGCCGCAGGTAAAACGCTTGATTTAAATTTGTCGAGCGGACTGGTTGACTCTTGAATCAACAGCTTGAAACCTTCAAAGTTACTCTAAGTTAGCGTTGCAGAAGGACACACAGAAGCCTTGTCAATGTGCCCAGCTGCTTTGTGCTCGTGCTAGTACTGGCGACGCACATTAATAACGGGCCTCCATCTCCTCAGCGTGCTCGAAATTTGAAATGCATGTTCGCCATCATTTTCTTTTGCACGTGATCATCTCGAGCTCCGATTTCATATTTTCATTTTAGTTATCTACCGCGAAGCTTAAGGCAATCGCATCTCTGGCACCAGAATACTCTACTCTGGCTTCCTTACCTTCTCGATATGTATTTCCCCTCCCAGAGATATCCACGCTTGTAATGATAGACAGCGGAAATTGATGACGGCAACTCAGAAGCCATTTCAGGGAAGAATTGAACCTCTTGCAATTGCCGTCCGTTTTGGACTGTAGTACAAGCGGCCAAAAGCAAGCATTTCAATGGTTCGGTAAGAGGCAACATATCGGATGGCTTGATAGTGATATCTATTGCAATAGCGTCGGTATTCTTACCCGGTCTTCCTATACGGCTCTCGGACCCTTGTGCTTCGGCGACCAAAGATCCTCAAGTGCTCGGTCCGTGCTTAATCTTCACCTCTTCGATTTTCTTTCAGGCACAGATCACCACTGCAAGCCGTATCCTGCCGTATCCAAGGAAAGTGCTGATCCTTGTGACACATGGCACGGTTGTTTTTAATCAGGGCCGCGGCAAGGCGCAGTTCATTGTATCACGGAGGAAATCTTGATACATCAACCGCAAATGATTATCAGCGTTATTCCCTCCAGCTTGCACTAGTATTGAAGGCGAACTTAATGACTTGAAAGAGTTGTGGACGCAATGGCCAATCTTTCTAGCGAATTGCCTGGCGGTGATCTGCTGCGGCGGAAGAGAGCTGCGAACCAGCAGCTTGGAATATTCCTCAATTTATTCAAATTCCTACAGAAGTTTATTCGTACCTGCTGCGCTCGACGCGATGTCAATGCCACTACGAACGGACCTCGATCTCTTCATCCTTTCATTCAGACAATGGAGCTGTTGCCGTGACTTGACGCAACACACTAATGCCGCCTCATTAAAAATATTAATGCACGCCTACACTTCTTCTGTTCCCCTTCGCATATATTATGTTTTGCACGTAAACGTCTCGAGCTCCGATGTCGTCTTTCATCTCAGTTATCTAAAATCCCAAAGGCAATCGCATCTCTGGTACGATAACAACTCTACTCCTCTGCACTTTCTCAATTCGGCTTTCCCCTCCTAGAGATCTCAACGCTTGTTACGAATGAAGAAAGTGATAACGGCGTCTTGGGCGCATGCAGACGTTCAAATTCAGAACGGAATAGGACATGCGATCGACGTTAACGATGTGTCTGATTGGACCTTGCCTTCGGCAAATACTTATGGGTTCACATGAGGCATGATATTTCATGTATTCTTGGTCTTAATTCTAAATTAGTGATCTCTGCGTAATGGCTGCAGGGTCGGGCTCGAGAAGGCACTCGAATATGTTTCGATTCTGCAAGACGTTGAGACTCAGGGCCTGTAAAATGGAACCAATACTAATGACTATCTCTCGACGTAAAATACTCGACCGTTCAGGGATTTTGCGAATAGGGACTTTCCGAACGCATCACCCATTATCTTTTCCATCTCCGAATGTATTGGAATACAGCTCGTCGCGGTTACGAAGAAGTCGCTACGGAGGGGTTACTTGGTTTTGAGGTCTCTTCTTGTCTGCTTCGTGATAATTGATCATCATTGAATAGACCGTCATGTGCTATTACCCGGAATCAATGTCCCTACCCGGCTCACGCTTCTCGTCCAACTTTCGAAGAAATCCCTCATAGATAGATGGATAGAATGTTATTGGCCACCAACTTCATCCAATGGAACAAGGTACGAGGTGCGAATAATATCGATCCGGTACTCCAACGATCAAAGTTCTCCTCAGTGGACGTCGTCATTCTTGTACTCGAGATCCAGTTAGTATGACGGAGAGGTTATCACCTAGCACGGAGGGGGTGACTCGGGAATCTTTTATTTTACAAGCCAACTCCAGGTCGATCCGCTCGCTGCTGCCAGACTCAGGCTGGTAAATGTTGACCGAATCTTGATCTCGTTTTATCGTTTGGAAAGTAATCGATAGTGGCTATGCTCTGGTCTGGGCCATGATATCGAAGGAACGACTATCTTTCTCTTTTGGTCGGACTGGTGGGGGAGGCTATCAATAGGTCTGGACTGGTCTAGGTTGTACATTGTTCTTCTGCAGTCTCCTCATATACTTAACTCTGAGACCATCACGCATCGGACTCAGAGGCGATAAAAATTTCGATTAGTTTGGGATCACTGATCGGGTGAGAAATTAGAATTACTATGTCAGAAAGCACCATTTCAGGTGGAGATGGCAAAGGAGGATTCGTTTTTCTGGTTGCTGCCCTTCCAGCTCTATGATACGTACATATGTGAGTGAGCGAGACTCGAGGACCCGAAGCTTTCGGGTCTAACTGATAGCTAATGAGCATTTCGAGGTTAATTTGGCGTCTACACAAAGTACATAGTATCATAGCTCCGCAGACCCTAAGCCTTCAATTCAATGATATTCGCCATGGTGTTACAAAATTCCAGCTTAGTACATGTCGGTATCCGTGAAAACAGCATGGTCTTTAAGTTCACAATTCTCTCACAAGACACTTCTGAACGACAGTCTCGACCTTGTAAAAAGGGGTCACTACAAACTTTGATACGAATGAGGCGAAAATCACCTGAGCCAAGCTGATCGGCTGCGTCTCTATAGCAGCTAATTGCCCTACCCCAGGAGTCTGGTACTTTGCGAGAATATGATTGCCTTCAACCTGGATGGAGTTATAAAAATTAAAAAATACAAGATTCATCGAAATTTCACCTCCTGAATATTCATCTTCGCTTCGTCAAGATTCTCAGCATCAAACCATATGTCGGCATTCCGATCTCCTTGCGTACGCTGTTCGTACATATTATCGACAACGAGGGTGCTGTGTTGGATGCTTGCAGCCACGAATTTCCTGTGTAGCTTCAGAGAAATTTCGCTGGCGTTCATCTTCTGATCGTTCGCCATGCTGCGAACTTCAGCCTGATGCTTGGCTACGTAAATCTCGCTGTCGACTGCTTCTAAGGCGGAACCAGCGATGAGAGTGGGCAGCACGCTGAGATCGCCGAGGTTGACCACTCTCCCACTGTCACAAATAGTTAATATATGAATATATGACCGAAGCTGTGATCGTTTTACCCGGTTTTCTTAACCAATCCTTGGTAGAAAGCACGTGCTCTCTGCGTAATCAATAACGCATCTGACGCAGCAGCATAAAGAGAATGATCACACCTTGTAATTGTGGCTCAGAGCAGGCTCGCACGCAATCACATACTGCGTTTACGTGAAGCTCTAGCACGAGACGTGGAATATTGGACATACCAGAGTGATGCCAGCTTTTCCCATGCTCGCCGCAACACGGAGCGGGTCAATTTCTGATTTGGCATTAGTGGCTGATCCAATACGACTGAACAAAAGTATGATTTACGAAGCGGACACCCCTCAGGGAAGGCGTCTCCGTCCTCTCCAATTCCATGCGGGGGTGAATCAGTAATCAGCACCACAACCTTTGTCGCTTCGTCCCTCCAGTCAGCCTTGTAGGCAGCGGACAAAGCATCGCTCTGAGAATCAGGTTCATCTCCACCGCCTGCCGCTGTTAAGCTGGTTAAGTTAGACGCAAAATTTCCAAAATCGGACGTGAAAGGATATTCCTGGATGATGAAGCTGTGTTCTTGAGGAGGATGGTCGCGGAAGGCAATAAGACCAAGTCTGAGATTGTCTGGAGCGATTTTCCCCCCAGATAAAAGTGTATTGCAAATCTGGGTGATCCCGTTGCGCGCAGTGTCGATATACTGCTGTTGACTCCCTGTAGCGTCTTGGAGGAACATGATATCCCTGAGTCAAATTTACGATCAGCGCCATGCAACTTCCACGCAACAAAGCGACTCTCACAGCGACGCGTTGGTGCGATACACCCCATTGGAAGTAGAATTGGGCTGGTAGATCATTGTGTGAAGTGCAGTGGACAGATTCGAGGAAGAAATGTGAACAAGCTTGACTGTTGAGTGAGTCGCGAGAACCTTTAAATACGAAGGGCAGATGCATATGTCCAACATAGGGTCACTGCCAGTGACCCCAAAGGACTCAATCTCCCGCCGTGTATAGGGCTATGTCCTACATAGTGTCTACGACTCCAAAGAACAATAAATTGGATGTTTTTTTTTGTTAAAAAAAGGAAACCTTTACATAAATGCCGTTGACACTGTCTCTGAACAGCGAAAATTAAACGAGTCTTTTTGGATGTTGGGTTACTAGGCAGGCGTCGCCATGGGGCTTGGTATTTCCGACAATGAGAACTGGGATTACGTGTCATACACGGGCATTGAGGCCTCTAGGTTGGAAGTCCAACAGACAAGGCGAGAGCTGACGTCAAGATGTGACTCAACCTCCCTTCTAAGATGATCGATGATCTTGTAGTAATATGAGTGATGAGCACTAGTACTTATTTGTCGTAAATATTTTGTGTGATGCAAGTTACAGCTAGCTCACCGGGCGGAGGTCGACAGCTCATGATAACTTCGAGAAACGAAAGGGATATGATTCAAACAGATCTGGACTCCGCGTGAGCACAATATGCTCCCAGACAAGATTGTCCTGCGATTAGGGCGCGTGAGCGGGGGCTGTACTGGCGCAAGCGGCGAGACGCGAGCATTTTGATGGTCCGGTCAGAGAAAACATATCGCCGTGCCTATAGTGATATCTATTGCAATAGTGTCAGTATTCTTACCTAGTCTTCCTATGCGGCTCTCCGACCCTTGTGTTTCGGCGACCAAAGATTCAAGTGCTCGGTCCGTGCTTAATCTTCACCTCTTCAGTTTTCTTTCAGGCACAGATCATCACGGTGAGCCGTATCCTGTCGTATCCGCTGATCCTTGTGGCACATGACACGATTGGTTTTAATCAGGACCGCAAGGTGCATCGTGGAGGAAATCAATCGCAGATCAATATCAGCGCCGTTCTCTCCAGGATGCAATAGTAAAGGCGAACTCGATGACTTGAAAGAGTTGTGGACGGCAGTGGCGGTGATCTGTTGCGGCGGAAGAGAGCCGCAAACCAGCAGCTTGGAATACTCAATTTGTTCAAAGTCTTACTCGTACCTTCTACGCTCGACGTGATGTCAATATTAATGATACCACACGATCGCGAGCGGACTTGAATCTCTTCAACCTTTCATCCGGACGGCGCAGCTGTCACTTGACGCTCAACACTAATGCCGCCTCGTTGAAATATGATGCATTCCTACCAAATCCTATCATATGCTTCTTCTCCCCTCTCGTCTTTCATCTCAGTTATCGAGAAGGTGATCAGCATCTCTAGTGCGACGCTAACTCTACTCTACACTTTCTCAATTCGTCTTTCCCCTCACAGATCTCAAACTGTCAACGCTTGTTATGAAAAAAAAAAGATAACGGCGTCTTGGGCGTACGCAGACGTTCAAATTCAGAACAGAATAGAACATGCGATCGACGTCAACGATGCGTCTGATTGGACCTTGCCTTCGGCTAATACTTTTGGGTTCACATGAGGCATGATATTCATTTTCCTTTTGCATTCTTGGTCTAAACTTTAAATTAGCGAGCTTAATGGCTCCAGGGTCGTGCTCGAGAAGGCGCTCGACCATAACTCAATTCTGCAAGATGTTGAGGCTCCCTGTATTGAAATGGAACCAACGACCAGGTACCTCTGTCGACGTAAAATACCAGGGATTTTGCGAATAGGAACTTTCCGAACGCATCTAGAATCTCCATCTCCAATTGTATTGAAATTTAGTTCGTCGCGGTTACGAGGAAATCCCCATGGAGGGGTCGCTTGGTTTTGAGGTCTCTTCTTGCCTGCTTTGTGATAATTGATCATCATTGAATAGATCGTCATGTGTTATTTCTCGGACTCAATCTAGAACTAGCTTGTCCTTACCCGGCTCACGCTTCTCCAAAGAAAGGCTCTTGATAGATAGATAGAATGTTCTTTAACTACCAACCCCATCCAATAGAACAAGGTACGAGGTGCGCATCATATCGATCCGGTACCCCAACGATCGAAATTCTCCCCAGTGGACGTCGCCGTTCTCGAGATCCCCGCCTGCTTAGACTGCTGAGCGTTGACAAACACTTCAACTTGTATTTGTCCAATCTCCAATCGCCCGGACCGGTTGCATGCGAGGTTCAATGTTTGACCGTGACCTCCGTGATGAACACAGCCAGACGCGCGTGCGTTCCTCTATTCGCAGTTGGTCGTACATACTTTTTTCAGTTCTGTAATGTCTTAGTTGCGTCGGCGGAGGGCAACTCGTGTACTCTGAATTTGGTATACCCCTGGAATGAGAATTGAAGGGTGAACGTGTGCCGTACTGATTCGTCGCTTCAAGGTAATGCACTGTTACAGAAACATTAACCACCACCACAAGATTGGCGTACCTGAAACGATAAGCCCGTCTAGAACACCAACTCCACAAAACGATAGAGGCACGAGAACCTCCCAAACTGCCAAGCTTACCACCAGCCTGCGCTCAAACTAAAACCAGTAGATAGATATAACCATCTCCATTGGGGGGCTTGATCCGCGAAGCCCTTCGCGATGTTATGTACGTAGGTCGTAAGTGAGTAAGTATACAAACGACGACTGATGAAAAACTGCTAAACGAGGAGTTATCTTCCAAAAATATATCCGGGTGGGAAGCTGGTGGGTTTGGAAGACGGCGGCAATCTCCAGGATGGAGGGTAGAGAAACGAGGGCGAAAGAGTACAATGGAGCGGGTAAAAGAGAGAAACGTAAGGAAAGGAATACAAGGAAGTGGGAGAGTACGTGGTACAATGAAACAGATTGACTGGTGAACCCTGATCCCAAGTCACTAACAAAGCCAACGAGACTCGCGTGTGGAGTCGATTACAATGTAGAAAGCACCGATACACAATGGAGATGAATTGCGTGAAACTGGAATGACTCTATGAGTCTAAGCTGCGCGAGCGCCTTGAGCGAGCGTGCCGGAGTGTAGATGGCGAGATACAAAGATGATGAGAGAAAATGATTGCAAGATGGATGACGACGGTAGGAACCAAGGTCAACGAGAAAACACGAGCAAAGGAAGGCCATGTGATGTGTAAACTCTACGTTTGCAAATGGAGAAATTAGACGAGCGAGAAATATCGTGAGATGGCGTGGGATCATGTCAATGCGTTCAAAGAGTCGTGCGTCGGATGAAGAATGAAATGCCGATTGCGATGCAGAGGATGACGAGGGCAGACAGACGAAAAGGCGTTCGAGACGGAACGAGCGCAAGACGTAGAACGTTGTAACATGCAACCGCCTAGTACTGCTGCATGTTGCCCGTCTCGTAGTACTCCCCTTGCCCATATTCGTACCCGTGCTGCACCTGCTCGCCTTCCTGCGGAAGAATCATCGGTGGATGCAAATAGGTCGCAAAGAGACTCTCTTCCTCCTGCGGAAGCATCATTGGCGGGTGCAGGAAATCCATCCCATGTCCATGCCCACCACGTCCGTGCCCGTGCCCATGTGCATGTCCGTCAGAGACTCCAACAGCATCAGGCAACATTGGAGGATGCACGAATTGTGGGCTGCGATCAGCGCCGCCGTTGCTAGAGTGGTGCCAGAACGCGTTGTTACCGTTCCCTCGGAACACGGTGTAGGGACTGAAGAAAGGGAAGTCCATGCTGCTACGCCGCGAAGACGAAGTGGTGCCTGCACTCGTCGCACCAGAGCCCGTCGTGAAACTGTCCCCTCCATAAGATGAGTAAGAAACCGCGCTGCTAGGAGGCTCTGACACACTGTCAGTGCTCATACGACGGCGCTTGGCAGTACGCCCAGTGGTGCTAGAGTTCAAGTTGGCGTTTGTGGTAGTATTGACATTATTGTTAGGGACGTTGCTGGCACCATTGGTATTTGGAGAAGCGTTAGACGAAGACGCGTTGGAACCCGCTTCCCCGTCAACACAGTCGACTCCAGAAAACGGTAACGCCTCGTTTGTGCCACCACTGACGCCAGTCATACTGGGCGGCACCCAATTCTGACTGAGATAGTCCGGGTGGTACGGCCCAGGGAAGGGGTTATACACCGCGTAGGTGTCACCCAACGCACCCATTAACTCACTGCTGCCCCCCATACCCGTACCCACCATGCCTGCGCCCGCGCCCATCCCCGCACTCATGCTGTGCGAGGCAACAGGCTGTGTCGTGCTGTCTGGTGCCAGGATTGGGGACGGCGACGGCGTAGGACGACGCGAGACGCCTGGAGACGCCGATGGCGTCTGTGTTTGAGAAGGCGTCTCGGAGGGAGTACCTGGCGTGTTAGAAGCGTTGGGGGTGTCGGTGAGGGAGGAGCGCTGCGCACGAGCGTCGTGTCGAGAACGCTTGCGAATGATATCGGATTTCATACTAATGGGACGAGCGGAGCCGTGGAGCTTATAGTAAAGGCCGCATCTATATGTATATAGCATTTAGTACGCATTTGGTAGGAACAAGAAATGAGAACTCACGCATTGCAAACGGTCTTGCCTTCGTCGTCCTTCCTCCACAAAGGGGTTGCAGTTGTGTGGCAGTTATAGCACTGCGCGCTGCCTGTAGACACAGTTAATATATGTTCAAGTATACCGAAATCCCACGCAATCGAAATAGAATCAGACTTACCAATGATTTCCACGACTTCGCCCCTGCCTGCACCTAATCCCATGCCCGCAGTAGCAGTCGCAGTGATAGTAGCACTAGCAGTCGCAGTGACACTTGGGCCGGCGCCCGAACTCGAACTCACGCCAGCACCAGCAACTTTAACTGAGCTTGCAGCAGTGGCATTCGCATTGACACCTGCACTCGGACCCGCACCCGAACTCACATTCGCAATGGCACTTGCAGCTGCCGCACTTACACCGGGACTCACCGCCTCCACAACCGGTGTCGCAGCAGCAGAGGAAGGTGGTGGCGCCGCAATCGAGGCCAACGTAGATAACGCAGATGCCAAAGACGACACACCACCGCGTCGTCCTTCTCCATGACTAGCACGCATGGACTTTGGACGCGGACGTTTATGCTGTCAAAGAGAAAGAGAAATGAGATGTTCACTCAACAAAGCCATACGAAGTATATAGACGATGACTCACCAATTTGCAATAAAGACCACAAGCGTTACAATTCAACTCGTCATTCAAGCCCCTTCTCCATAGCGGGGTATGGGTAGCGCCGCAGTTACTACACTCAGCCTTGACGCCGCCGGGAGCAGTAAGTGTTGCTTTTCCTCCCGGTGCAGCGCCTCCAAGGGTGAGAAGGGGATTAAGACTTGTCGCGGTAGCGGAAGCAGGTACCGTCGCGGTTGCAATATGTTTCACGGTCGCAGCAGCAGAGTGCTTGAGAGCAGATGCCGACGGGGCAGCAGACGAGGGACTCTTTACGCTTCCAGAAGCACGACGTCCAGCTTTAGTCTTCTTAGTGGCAGAGGTTTGCACAGTCAGTACAGGACGGTTAGTTGGCGTCTTGCCGGAGCGGTCCTTGCCGCGAGTGCGCGGGTGCGATTGTGTGTGAGTGTGAGTGTGAGAAGGAACCTGCGGGACTGGGAACGGATCAGGAATGGCTGGCTGTGGTTGTTGCTGCTGACGAGAGTCGCTCATCAAGACGTCTTGCTCGGGAGAAGCTACAGCTGCAGAAGACCCGCCAAGGAGGGCTCGCCCTCGGGCTGGATGGGGATAATGTTGCTGTTGTTGTTGTATTCGTCGTACCGCATGACGACGTCACATTCGTCATTCCCGTCCTCTTTCGTATCGTCTGGCTGAGAAATGGGAGCGTCGGCCATTCGGTCGTCTTCACCATCGTACTCCTCGCCCAGAAGCTCGTCTAGGGGGAGTTCGATAGTCGGACGGAAAATGCTAAAGCCGGTTGCGCAGCCGCCACTGACGCCTTCGCCATAGCTCATAGGGTTAGATAGGGTAGGGGTGGAGTAGAGGAGAGCAGTTGGGCCGAACGAAGTGCTAAAAATAGGAGGGAAATGAAGTTTTTCGTACGAGGCCACGAATTTTTCGTAAGATGAGTCGTGCGTAGCAGAGGAAGAAACACCATTCTGATTGGATGCGGGGTCGGAAGAAGTGTGGTTAGTGCTAGAGGTTCCGTCACCTCTCCTGCGCCTGCGACCCTCTCTGAACTCGGCGCTAGGCCTGAGGTCTGGCTTGGTGGGGGTGGAGCCTTCACCAGAGAAGGTATAGGATGAAGAGAGGTCGCGGGGAACGAACCGGGAGGAGCGTCGATACTGAATGTAAACTGCATTCGCTTAATAGTACCGGGCCGGGCGTTTTGGGAAGCCTCTCGGGAACGTTCGCGTTCGACAGCTCGTTGACGGATGAGGTCAGTTGAAGCGTTTCGTTTGAAGTCAGGTGCCTCGAGAGATTCAATAGCGCTACGAAAAGTGATGAGTGTAAAATGCTGCGGGAGGAGTGAAAGGAAACATACCGGCCCTTCTCCTTGTCGAGTTTGTCACCCATGTTCTTTGACAACTTCTTGAATTCGCGTTTGGACTTTGCATTGTCGGTGTCGACCATTAAGTTCTGCAAGTGCCAAAGTCGCCAAGAAAGATTCTCGAGGCGTTGGCCCTGCTCGAGATATGATGCCACTTTGGTGCATACCTATGAAAGGGGTTAGTGTCAAGATTAAATGAGATTAGATACGGTGAAGATAAGTACCTTCCAAGTTTTTGTGAGTGACTCGGTGTCGCTCAAGTTGCTAAAAGCAACAAAAGACTTGTTACCCTATACACAGGAATGAAGTTAATGTTAGCGCTTTGAGGAAACAAAAAATGAATAAGAGGGTGATGACCTTGAACTTGAGGTTGACTATGGACGGCATGGACTGATGAAGGTCCAGAGGAACAACGAGGCAAGTAAACGTTAAGTTTGAGTGTGCTTGATCAGAGTATAAGAAGACTTTGATTGGAACGGGGAACCCAGGCGTAAAAGTCTGATGGGCCGCTTTGCTTACGAGATCGTTTCGCTTACTTAGTAGCACGAGGCCCATCAAATATTTCATTTCGTAAAAAATTTATGATTGTTGTTATTTTTTTTTTGACCCCCCTGCGATCGTACCGGGTATCCGTGCCTCAACAACGTGTCCCAAGTGAACGCAAATTTGCATTATAACTGTTCGAACATTGTAATTGCATACGACCGCCTTTACCCGACCATCTCACCGCGTTAAATTTCGACGAGCAGACTTCGTCTTCTTTCAAGTCAAAATGGATACCTAGTTTAGCATACCTGCCTCATGTTTTTCACGATGTATTTCATCTCCTCCACAACAAACCCAATCTCAACGCCCTATACCCTGCAATCCCGGTTCCCCGGACGACTTGATCCTTAATTAAACGAATACTGCACAGCATCAGGTATACGTTCATTTTAGGTAATACCCCTGTCGTTCAACCAACCGACCTAAAAAGGACACAAGTCGTTTTGCCTCGAGGCCATCCCGCGGTCATTTCGCTCAATGTCCCCCAAAAATCACCTTCACACATGAGCCCCACCGTGCCGCACAGCGCCCGGTCCTTCTCTTCTCCACTCCCACTCTTTGCCGCCGGCCGATTTTACCCGCGTCCACACTCACTCATTCATCCTCCGTTCTTCTTTCGGCCGTCAATTTCATCCATGATGTACCGAGTCCATCTATATGATGGTTGTTCAGTACTCTGTCACTGATTACCGTCGTCCCACTAGCATTTTATTCTCGCCCCGTGACCTTCTCACGTAGTTTCTGCATTTGCACTTTTCGCTAGAAGTCATCCCACCCTCCAAGTATGGAGATCGAACGACAGAGGGGAAGCTACGTCGTACCCTTCCGCTCCCACACGTTTGTCTTCCGCCACTCGTGAGCAATTGTCTATCTTCATCGCCACTCTGATATTTTTCGGACGGAACAAGCAGTCTCTGGAATGTTCAACCATTTCCACCGCACCAATGCCAGTGCACTTTCCCCTCATACGTACGACGATCTCGGCCCTCCTGTTTTTATGAACCGCGATCACAATACCTGTGGGGGAACGCCCATCCTCCTTTCATAAACAGTACTGCCACTGTCAGGGCATCCCAATATCTCATATGGGACTCCGATCCTACATAACGTCCATCACTCGCCACGGGACCTGAACCATGCGACCCTTCAAGCTCCACCATTCGTAACTCCTCCTACGCAAGAATCGTCACTTGGGAACCTCACTACCAAATCAGTCATCGACTGACACGTACATATGTGGAGTAGTACGACCAGCTGAGTTCATGTACCATCAATATACGGCATAGGCTCTTCGCTCGGCCGCTGGTAAGTTGCCATTCTTTTGAGTTTGCTTATCGTTGTTCCAAAGACGTACGTTCAGGTAGTCTTACGAGTTAACGCCAAGTCGCTTAATTACAGGCTTTAATCACTTAACTCGAAACTTGTTTGCTCTCCCTCTCATATTATTCACCTGGCATATCCCATATTTCTTTCGTGTGAAATATAATAAAACATGTAGATTCAAGTTTGAGTTCTTTGTTTCGAACTGAAAGGGAACTCGAACTTGAATCTAACGCCGACACCAAAGTGAACAGTATAACGCGCTCACCATTACTGCCCGCCCAATCATGTATTCGATGTCACCACCACCATACGCCCGGGCCGACTCGTCATTAAACTCCACTATCACGAGCTTACGACTATCAAGGTCCAGCCTAATCCCAACGAGCTAGGCTTCCCCAACGCAAGCATTACGATCAAGTACTCCACAACTACAAAGTGAGTTACATCGATCTCTCATAAAGCCTCGATCGGGATCGATGTACTGCGGAATTTACACGCTTCATTAACGTACATACCTTATGTTCATCTCAGCGGTCATTAGATAGGGGGACACCATGAATATAAGTAGACGTTGTTGTATCTTTTTCTCGTAGATCATGAATGAGTGTTCGCCGCTGGTGCTTCCAAGGTCTAGAACCAAGAGCATCAACAACGTCGTCTATACTTGGTTAAATCGTCGCGCCACTGTACCTGCAGACGCGGATAAAGAACGCATATGCTAGACTAGTGAATGCCTCACCACTGTGTATATATGGGGCACAAGGAGACAGACTATCTGTGTCGTTCATTAACATAGACGCTCATTTTCGGGTACGCAATTGTTCCACCCGTCGTTGACGGTGCTTAGCTACTTCATGGTCTCAGATACGGGTTCAAGATCCTACCTCGAGCCAAGCCCTTGGAGCTCGAAGAATCACCAGCGCGTGGTTCAACGCCCAGAATTTTATCTTCATGCGTCTTGGAACGCCATTCATCACACGCGAGTCAACGCTCATAACCTCATGTCCGGATACGAAGAACCCAAGAAGTCAGTCAGTCAAGGACTCCGCATGTACAGCACAAATCATTCGAAGAACGGTGTTTTGTAAACAGTAGCTGTTCTCACCAGAAGAATCAGGGATTAAAGTTAGAGCCATTGCGGTAACGTTGAAGTTGAACAAGTGCGCATAAACGCCAGCTGTTAAATGTAATATGCACGCCTGCGTACCTCCGCTATGACTCGGATGTTAGACGAATATCATAATGAACAGACCCATCAGTAAATCTGTCAAGGATAACAGCCCTTAGCGTGCGTGTGATCTGTCCATTCGAAAGACGTTACTCGCGTACGATTGACTGTTCGTGCGAGTGAGCCACTTGCAGATGAAGAATCATAAGTACGAAAAACACGTGAAGGGATCATTCACATGATTCGTAGTTCCTCATACGGACACGTCTATTGGTCGTAAGTCATGAGCCGTAATCAGGGGCATGAGCAAACGAGAATTTGTGCGTACGTGATTGGACCCTGCGTCCGCAAATGAGGGACATCGTACGTTATGGCGGGCAGCTGCGTTGCCGATGGATTTTAGCACGGGTCACCGGTGAGGAGATGCAAGTAACCCCCCCACACGCCCAAATAGTAAAAAGGCCAGCAGCAGCAGCAGCACGCCAACGCTCGGACCCAAATACTGACAATGGAACACGCCTCAGCATGGCGCAATTTGAGTTCAGCCCATAATATGTAAATACATAGTCAAATCTTGACCGTTTGAAGGTTGTCGAAACAAGACTCCAACGAAGGTGTGAATGGCGGGATGAAAGGTAGTATGCTGTGTCCGTTGTAGTTACGCCATGGTTACACCGATATTATGATCATGAGAAGGTTTAACAAAAGGAATAGTGACGGAGTTAGGAGCCGAAGGTTGTACCATGTTGTGCTGTGCTGGTGCGGGCGGCGGGTAATATATTCTTTGCTCGGACATAGAACCTTGTAAGGACCTGTGGTGTAGTCCCATGTGAGACTGTACGTGGTCCTGGGTCCGGAGCACGTCTCCCGTGCTGGTCGGGCAATGTAACTTTCACAAGAATCGGAACTTGTCCCCTTATATATGCGTCAAGGGCCAAGGGACAGAACGTGGCATGACACGCTCTGCGTTCAGCGCTTTGCGGCATTTCGAACATTGCCGGATGGTCCGTCCGAGGATGAGCCGCTATAGCAGATACTGGAAAGGCAACCACGACGTAGTAGACACAGAAATAGACACGTACTTTGAAGAACCGTGACACCAAAGGTACAATGATATTAAGTTTAATCAAATGTATTGCTGTGAGTTGCAATTGGTTGTGAGCATGAATTGCAGCAACTGGTCGACGAATCAAAAGACGAGCAGATCATTCTGGAAAGCAAGTTGGAGGTTTTCGGGTTAGTCACGTGGTATTACATCATCCAACTTCAAGTTTGTTGAGCGCTTGTCCCGTACCCTCAGCTGTGAACTGAAATTCATTCTCGACATACTCGACCTCAATTATTTTTTTCGAGGGGAATGACAATCGGCGTGCATTTCCTATCCACATAAAGACTGACGGCGCTTCGACTCGGAAGAACCCTATCATGACCAAGAAGGCGGGCCCTTTATGGATTGTTGAATAGAAGGATATTGACGCCGACACTGTCAACCTATGGAGAGTGAGTTATCCACCGTGACCTGGCACATTGATGCTGATATGAAATGAAAATTGAGCTGGCAAACCTGATGGTCAAGGTGCTAGTTCATTTCAAGCTCGATAAATCATCGACCCAACCGTCCCAGGTGTTCGAGGGTTAGAAATATTCATATTATAGTGTAAGGTTTTCTGTGAGGTGAGTATATCCGTTACCAGTAATAGCTAATATAGTTGTCATTTCTAGTATCTTCTCACCACCAGCCGCCCCTCCTAATATCGAACACATCGAAGTCAACTTCAACTGCTTGGTCTTCAGCAATGGCCCTAGCCATATTTTCTTGGTCGATTGCAATCATTGAGATCATCGATACACTCAGAAGATTGATCAAGGATGAGGTAAGGGCATGCACCTTTTTCTAAACAAAACGCTCACTACCCTTTGAAGACATAGCACTATTTGAGGCGTACTCCCAGCTTTCTATGCTAGTTCTTTCGTTAGTGTATGAGAATGCGTACTCTGTTGATATAATGTCCGGCAAAGGCCGACACCGACATTTAGGATGTGAGAAACGTATGTAGGAGCAATTGGGGCCAGGCGAATTATGAGTTATTGATTGCACCCTGCGTTGGCATTTTCGGTGCGTTTGATGACGAGCTCCCTCTTGGATTCTAAGTGATGCACACACTTTTGATGATCTAGATGACGGCAGTATGGTATTCTGGAATGCTTCCTGCTTTGCGGCGAAACATCAATAATCTTGTCCTCCACAGCTTGCGATGGTTGTTACTCGCGATTATTTTACTCAATGCTTTCTCTATCTTCACCAACAATGAGCACCTGCATATTTTTGTCTTACCGCGACTTACCAACA